AAAGTCTAGCGTCAGCCCACTCGTCGGTCAAGCTTGCCGGCATCCACCTCCGGATCAGATAAAAAAAATTCAACTGGAGGTGGAGGAGTGGAAGATCCGAAACCGGCATCATGTGAGATGAGGGCAATCTAATCTGATCATCGCGCTCTCTCTCTCTCTCTTCTCTCTTTTCTCTTCTTTCCCACACTCCCTCCGACGCCCTTTGCTTACTCTTTCCTTTTTTTTCGGCCCTATCGAACCTTTTAATCCTTCCCTTCTATTTGGATTGGATTAATTGTTTCCTAACTCTTCCCCTCTCTCTACTCCCTCAATTCCAAACTCGCTCTCGCTTATCGGCTCGCATGAGCGCACTTCCGCTCTTCCGACCGAAAGACGGCTCGTGCGTTTCCCCCGAACCAACCCGAAACTTGTTAACTCCCCCTCAACCTTGAATATGCCCGCTAACCCTGACTGCGTTCTCAGTTCCCTCTGCTTGAAGTGAATTCAAGTATCATGGCCTCACCCGGCGTGGCTCTCACGCCTTTGGCCACTGGTCCCCAGGCCCTTGCCCCCGCTCTGGTAGCTAGGCCTTCTGTAGCTCCCTCACCGGGTCCTGGTACTCCCGGATCGGTGACCTCGAAGGAATGGGTGATTCCCCCTCGCCCCAAACCTGGTCGTAAGCCGGCCACCGACACTCCTCCGACCAAGCGCAAGGCTCAGAATCGTGCTGCCCAGCGTGCCTTCCGGGAACGACGGGCTGCTCGAGTCCAAGAGCTCGAGGAGGAGATTAAAGAGATCACGGATGGCCACGACATCCGCGTCGCGGGGCTCAGCGAGCAGATCACCAACCTCTCCCAGGAAGTTGAGCAATGCCGTGAAGAGATGGGCTGGTGGCGCGACCGATGCCACTCGCTAGAGAAGGACGTTTCGATCGAACGCAGCGCAAAGGAAGCTCTCGTCAAGGAATTCCGGACTTCCTTATCCGCATCGAGCAGCAACAAATCCCCCGCCATCCCCGACTCGGTGCCGCTGCCACCTCGCAAACGTCCTTCGACTCGAAGCTCCCGCATGGAAGGTGTTGTCTCTACTAGTGCCGACCGTAACAAGGAAGATGTTCAGCAGAATGTGCCTCTCGGCTGCAACGACTGCTCCCAGACTCACTGCCAGTGCATCGAGGATGCCTTTGGCACCCCCATTGATACACATGAATCATCTCGTTCTCGATACCCTCCTCATGGTGTCGGCAGCCCCGAACGTGAGAACACCGAGCCTGACATCAAGCCTGATCCGGAGGAGATGGAGATCGATTTTACTTCTCGCTTCGCAGCCGTGCCTGCTCAACCCACCTCCTCCCACAGCAACCATCACCATGACAGTGAGGCAACCTCACCTCCAGTCGACCCCTGTGGATTTTGTCAGGATGGAACGCCATGCATCTGTGCCGAAATGGCCGCCCAGGAGCAGCAACAACAGCAACAGCGCGGCCGCCGCAGTTCCTTTGAGAACCCTCGCCTCGCACCCATCCAGTCCATCTCTCAGTTCACACCACCACCCTCTGATGGCGACGTCCGCTCTGAAGTGGTCTTGCCATCCATCACCCAAGCCACCAACCCATGTGCCAACGGACCAGGCACCTGCGCCCAATGCCAAGCTGATCCCCGAAGCACCCTTTTTTGCAAGACGCTGGCAGCCTCCCGGTCAGCGAGCGGAACTCCATCGGGAGGAGGATGCTGCGGCGGCAAGGGAGCCAGCGGAGGCGGATGCTGCATGTCTCGAAATGCCCCCACCACCCCGACCACGCGTAACAACCCCTCCATGCCTGCGCAACCTCCCCCCTCCCAAGCCCTCTACGCCCAATGCACTCACCCTGAGCTGCGCCGATGCCTTTACGACACTGTCCCGCCACCCGAACTTCTCCCGTGCCAGTGATGATATCTCCACCTGGCTACCCAAGCTGCACACGCTCCCAAACCCGCAAGAGCTCGCGCTGGCGGAGAGCCGGGGCGGCCGCGCCGCGTTGGAGGTCGAAGCTGCTAGCGTCATGGGCGTGCTTCGTTACTTTGACCGGCGGTTTGCCGAAAAATAAAAAAGGATCGGATTCATGCTCTCCATCCTCCTGTCTTGTTTCTTTTCTGCATCGGGCTTCTGTTTTTTTTTTAACCTTCTTCGGGAGGGCATTTTGATACCCATTCCCCCGATTGCTCTATCCATGTACCACCATACGGTCAACATTTCCATCATCGTTCGCCAGTCTCGTGGGAAAATAGAGACATACCCGCTCGCCAGACTACAACATGTTACTCATATTTATTAATGAGTTGAGAATGAGTCTGGTGGAAAATGTCTCCCCCACCTCCCGCCTCCTTCACCCCCCTCCCTCCAAAAAGCACACATTTATACTTCACCTCCTCCTAGAACCCAAGTCTCTGCAATAGCGGCAGTGATCTTGAGGACATGGAGTCTCCTGACCGATATGAGCATGGTCCGTGGTTGGTTTCTGTGGGCACACACGCACCCTTTTTTTATTTGTTAGCTATTCCGCGTCTGCGGTCCGGTCCAACTCTCCACTAGACGGATTGACTCTTTTGGCGTTGATGTTACATTTTATGGATATGTACACCGCGTTTTTTTTTCTGATGAATGGAATGATCTCCTTAACGCTATTAATAAGCACAAAATCGTGAATTTTGCGTTGTAGTAGCGATAGTATACTACTCATGTATCCGAGTAGTATATCCACTCCAGGTTTCAAGTTCAAGTTGGAAAAGAATGGATGGTACGGGTGGAAAGATCTTGAGTACTAAGTGCTTTGTACTAAACAGCATCTGGATATGATGCCAAGACTCGGAATAAAGGGAAATGTAATTTAAGAAAGGGAAAGAGATTATTTGAATTGCTATGTGGTGGTTTTATACATGGCGCGGAAAGCAAAACGACGCCGATCGCCAAACCCCTGAACCCATTCCTGGGGTATACGGTGTGAACAGAGGGAGGAGGGGAGAGTCGAGATAAGAACATGAGTAGCGTGAGATATGGTAAGTATCCAAGGGAATCAAAACCAAAGTCGACCTGACCTGTGGGGGGAAGAATAGGAAGAAGAGCAGCATGTGAGGATTGGATTGGATTTTTTCCAACATCTGGTGATTGTTCACGATTTTCTTTCGACTGGGATGGATGCAATTAGAATCGTCCCCCGCTGTCCCGTCCATGGCCACCTCGTAGCGTGACTTCCTCCTCGCTGCCGCCAGCGACTCCGCCGAGAAGGTTGGCGCCCCAAATACCAGCGACACCCCACATGCCTACGCGCCAGCCGCGGTATAGACCCTGGATACCCTGGCCCTGGCGACGTTTCTGCAACTGAGCCTGCGAGTTTGGTTTGGCAAAGAGCTGACTAGCCCGTTCGCTATCTGAGGGTTCAGAGCTGACGCCTTCCTCGTTCACGATATGCCACATCGTACCGACGATACCGCGGTATGTGCGCGGGGTAGGGACGATGGTCTCCACGTCCGAGGCATCGATGGAGGCAGCGCTGATGCTGCCGCCGGAAGACTTCTGGCGCAGACTAAGGGATGTGTAGCTTGCGATCTGGGCGCGGCGCAGAACGGTCTCGAGGGGGAAACGCACGGCGAGCTCGAGACCGGAGCTGATGAATCTGAAGAGGTTCCACAGGGAAGGGTTCACAATTGGGTCGATTGACATATATGATTTGAGAATAAGTGGGGTCGAGGTGGTGATAAAGGTGGGCAGACTGGAGTGGAGAATGGTGATTGGGACAAGGTGTGACGGGATAGTGCAATTAGGGGTGGGGAGTTGGCGGATGGCGCGGATGAGGGATCGAGGGCCGTGGGTCGCTGGTGTGAGCATTAAGAAGGTACGGGCGGTATCGATTGGGGAGAGGATCATTGCGGAGAGAGATGAGGAGACGAATGATATGAGAAGCGTGGCGAGCGGCGAGGACGCGTGCAGGATATCTGCTGCCATGGACGAAGAGATGTCCTCCTCCGGCAGGCCGACGATGGCAGAGAGAAGACTGCGGATGAAAGTGTTCAATGTCGGGAGAAGTAGCGAGTAGATGAAGGTCGCGTTAGAAGACTTCCATGGCGAGCTCGGTCCATTGTTAGTCCAAAGCTGGGACAAAACGTCCATCAAGGACTCTGGGTTCCGGATTGCTAGGGCATGCTTGGACGGAGTTGGTGGTGTAGTGTCTGCACGAATGTAGCCACTGCGATCGGTGATGTGACGCCGACCCCCCCTGCGAGAGCGTGGCGTGGTGGGTGTCGGAGTTGATGGAGCGGCAGAAGTGAAATAAATGCTTTCATCGTCGGATGATTCTGAGCCCTGTAGATGAATCTATCAGTGTCCAGCTCGAGGGATCAGCTTGCCTAAACATGAAGAAGATATAATCCTACCGATTCGTACGAGGTGCTTCCAGCTCCTCCGGCCTCCGAGCTCCGGTTCACGACCTCCTCAATGACGTCTGGAACGACATAGACCTGTAAGATGGTTTTGGCGACATCAAATGGCTGCGCGACTAGCACTTGGCAGTAACGTCTTAGAGATGAGTTCAAGGCATCGCGGACCCAGTCAGACACGGAGGGCGAGGCGTCTAAATAGTCGGCATAGTCGAGGTCGGGGATGAGGTCGCGCGCGGTACTCCCGAATACCTGGGCTGACGAGGGAGAGCTGACTTCGGTGGGGGCACTGGAAGGTGAGAGACCCGACTGAGGGATATAGTATGGTCGCAAGGGATTAATCCCTTCACGGGAGGCCATGGTGAGATGGAGGGGTTATGGGTGAATATCGAAAGAAAAGAGCTCTCGGAGAAAGGGCAGGGAGATCCGAGGCCGACGTTGGCTTTGTCAGTGCTTTTTTTTTTTCGTCGACGGTCATTGGACGATCACTCCCTCTCTCTTTCTCCCTCTCCGCCCCAGATCTTTTTCCCGTGACTCTCGTTCCCCGTTGTTTCTTTCTTTCTTTCGTTCCCTTTATTTACTTCACTTCTCACTTTGCATTTTTACACAATGACCCTCTGGCGAGAGTTCGGTCTCCAATTGCGGCGCGCCTTGCCAAAGGCCACCGCTGGCGATATGTGCCTGGCTCAATCGCGGAGATACGTCAGTCATTCGGCAACGCCGTGGAGAACCGGAGAAGTCGCAAACACACACCGGTGGGGTCTGGGTACACAAAACGGCCTGCGCCCTTCCTCGCAAGGGTGGAAGACAGCTCAGCGATGCTTTTCGGCCTCGTCGCAAGCAGCCCACGGCCATATTACACCACCGAAGCCTGGCGAGGAGTGAGTTCAAGGCCTCCCCAATCTTTGGGGATCCCCGGCATTATGTCTAACCCGAAGTAAATTTCCAGAATTAATGTCACCTTCATCGACAAGGATGGTGCCGAGGTCAAGCTTCAGGTTGCCGAAGGCGACAATCTCCTAGATGTTGCCCAGGCGAATGATCTAGAGATGGAAGGTATGTGCTCTTAATATCCTTGATATCAGACACGATGTTATGTGATCTCGCCGTGACTAACACCTGCTTTGTACTCTAGGCGCTTGCGGTGGCTCATGTGCCTGCTCGACCTGCCATATCATCGTTGACGAGCCCGATATGTTCGACAAGATGGAAGAACCCTCAGACGATGAAAATGATATGTTAGATCTGGCTTTCGGTCTGACCGAGACCTCGCGACTGGGATGCCAGGTGATCATGAGCAAAGACCTAGATGGACTGGTTGTACGCTTGCCGACGATGACCCGGAACCTTCAGGCAAGCGACTTCGAGCAGAAGTGAGGCGGAATGGAATTTAAGAAATAATTTATGAGGGCGGGGTCGGCATCCGTGAAGTAGACCTTCATGGGAGGGAACTTGAAGACGATGTTATCAGTCCTAAGGGACCTTGTATTATTTTTTTTGCATTGGACACGTCCAGCAGACTTGAGGATACCGAATTGAAAATCTCCTGTACTATTTATAAAGAAAAAAGTGTCCAAAAAAACATGAAAGATAATATGAAAAACAAAGTGGAATCACAACGTGGAATATCGATGTACAATGTGAAGAAAGCAAGGATACAGAATCTCCCAACGCCACAAACATGCCATGGATAATCATAGAGCTTTTTTGAATTTTGATCTAAGCCTCCTCAATGTTGAGAGGCTTGCCCTTGCCGTTGATCAGATCAAGGAATCCTTGCTTGCTGACTTCGTTGACGGCCTTCTCGCGTTCATCAATACCAATGGTTCCCTTCTTGCGCTCCTCCCTGGCGGCTTCCTCACCCCGAACTTGAGCCGCCCGGACAGCGTTGAACAGCTTGACCACACCGCGCTGTGACATCTTGCGCAATCGCTTCTCATCTTCCGCAACGGCTCCAGTAACTCCTCGCTTGATTCCCATGACATCGCGGATACGGCCTCGATCCATCTCCTCCTTCTTCTCGGCGCGCATCTTAGCCCGCGCTTGCTTGTCGAGTTTCTCATTGACGAATTCATCTGTGGCCTGCTGGGCATTTCTACTGCGAGAAAGGACAGGATCGGCGCGAGCAGAGGAGGGGAGTTTGGTAGAAAGAATTTTAGAAATGGAGGTCGAGAAGGCAGTTGGGTCGTTTCGTTTGGAGACAGCACGTCTTTTCTTTCCGCCTTCCTCTGCTGATGAGTCGGAAAGATTTCCATCTTCGTCGGAGCCAGAAGCATCGTTGTCTTCATTGTCGTTTTCGGTCTGGTATTCGCCCTCGTCCTCGTTGGCGTTGGAGGCTTCATCGTCTTCGGCGGTTTTCGATTTCTTTTGCGGCTTAGATTTGGCCTCGGTCTTCGTTTTCTTGGGGGTGGGCTTGACAGCGGCCTTTTTGGTGATGGAAACTCCACCATCCTCCTCTTCGTCTGAATCGGCGAGGTTCACAGCCTTGAAATCTCCATCATCTTGCTCATCTTCCGAGCTACTGTGGTAGGCGGACTGCTTGCGGAACTTCTTGGGGCGAGAAGTCTTGCCTCGCATACCCTCATTGACCTTGCGCTTCTTGGAATAAGAGCCGACCATTGTGAAAAAATCCAATGGCAATCGAATGCTGTTGGAAAGTAGAGTGTAAAATGCAAAAAAGGCCGCGGCGCATCAACGAGTGAACCAACTTTTTTTTGGGCGGTGAGAGCCACCCGCTCTCCGATTGGCACTCCGCACTTGGGGCCCTTTCCCCCCCTCCACACCCATCTTCGGTTTGGCTGTGAACACATCTCCCATCTTCCAGCTACCAGTTTGATATTCATTCACCTTCACTATGGTCCTCCAGGATCTAGGGCGGCGCATTAACTCCGCCGTCAATGATTTGACAAGGTCTAATAACCTCGATGAGAAGGTATGCGATATACACGAGCCATTGTGTGTGGCGGAAACTCCAAACTAACTAACCACCTTCTCTCCAGGCCTTCGATGACATGCTCAAGGAGATCTGCGCGGCTCTCCTGTCTGCCGATGTCAACGTGAAACTGGTCCAAACCCTCCGCAAATCGATCAAGTCCAGCGTGAACTTCTCCCAGATCCCGGCCGCCACCAACAAGAAGCGCCTCATTCAGAAGACCGTTTTCGATGAACTCGTTGCACTCGTGGATCCTCATGCCGACTCCTTCCGACCTAAGAAGGGCCGCTCCAATGTTATTATGTTCGTTGGTTTGCAGGGTGCCGGTAAGACGACCACTTGTACCAAGCTTGCTCGCCACTACCAAACCCGTGGCTTCAAGACAGCGTTGGTCTGCGCGGATACCTTCCGTGCTGGTGCTTTCGACCAGCTGAAGCAGAACGCCACCAAGGCCAAGATCCCTTACTATGGTAGTTTGACCCAGACCGATCCCGCTGTCGTGGCCGCCGAGGGTGTTGCCAAGTTCAAGAAGGAGCGATTTGATATCATCATTGTCGATACCAGTGGTCGTCACCGTCAAGAAGAGGAGCTTTTCACGGAAATGACCCAAATTCAGGACGCTGTCACCCCGGACCAGACAATCTTGGTTCTCGACAGTACGATTGGTCAGGCTGCCGAGGGCCAGTCGTCTGCCTTCAAGGCTACTGCAGACTTCGGTGCTATCATCATCACAAAGACGGATGGCCACGCTGCAGGTGGTGGTGCCATCTCTGCTGTTGCTGCGACCCATACTCCTATCATTTTCCTGGGAACCGGTGAACACATGATGGACTTGGAACGTTTCGAGCCTCGCGCATTCGTCCAGAAGTTGTTGGGCATGGGCGATGTTGCCGGTCTGGTCGAGCACGTCCAAGCCATTACCAAGGACTCCGCCGGTGCCAAGGAGACCTATAAGCATATCGCCGAGGGTATCTACACTGTTCGTGATTTCCGTGAAAACATCACATCCATCATGAAGATGGGCCCACTGTCTAAGCTGTCTGGTATGATTCCGGGTTTGTCAAATTTAACCCAGGGTCTTGACGACGAGGACGGTTCTCTAAAGTTACGCCGCATGATCTATATCTTCGACAGTATGACCACTGCGGAGTTGGACAGTGATGGCAAGATGTTCACCGATAAGCCCAGCCGTATGGTGCGTATTGCCCATGGTAGTGGAACTACTGTTCGCGAAGTCGAGGACCTCCTTTCTCAGCACCGCATGATGGCTGGTATGGCCAAGAAGGTCGGTGGCCAGAAGAAACAAATGCAACGCGCGCAGAACATGATGAAGGGCGGTAACAACCAGCAACAAATGGCCGCTATGCAAAAGCGCATGGCTGCTATGGGCGGCGGTGGCGGCGGTGGAATGCCCGGCATGCCTGCTGGCATGGATATGGCCAAGATGATGGAAATGATGGGCGGTGGTGGTGGTGGAGGTGGCATGCCTGATATCTCAAGTATGATGAGCCAATTGGGTGGAATGGGTGGTTTGAGCGGGTTGATGGGTGCAATGGGCGGCGGTGGCGGCGGAGGTGGTGGTGGTGGACGAGGCCGAGGCGGACGGTAGTGCTTGTCATTACTGTGCCTCGTGCCTTTACCCTGTACACACTCCTCCTCGTGGCTTGTCAATTTTGCATCTGGGCCGGTGTTTGGCGTCTGCTACTCGTACATTATTCGATTTGCAATGTGATTCATAAGATTTCATGTCGCAATGAAATTATAACACCAAATATTTTTTATCTAGTTATAGTTACATACCAATAACTCTACACCTCAACGAACATACATTGTGCCTCCAAACCTCCAAACAACATCAACTAGTTTCGACTTTTTGAACACGCCAAATCGGAACAATATCGCACTCAGTCCACTCTCACGGTCTTCTCCACATTCCCCGATACTGCTTCATACAGAGCAGTCCCCTTATCGATCAAAACGTGAGCAAGCTCCTCGATTCTTCCAATCATGATCTTGACAGCAACATCCCAACTTTCTCTCACCAATTTATCCTCGACCACCTCTCCAGGAGGAAGATGAGAAATAACCCTATCCTTCGGAGCAGCCTTCGCCCCAGCATCCCGCTCAACAGGAACACTAAGACGATACTGCCAAACAACCTCTCCATCCACATAGAGCGAGTACGTCAGCACAGAGCTTCGAACAGGCACAGGAGAAGGCGCATCAACATCAGCATTAATAACATCATCGCGAATATCAATAAAACCAAACTTGCTATTGCCATCCGGGGCATATTTCACAGCGACATCCTCGTCGTCTGCCTGCCGGTATGACCGGATAGGAAGGTAGAACATGCTCAACGGACCAACGCTGAACTCATGAAGTCCAAACCCAGCCGTATTGGGCTGGAGTCCTTCGGACGTCAATTCAAGCGCGGGGTCTGGAAAGCGCGTGGCGCCGAATTCGTGCCGATCACCACTGAGCAGGATGATGCGGATGCCAAGTTCACGCTCTGCACGCCACATTGCTTCGAATACGGTATGACGCTCGTTCAAAAAACCGCCCCATGTGTCTGTTGTGCCGACGCGCCAGTTCTTCGTGAAGGGGACGCTGGATGCGATGATTTTCCAGTGTACGCCCGCTGGTTCCGGTGTCGTGAGATAGGTTAGTAGAGACTGGAGCTGTGCGTAGCCTAGAATCGTGGAATCTTTCTGCGCGGGTTCGGAGCGGTAGGTACGAGTGTCCAGCATGAAGAATGATGCTGGGCCATTGATGAAGGAGAAGTAGGTCACATTGTCAGGGTGTGCAAATGGGGATTCTGGTACTGGTGGGTTTGCGCTGACATGATAGTGAATGAAGGGATCGGCGGCAGCGGGATAGGGTGCTGTCTTATTGCCTTTGGACCAGTCGTTTTCAATCTCGTGATCATCAAGGGTGTGAATCCAAGGAAGATCGATGGCTGGTCCGGCTTCTGAAGTAGTGGCCCATGACGGTGACGAATAGATTCTCCGATATTCACTGCGGTAATGGGACACGGATGAGCCAAAGCGGAGCGGTACGTCGATATAAACGAAGTCGCCCAAGAAGAGCATAAACGCAGGGCGAAGGAGAGTGGGCAATTTCCCGATTACTTCAGTCATTTGCTCGATTCCGGGGACCCGCAGTGGGTGATTGAGGATATTGTAAGGAAAATTGGGCTTTAAGCAGCTTGACGTCACGAAGGAGAGCCGACTTGCTGCTGGAGAGCCTGGGCGTGCAGAGGTGATGAATGTACCCGTCTTGTTATTGGACAACGAGTACCGATAATGAGTCGATGGCTTCAAATTTTTCAGAGTGACCATCGCTGTAAAGTCAGTATTGTTGTCGAGTTTATAGACAGTGCCTTCTGGAACCCATATATCCGAAGCAGTCGTAGCAGCCTCCTGGTAGGAGACGACCACCGGTAGGTGAGACGAGTCAGGCTCGCGAAAGAGCAGGTTGGCTGTGGTCGGAGATACATATCCGATCCGGGAAAAGGCAGCCTCATCACTGGGGTAAATCCAAAATCCTCGAAGGAGAAAGTCGAGGGTCATCAATGCTAGCACCGCATTGATCAGTGCCGTCGTCCAGGTCCACACCCGCGACCGCCTGGAAGGGAGGCCTGTCAGCAGGGTCTTGAGCGCGGAGTCTCGCGGCTGGGACGCAATTGAATCTTCGGAGGTTCCTGAGTATAGATTTAGCTGGAGTTTGAACTGAAGTTATCCGAAGATGCCACGTTGACTCACTGCCTGATTTCTTTCCACCCTTTTCGGGCTTGGGATTGGATGGTGGATCATCATTGAGCAGCGAGGACAATGTCCCCAAATATATGCCGAATGAGGTCAATACAATGGGGCCAAATGGATATCCTGGGATCTAAAGGTTGTTAGCGTACGGACAGGAAGTAGTCAAATCGAACTTGAAGCATAGGAGGCATACCCATCGCAGGAAAATGAATGCAAACAGCCGAATGGCGGCGGAGGTGACGCAGACAACCACGCGGCGTAGAGACGCCATGGCTGTGATTGGAACTTGAATCACAGATGATCCAAAGGCCCGTTAAAGGACGGGAGATGTGCAAGGGTTCAAGTTGCAGGATGAAGTCAATGGAAAGATCAACGTTGCCTTGCTTGTTTGATTTGTCCGCGCAGTGATTGGCGCGTCGGGAATGACGTAGTTGATCAGCTTCAACTCACAACACAACAACTATAAATACAACTACCGTAAGTACCGGTAAATTGATAAATCAATTACGGATACCCCATTCCTACAATCAAGATCATTTGACAAAACCCCCACTACGCTAACTATCATATATCTAGTAGACATGGCAGAAGTAATTGGTGAGATACGAATTTCATCATCGTAGATTCCGTAGTGGATCTAATGGCACAACATTCCAAAGGTCGCCATCATTTCTCATATTAGATAGAGAGCATCCTGGGGTGCTAATATTTGGCCATACGACGGAACCAACCAAATGGCAGAGTACCACAGTTCATAGTAATGGAACTTGAAAGCAGTGGATTTGACCATTATACATAAAAAGCCCCTATCAACGACATGGAGCAGCAACGATCCTTATATCAGAGTTAAACTTCACTTGATGGGCTCTTCCTGCGACAATTATGGTTACCTGCCACCCAACCTCATACGTGCGGCCAATATTATAAGTGAGGAATTCGGGGTGATATCCTTGTCACCAACTAGAATTCTTCCATTCGAAGCCAATCCACGTTGGTGAATGGTCAGCCCAAATATTTCACCTATATTCACCGCTGGATCTTCGCTGGCCGTCGAGATGGTGATAGGGGACTTCTGCTTTCTAAAGGCATGGCTTAGCCCCAGCTCCACCAGCTCCCAATCGTCGTATGTAGCGCTACCGCCAAATAAGCCTTCTCCAATAAGGACCGTGTTTTGCTTGAGAACCATTTGAATATCGGCGACTACAACGCTTGGCATCCGGTCTTGAAGAATGTCACTGGTTCTGTCGAGCTGAGGTCGAACTTCTATTGTGAGCTGAAAAGGTTCTGGATTATCCAGCTGGATGGCAAGTGGTGCTTTAAGAATGATACGGAAGTAGAATTCTGGCACCTTCGAAGATTCAAAAAACGTTTGCATGTGCTGTCGGAATGACAGCTTCGTGTGCTCTTTGCCAGGCATCAGATGGTGGCTCTAAATAAGCCCCCGGGCTTCAAAGACCTTGAGCGTAGGCTGCCAGAGTAAGGTATCTGGTGGGTGTCGCATTATAATCCTGTGAATTGCCCCACAGCTCTCGGAACGGCAGTCAGATACAGATTGGAGATGTGCAGTGATATAGTACTCAACAAAGCACATCGCCGGCCCGCCAAGAGCAGGGTCCAAGGACGCAAATTTCCCGGGTACCAAATGGTGACTGGGATGCTCCTGCTGGCCCAAGGGAATTAAACTGACTCTGCAATTGCGACCTGTCCTGCATGTCGAGGGCTCGAGGGGGATGCCGACTGCGAAAGGCCAGCTAAGTGGTTCTTTGCTGCCCTCTGCTAAATGCAAAGCTACTTTGAAGATAGCTCTTGGTCCGATCTTGACTAGTTGTCGAGAGTCTCGAGAATATTTTCCTTTTACTTTGATAATTGTTTTGTGCGGCCGTATAAGGACAGTGTGATGATAGCTTCGGGGTCGAGAATGCTTCTCGATCGTACTATTCTGCCAACAATGGTATCACATGGGAGGTGGTTCCGACAGAATAATTTTAAGATCATCGCCTCCTTCATTCTCGGCTGGTGGCATTTTGACCGAAATCCACTGTAGTCGGTAAAGGAGAGAAATATTCTCGTCTCCGATAAGGGAAGTCGACCATTCAGCCTCAAGGGCGCTAGTGTCTGGGCACAGCTCTGGGGCGAAAACGAGCGGGGCGTAAGTTTCGGAGAGGTGGGAGATATTCTTGCCTTTTTTCAAATATACTAAGCATCTTGAAATTATGACTGCTTTGTGTACAATGATCGGTTCTACCAAAGACAGAATAATAGTTCCACAATTAGTACACCTCGTCCGAAGTTATCTGCAGCATGTGCCAGTCTATACTCAATCTTGTAAAAATAAATAAATTATAATGGAAATGGAAATGAAGAAATCAAGATTCTATGATTTGAGCGATGTTGTTCAAAGGAAATTAAAAGGAAAAAGAAACTCGAAAGCAGATGGAAGAGAGAAATGAATGGTAGTCTACGTAGCAAAGCGTTTTCTTCAAAGATGAACCCAAAATTGATTTATTAAGTCTCTAAGGACTTTCTGATAATCACAAAACTCGTATGATATAAAGGAGCGTATATGTGCATAAAATCGCACCAGAAGATCTGATATTAATTCACATTCAGAAGGCCAACATCAAAACCAAGAATCATCCGCCACAGTTGCAATATTGCGAGAGGAAATCCCATCAGACAATCGTCAAATTAAGTGAGTAGGGCGTGGAGAAACGGGAATTGAGTGGTATTTTGCTTGATGTCGAGATGCATTTAAGCAGATGCGTTGGCCTCAGCATTGGCAGAAGCATTCGCAGAAGCGTCAGCGTCAGCGTCAGCACTGGCGTTAGCACTGGCATTGGCGGAAGCGTTGGCGCTTGCATGGGCGGTGGCCTGGGCGTTGGCGGCAGCGGCAGCGGTAGCCTGAGCCCCGACAGAACCACCAATTGACAGGGAGCCAGAACCTTCACCTTCACCCGAGGTGCCGGTAGGGCCAGGGATGGCCCACGAGATGCTGGTGCTAGTGCTGAAAGAGGGAGAAGTGCCAGAGCCAGAGCCACCTACGCTTCCAGAAGCACCAGCGCCGCCCGAAGCAGATCCGGAACCGCCAGCACCAGCGGAGCCGCTGCCAGAAGCCCCAGCGCCAACAGAGCCCGAGTCGGAACCTTCAGCGCCCGAGGAGCCAGAGCCGGATCCAGAGGAGGAGGGTGCGCCAGAAGAACTCGCCCCGGTCGATCCAGTGCCGGAAGCACCACCGGAAGCACCGCCTCCAAGAGAGCCGGAAGCGCCAGCACCAAGTGATCCAGTACCAGAGGCACCACCGCTAAGAGAGCCTGAAGCACCGCCAGAGGCGCCGCCAGAAACACCGCCGGAGCCAGACGCACCGGCAGATCCAGTACCAGAAGCACCACCTGAAGCACCACCTGAAGCACCACCTGAAGCACCACCTGAAGCACCACCTGAAGCACCACCTGAAGCACCACCTGAAGCACCACCTGAAGCACCACCATAAACACCACCAGAGCCAGAGGCACCAGCAGATCCAGTACCAGAGGCACCGCCGCTAAGAGATCCGGAAGCACCGCCGGAAGCACCTCCAGAGCCAGAAGCACCTCCTCCAAGAGAGCCAGAGGCACCACCAGAAACTCCACCAGAGCCAGAGGCGCCAGCGCCGAGGGATCCAGTGCCGGAAGCACCACCGCTCAGAGAGCCGGAAGCGCCGCCAGATGCACCACCATAGCCGGAGGCACCAGCAGATCCAGTACCGGAAGCACCTCCGCTAAGAGAACCAGAGGCACCAGCACCGGCAGATCCAGTACCAGAGGCACCACCACTCAGGGAGCCAGAGATATCACCAGAGCCACTACCAGATCCTGATCCGCTGCCGAAGAAACCGCCAGATCCGAAAAGGTCTCCCGAGCCAGAGCCACCAAGGCCAAGGCCAAGACCAGCACCAAGACCAGAGCTACCAGAGGCACTGGCATCAGCAGATCCAGTACCGGAAGCATCACCGGAAGCATCACCGGAAGCATCACCAGAAGCACTGCCAGAGCCACCGAGGCCGAGGTCAGCACCAAGATCAGCCGAGCCTGAGCCCGAACCGGATGCATCAGCGGAGCCGCTGAGCATAGAGCTGAAGCCACCACTGGCTGAAGAATCGGCGCTGCCGCTACCTCCGCCGTTGAGAAGGCCGTCGAGGAGAAGGCAGGGCTTGCGGGCCTCAAGGGTTTTGTTGGCGGCGGGAGCTGCGAGAGCTGCGCTCACGAGAAGGAGAATTGTGGCAGTCTTCATTTTTGTTGTTGAACGACTGAAAGTAAAATTGTAAAGAGAGAGGTAAAAAGGAGCGCCGAGAGTTCAACTCTAGGAGGTATCAAAAGAAAAATAGAAGCGAAAGATTGTTGAGTTGAGCCGGTCAACTGAAACGAAGGACGATGGGTTGATGATTAGAACTGACGGCGGCGACAGGCATGCATCTTTATAGTTCTGTCGACAGACAGGACCGACTCGGGAGCGATATCTATTTTGGTGAGTGGGCTTCTCATCTGGCTCAGCATTGAGCAATCCATCGAATTGCAAGGCTAGCGATGGTTAGTGAAACGAATGCCCCTGTTCTGTGGCATCCATTCTGTTTCAAGGTACCGTGGTATGGTTTGTTTTCGATATGCGGATCTTTTATGCCTCACAATTGAGCGTATTCCAAGGTTCACTCACGATCTCGCAAGGTAATGTTGCTCAGCGCAGTTTGTCATCTCGACTCGGAGGTGAGTTGTTGTTATTACGTGTTATATCGATAGTTCTTTTGATGTAATAGTCCCATCTGGAGAGATAGTACATATCGACATCAGTAGGGTTGCAGGCAAGCTTCCCAGGATCAAGCCACGCGATGCACCATGTTTCCTTATTCTCGTCAAACCCCCAGGACCCACTAGCTAGTGCAGATAACTGTTTTTCGTAGATGAACCGAGAGCTTTGGGGGACAGCTTGCTGGCCAGGATCGACTCAAAAAGGAGGCATCTACTCCGTAGCTCTATCTGGAACATGGACCGACAATGGGATCCACTCCCGAAATGGAGTTCGTCCAAGAGCCCCCCCCCGGATCATTCCGAACACCGAACCGTTCATCCAAAAAGTTTTAGTTCCCGTGGAATACTTATTTTTAGGTGAATTAAAGTCGCAAATTGATTAAGGGGTCGATGGATTCAATGCTGCACGGGTATTCTGTAGATCGTCAGCCCACCCATCCTCAACTCGGCAACTCGGCAAAAGGTTATATTCTTCTTAAGCATGAACAATCAAAGTTTGGTACCACTTTATTTAAGCTTGGAGTAATCTGATTGTGGTTGTGGTTGTTCTGGAAAATTTCACAGTTCTTCCACGATTTTCTGGTCGGCAAATCGTCCACCTTGCCGGGAAATGTTCCGCGACGTTGGCTCTTCCAGGTAGGAGTATGTAGGAGACTGCTACAAGTGGCGTTCTTTAGACGGTGGCAGGAAAGACACTACAGATGCACGACACCATGGAGAAAGCTCCAGAACTTGAGCGATCGGCGTGGTTCGCTCCAGCTTAATTCGTTTCAAATTTAGTGTGTTTGTTGAGACAATCCCTAACGAATGCACGTTCCTTTCCCTAGGGCTGGTGCGAGTGTGGAAACTATGGAGACTCAACCACTTTTTCAATGGGATGCTCTCTTTCTAATTCTAAGGGGCCGTAGTGAATCGACTGCCGCGGGCTTATGGCTATCTTTAACAGCCCTATATTAACGTCGGAACAAAGATCACTTTCAATTGAATAATTGGCACTCTTCTTTCCCGCAAGGAATGTCAGAGCCATGTATTTAGTTTCTTCTTTACTCCGTAGATATTTTGCACCAAACATATGCTGAAACTGTAGTTTAGTGTCACATGTGACGATCACCTCAAAAAGGGCATCCAGAGCCCCCGAGTCGGACACCGATCCCATGCCGACAGCAATCACCTCCAACCTTGGAAGGCACTTGTACAGTCTCTCCGTTTCCCACGGGGACGGGATCAGCTCTTACCTTGGGGTTGGTGGGCCAGCCCAGGCCCATTTGCGGGAGTATCATGATCCAGCACAGGGGATCGGCCTCCACGGGGCAACCGCTGCGATGCACCACTAGTTATAGGCTAGATCATATCTGGTAATGTTCAAAACAATCATTATAAGCAAAACGTTGACCTGGTTGATTTTGGTTAGCTTGCAAAGGTCCATGTCGCACCTCGTATGAAGTACAAGCACACCATATGAATACTAGACAAGGATTCTGCTCGTCGATGCTCACATCGGCTCGTTCATCGTACGAGCCTTGCTCCATTTACCATAAATACAACATAAAACCTCGAAAACCTCGTGTTAGGTCATTTCAAGGCATCAATATTTGATAACTAATATAGACTATAAGCTAATAAATGAAAGATGCTTTGGCATGGTATATCCGCAAGTTGAAGGCCCAACAAAACTGCATTTCAAGGTTGTCAGTACGTAAGGCTTGAAACTACTGGCTCGGGCAACAGTCGATGTCTCCAACTCAGAGACACGGCATCTGAGCAGATTTGCGATGAGGAAAAGTCAAAATATGAGCCTTGGTATGTATCAATGTCACACATTCGACATCTTGTCTTTCTTTAATAGTCATTAACCCAAAACCCGAGATCTTCACACCCCAATTAAAATGGGTCATACCATCCACTAGAAGGAGTAAAACAAGGTAAGCCAAGAATAGAAACGGAAGGTGTCTTCCAAGGTCCTCTACACAATTTATGTCAATGCATTTCACTAAATCATAAATCCAAGGAGAGGGCATTGCGCCATAGATCCAAACCAGCCGCGCCGTCCCATGTCCCATATCTGCTCCCATAATCAGGACTGTCTTCTCTGGTTCATCATATCACGAAATAAATTGTTCAGACCATCCACCATGGGCCCAGTTGAAAGAACCTGCCGAGCAGCGACGACGATGTCCTTCATATTCATGCTGACAGTCATCTCGGTAGCCCACTCCCACGGCCTAGCACGGTCCCCTGGGAGTGCATTAAAATACTCCCACCCCATCACGCCTCCGAAATTCGGGAATCTTTCAATCAGCGCCGCAAGCACGGCACTGATTTTGTCTCGGGGCACATATCCCTGTGAACCATTTCCAGGATTTGTCAAAAGGCCATAAACGATCCGATTAGGAGACCAGCCCTGCGCAATCATCGCCGCATACATGCGTGGGTCGTCCGCGGGGCCCCATCCATTATAGAACTGAGCATTGTACCAGCTAATCTTGGAGGAGCGTGCCTGTTCGAGTTGGCGATAGTCGAATCCAGACAAATTCCCCATTCCCAGCAACGCTGCGGCAACAGGTGCCAGAGTGATGATAAACTCATCACCCAGGTCAGACTTGAGTCGGTCAATCAGTCGAATAATGCCTTGTAGAGACATTTCCTCTTCAACGTCGAGGTCTCAGACCTTGTAGTCCATGGCGACGAATCATAGCTAGCAAAGGGCCGTAGTAGCGTTCGAATTTTTCTTGGTCGCCGTCGAGACGCTGGAAGGAGCCTTGTGCTGCGCCGCCGAGCAAGCCCATTATTTTCACCCCGCCCTGTTTGAGTAGGGGTACTTCGTTCCATAATGGGTCGTATTTGGGGCTATCTGGGGGGTCGTCGTTGAGTGTTATATCACCCGGTTCGCCATTGATATGAATTGCGGCGATGATAACATGCGTGATGCCAGTGTTGTTAGATAATAGTGGCATCATAGGGACATATGGGCCCGAATTCGGCAGGAGTGTTTGGTGATAGAGGATAACCCGTCGACGGTCTCCATCCACACCTGGAATTGGCGGCATATTGATAGCGAAGGTGGCTAGAAAATTGAGTGTCCCGATAGGCTCAGTGTTGTGTCTGAGAGCTCTGGTCTATCTCCCAAGGTGGATCTCGAGATGGGCAGAATGCAGTGGTCTTATATAGCGAGATAATGGCCTTGGCAGTGATCCAATGCTGTGATGTTCAAGTTGGTTATTAATAACGACTGGGAATCAACTGATAGATACCGCTGATGATAGCAGCAGACCCTCGTTCCAAACCAAGCTTGGAAATCTTTGGAAGTGTTGTTTCCTCCGGTCCCGATGTCCCCACCTCCGGCGGGCTTTGTGAATGTTGGTTGCGTTCGGCTCTGACTAAGCGGTCGCGGGGCCCCGAGGCCACGCCACGAGATCGAGCCACCGGATGGCGAGGTTCCCTTGGTGAATCATTCGGTAAGTAATTGGATAATTCGAGATGTTGGATAGAATAGAGATATTATGAGAGATTGAGTCACTGAAAATGACTACGTGGAGTGGAATTGCAACCTTGGAAATTGGGGTGTCACCTGGGTGACTGCCCAAATGTGGAGATATATTCAAGTTGTAGTATACTTCACCACGAAACTCTAGAGGTCCATCCCACCGGTATTGTTCAAGTTCAAGTTCAACTTTAATCTTTACAACCTTGGAATAGTCCGAAATTGAAGAGTCCATGGCTTGTGTAGAATACTCGGTCATCAAACATTAGAAAATGCATCTTTATGAACCCTTGGAACTCGAATGGATCCGGTTCGATTATTCTGACCATCCTGGGTTGCCGCTGGATAGGGACAGAGTGGTCCGGGATAACCTCGCACTGGAGTCAATGTGGATGGCGAATCAAGTACTAAGTCGCGAGAGAACGGAAGGATACAGTACTAGAAGGCAACCTGGAACCTCTATGATATCAATTTGCCTTCAGACTGGATATAATCGAACCCATCTCCGTACTAGACATGATGAAGTTTCCTACCGGCCCGGGGGCAAATACCCATGCATAAGGCTAGTATTCTTTGTGTATTGCTTTATTGATATTCATATCTGTTTAATCTTTTCCCTGGTCAAATCTCACACGTGTAGTATTTTGGAAAATGCTAGGCTTTCTGCGTCGTTTGCAACCATCAGCTGGATCCCAGCGCGTCGTCGATGGGGATTGCTGCGGAATCGCCACAACAGCAGCGGGGCGGCATGCCAACCCTGGCAACTTTGCTAATCGGCCACGAGAGGTTCTTTCAGAGATAGGCCATCGGGGTGGCAAAAGCAGCAAAAGGGGCGAAAAGGCGAGAGGCGGAGGATTCCATAGCGAGATGGACTCTGATCAGCAAGTATGACATTACGCGCCAGTTTCCTCACATCTCTGCATATTATTTGAGCCAGGCTAATCATTCCACCCTGGACGCATTGGGATAGCATCAATTCACATCCAAATCCAAAGGTGGTCGTGGCAATAGAAAAGCAGCGACGCAGTTGGAGGAAGCCTTGAAGGAATCCAAGCGACGCAACCAGGAAGTAGTGGTTCCACCTACGTTTGAACAGTGGAAAACATAGACAATTGACACGAAACCTGCGATGTATTATCCATAACTACATGTAGCATGTGCATGTAGCATGTCAATGTGTAGATGCACAGGTCTAGTATGAAGTAAATGAAGCTAGGCTGGAATAGGCAGGGAGTAAATAGAAATGGCAGCCTGAGGCCACCAACTTCAACCGTTTCATCGCAATCGCATCGCATCGCAATCGAAAGCTTTCTTCCCCCGCAATTCGCGCTATTGTTATTCTTGGTTCTTCGTTCCGTCACCCACTCTACTGGGATGTTGAGGTACTTTTATTAAACTATTATCTACAATCCCGCTCCTCCCCCCTCTTAGCTGTGCCCCTCGTCTTGCGCCTGCGCGATTGGAGTTTCACGTTCCAGACGCGTCGGAGTTGGAGTCGGCCACAATGGCCAACGCAGGCTACACCTCGCCATTCCCAACCTCCCACGACACAATCGGGCAATCGACTCTGGCAACTCCCCTTTTCATGCCCTCGTCGCCTCCCCAGAACCCCGTCAGCCCTCCCGAGTCGCCGCTTCCCGTAGACAGCCCCATCTACCCTGACGATCATTCCGATCGCGAATCCGTCAACAACGATGACAACCACGCCAAAGACACCGCGCTGAACCACGGAGGCAATGATTCAAGACCCCCCGAGTCCATCGCCGTCGGACTTGGATGCCCGCCTCGCCGAATATACTCTAGACTTCAGTCAATTCCCGAGTGGCCATTTCCCCGACACCAGAGACGGCGCGCCGTTGCCAGAATTGAAGGAACTCGAAGAAGACAAATTGTCGGATGTGGGAGGACCAGAGGACTTTACGGCCAATATGGAGAAATATCTCTTCGAGGAGAGCCTTCCAAGCATGAAGAAATACCGCAAGACGGAGAGTCGCGAGGGATCCGGATCTATATTGCAGAACAGCACGGTGCGATCCAGACAGCCCGTCATTGAAGATGACGGGGACTCGGCGGATTATAGCGAATTTGGACCTCCAGTTGATATGTCGACTCCATCGCATGTTCTGAACCGCACCAGCGCCCTAGCCAAAGACTCAAACCTCGAAGACATCGAGGAGGACCCCGCCGATGATCTACCAAGCCCGGCGTCCCCGTCGCTACGTAGGGTGTCAATCACGCCAGAGAAGGAGAGACATGAGGATGAAGAAAAAGAATCCGAACAAGTTCAGCATGAGACACACGATTTACTCCAGCGCATCGAAGATCTAGAAGAGGATGTCAGGGATCGCGATGAGCAGCTGAGCAAAAATCGCAAACGGGTTCTCGAGGCCGCTTCGGCTGGCGAGCAAATAAGACACCTTCAAGACGAGATTCAACGGAAAAACACCTATCTGGACGAGGCGGAAGGCAAAGAAAATGAAGTGGATGTACTTCGTGAGCAACTCGAGTCACTCCAGAAACAAAACGAGGAACGCGGGCGGCTTCTCGAGCAGTTCCAGGCCGAGCCCAACCATAAGAGCGCACTCGAGCAAAAGGTTCGCGAGATGCAACAGCAGTTGGAGACTCGAGATACCCAGAACTCACTGGATGCTGAGCGGTTAGAAACGATCGCGCATTTGCGCGAACAGCTGAAGATCAGCCAGGAGCAGCTGAAGAAGCGTGATTCAACTCTGGAAGAGACAATGGAGAAGCTGAGAGAAACCACCCGAGCGAAGGAGGTAGAACTCAATGACAACAATACCGAGATCGATAGGCTCAAGGCTGAGCTTGACGATCAGGCTTTGGAAAATGAGCGATTGGATGGAGAATTGGATCGTGTTAACAGCGACTACCTGGATCTCGAAGATCGATTTACTACTCTTCAAGCTCAGAGCCAGCCTCTGGAGGATCTCGAGGAAAGAAATCTTTCTCTCGAGGCCGATCTCACCCGTGTTCAGTCTCAAGTCGAGGCTCAAGAAAATGCCCTCAAAGCTGTCGCGGCGGACTTGCCTGGTGGCCATAGTACCGGTGGTCATAGTACGTATAGCGAAATCCTCGACTTGATCAAGGATATTGGACACACAAGCCTTGACTCGGGTCCTCGGTCACCATTGAAAGACAGATTCCCCGGGGATGAAGATGACGATCTACTGGAACTACGACACGAGATTGAGAAGCTCCAACAAGAAGCCCATAACGCCACTGCTGGCCACAAAGCAGCAGATATCGAGATCAATCGCCTCCGTGAACAAGTGGCCGAATCCCAATCTCTGATCAAGACCATCGAAGCCGAGAACTCTCGGCTTACTACCCGCGTTGACGATCTGACCGCCAATCTCAACAAAACACAGCACGAGCTGACTCGTACCCAAGAGGAACATGCCGAATCTCTCGAAACAGTCGCCCGTCTTCAAGAAGAAGCACTCGGCCAACCACCCAGCCCTCCCCCCTCACCACCAACCGCACGAGCCGTCCCCAACACAGAGCAGCCAGACCCTGCAGCTACCGCAGCCCTGGAAGCTTCACACCAGGCACAGATTAGAAGCCTCCAAACTGCCCACTCCACAGCGGTATCCACCCTCCGCTCATCACACGCCGAATCAATGTGCAAGGTCCGGGATATACTCAGCGCTGCCGAGAAACGCGAATCCGACCTCCGCGCCGAACTGACAACACTGCGCAGTAAGACGTCCGCACAAGAGACTAAACTGCGCAAGTCATTCAAGCACGAGGTCCGTCGTCTCGAAGCCGTCATTGCTGCAAAGGATGAAACCTCCGCTGCGGTTGACCAGCGCATCGCACTGTCCGTAGACAAGCGTGAGCAAGAATGGGAGCGTCGCGTCGATCTACTCCTCGAGGAGCGGGATCGTATGGCCAAGGCACTCATGATGTACTGGGGTGAGAAAGAGATGGGTCGTGGGCCGGGAGTTTTGGCAGATGGTAAGGAGAGTCGTGGCGAGTCGACGACGGATTCCAAACAAGGTCAAGCATATCGGTATAAGTATGCGCAGAAACACAAATCTAAGAGCGGGGAGAGAAAGGCATGATTGTTTGGATCTTTGCTTTCGGCTCATGGATGGCTTGTTTTTTTGTCCGTTTCTCTCTCTAGTTCTTTTGTATCACTTCTTCTCTTTCCTGCCTGCATACTGTCGAAATGGACTAGGGTGCCCGGAGTCTTTGAACTTTCTGCTTTTTCTTTGCATGTAACGAGGCGCATCCTGTCGCGTGTGGTGGGTATTGGAAATAATTCAAATTGGAACTTTCTCTATTCAACTGATCAATTAACTCGTATTTGACGTTTTCATAACTGGACTATGGAAAGCATAAATGATAGCGATTAAAAGCACGGGTTTGGTATGGTAGTATGATGGTATCTAACTTGAACGACAATAAAACACAAACAACGCTCTCCTATTCCTATTCCGAACAATCCTCCAATACAATCCTATAACCTTCAAGTTAAGCCACACTGAGAAGCAGAAAAAAAAAAAGTCTGACCGGCAGACCAGTACGGTAGTATATTAGGACGGCCTTTTAGTAAAAGCCCATGCTGGTGCGGTTGGCACCACGATAAGTGTTGTGATCGAGAACACTACGTCGAGCCTGGGTGCCGCCACCATTGAGGCGAATTTCGTCCACAGAAGCCCGAGAGTCGGGAATTGCCTCTAGAATGCAGCTAAGTGGACCACTCGCTCCGCCGTGAGTGCTGCTGCGAGGTCGACGAGTGCTCGGGTAGATGATCTCGACGTCGTTGCGACGAGGGCGGGAATCACGCGGCTAGGATCGAAGACATGCTGGCTTGCCCAGCGGGTGGGAATTGGCTGGGGATGATAATATTGCTGTTGCTGGTGATACTGGCTTTGGATGTGGCGTGGTTTGTGTGATAGCTCGAATGAGTACGAGCTACTCCGGGTGGGCGCGGGTAGTTGAGCAATTTGGGGTTGCATGTTGTGCCGTGAGCTGCTTCGTGATGGGGGCATAATGGACACTGGTGACATGCTTGTGTTCTGTCTGCATGATGCGGAGTATCTCGGAGCATTGGCTGGGCTTGGTACTGGTGGTGCTGGCGATGGTGTAGATCCAGGAACGAAGTTGGGGTGGTGTGGGTGATGAATAGAACGTCCGGCTATGGAGAAATGTTCCGTTTGAGACCGTCGCACTTTGGCTGGTTCTGGAGGTTCAACGACGACTTCGGGGGCATCGGCGGAATTCATTGTCATGGTTCTGTTGTGGCCCTCGGGCTTGTTGGTGGTTGAGGTGCTGACGGATTTGGTTGGAGTTTGAGTTGTGTCGGTGCTGGAAGAATGGGTTTCTGTTGCGTCGGTGGTCTTGATTTCCAAGAATGAAAACTGAGATTGGCCTTGGGAGGTGGAAGGTGTAACAACCTGCTTCTCAACGTCTGATGCTGAGTTTGGATCGGCCAAGGCACGAATCTGAGGGTCTGACGACAAGGGCAGCGATATTGGAAACGATTTGGGAAAGAAACGCTTCAGCGATGACAGCGATGATTTCCCGCGTTTATGATAGGCAGTATATTGCTTGGGAATTGGCGGGACTTTGGGTGCAAAGAATTCGGCAAGCAAGTTCCTGGATTCGGAGGTAGTGGTGGTCATGATGGTAGATGTTCGCGAGATAGGGTAGAAGTCACTGGCCACGGTTTGACCACCAGGCGAGGTTCGAGGATATGTATCATCGGGAGAAATTGTGGTTCCTGAGGTAATCTCTCCATACTCAGAGCCCGCGTTCGTGTTGAGGCGAAGTTGTGGGCGCAGGCGAACTGGAGCAGGGTGTCGGATGCTGGGATGGCAGCTGACTTTGTTGGCAATGGGGTCGATATACCACGGTTCCTCGCCGGCTTTGCCATCATGCTGGCGGCAGAGATTCAGGATTTCATTCTTCAGAGTCTCATCGCTGTCCCAGCTGTTCCCTGATAGGATACTGCCATCGCGCAGTGCTTGCTGACTTTTATAAATACCGATAATCGAAACGTCATAGGGTCGGTCGCATAGTTCTCTTGCACAGTACATCGTGCAGACAGTAATCCTGGAGAAGGATAATTAGTAAAACATACTGGAGTTTCGTGCGGTCTGAATTGGCATGGGATACTCACAGTGCTACGACCGAGACAATAACGGTAGAGCGATGAAATGCGCAGCTTGTTCCAACCCGCCAAAAAGTGGCATCGGTTCCATCTGGCAGACAGTAGACTTGCTGAGCGGCTACCACCAGGCCGGAGACTGATGTAGCTAGCCAGAGCATAAGATCCAATCTGTAGACATAGGAGCAGATATTGTGCAGAACCGTTTTCTGCTGACCAAATCCACCAATTTTATTATATTGCCAGGCGACTAGGCTTTGGAGAGAGATAAGGGGAATTGTCATGAATGACTAGGTAGGATTAGTATTGTGATGGCTCATATGGGATGACAGAAACGAACCGAAACCAGAGCAAGAACCAGGCTCACAGTCATCTTCGAATCTACCTGGTGTCTTCCATAAAGAAACAGCACCAGGACCAGTTGAAGCACCGATTCGAGGATCAGGAAAAAGAGGGAGACGAAAATGACTAGTTTAGTCCAGGTGCCTTCTTTGCGCGGCGTCGCTGAGAATCCGGTAGCCATGGTGGTGATGGGGATGCGACCTGACTGCAGTATCGCTTTGATGTACTGGCGAATGAGAAGCACTAGCACCGGTGGCCTAGTATGACTATTACCAAGGGAAAAGACCGAGGATAGAACAGAGATTCACCGAAGAACCGCCTAACCCAAGTTTTGCCTGTTTAGTAAATCATCAATGGCAGAAGAAAAGACGTGTCGAGGCATGAGGAACAACCCTGGACTAAAAAAGGAACCAAATTAGGCACTTCCAGCCTGTGAGCGCGTCGACGCGCCGGAGTGTGGAGGGGTGGAATGTGCCAGCCGAGGGGTCGGGCATGGAAAGAATCCCAGCCGCGACCACAACCGACAAGAGAGTCGGTAGCTTCCTTCCGATGATCGCATCGGATGATCTGCTGGGAATGTTGCCAGCGCGGGAGATGAAGGCACGGCTAGGGATGTGGCCAAAGAGTGTGCTGGTGTCTATCCCTGTGGATCGCCTTTGCTCGACGTCAGCTCGTTTCACGCCTTGAGAATGGAAAACTCGGGGGAATTTAAGGAATTCAGTGTACTTAATTACTTAATCGGAGAATAGGACAGGGCGGCCCCGGAAGGCCAGAGGGGGTCCATCTAGGATGGTTGTTAGTCGAGGTTGTCGAGGGTTGAAATTGAGTTGGAAGTTGGGGTCTCCTCAGGGCGAACAACATCCCTCGATGACGAACCACCCTTTTGGACGCAATTAACAAGAACAGCCATAAATAAGATATTGACAACCTTTAAGCTACGCACAGCACCTTATTTGCCCATTCAAATTGCCCAGGCCAAATCCTCCCATCTAAAGCCCACACGTGATGATCCGAGGGGGGTTCCCTTTGGCGAGTCCTTGCTGGTGGAGCATCCAGGAGTTTCAAGACTCATCATACTTGACATCGGATCGTGCAGAAAGGAAATAAAAACTGATCTGCCCGTCAAAATTGAGATGGAATGTGAAGAAGACCTGTCAACACTGCTCTAGGTAGAAGTTGTTGGGTCTTCGTCGCGTCTAGAAGTTTATACTTCAACATACCGGACTGACACGGGCTAGAACCACGAGGGATCTCATTCCAACCTGAAAACTAATCTTCCTTCAAGTACTGAGACTCAATTCATACCGCTGGGTGTAAATAAATCTGGCTTCTCTCGGATTCTCCCGCGTGATCGAACTGCGCCTCCTGCCGTGGAAACTTTCGCCAACTATTTCCTCCCTATTCTTGAGAACAGAGACAATGAGTAATTATCTCTCACTATGTCCTCATCTTACAGCAGATAAATTTAGAGAACGGAGACGTCTCATCCCTCGTTTCCTACTACCACGGGCTAGTAGACCATGGTCATAGGCAATTACAAGTTGAACCCGACCCTGATCATGATACTATAAGGTGTGACCTTTTTCTCCTGAATTCTATGACCTCGTTGAAATCATTTAATAGTGAACATTGGTTTGAGGCCCTATTGAGCTCGGCTGAACTAGCCCGCAAACTCATACTTGGCTTGCCCTTGAGCCTGCGATGGTTTGAACATGTACATGTGTCCACCATCATCATTGGGATCCGGATTATCCGTACGGTCTCTCGCGGTTGACAGGTACAAAATGTCATGATTCTTGCCACCCCAAGTAGGACATGTTGGATATCTGGCGGGCAATTCAATCTCATTGAGCTTTTTACCTTCGGGGTTGAAAACCATGACTTTCCCGGTAGAGTACACGGCTACCCACAAGTTGCCATCATTGCTAAATTTCATCCTGATAAGCGTTCCGGATGCGAATGTGATGACCTGGATGATGAAATGACTCACTCTGTAACCAACCCATCTGGCTCTGCCTTGGCGGCTCGAAAGTCGACGAGGGTCCGCTGGTTTGAAACATTCCCAGTTTCAAGGTCAAAGTCGAGCGACGTGATTTTCATGCCCATGGAATCATTCAAGTACACTGGGTATGTGTTTTAGCGTTTATTCTTAATTCAATGGTTCAAAGGCAAGGTCACTCACTCGTCTTGTTATCAGGGCTCCATTTCACTCCATTGCCACACAAAATCCCACCGGGGATCATCAGATGCAAGCTGCCGTCGGGATCATACCTCCACAGCCTCCCCTTAGGTTCGCCATAGCTCTCAGGCCAGTGGTCCATGTCGAAAGCTGTAGCTCGAACGTCTATTTCCGCTAGCCAAAAGCGACCGGCAGCATCAACACCACCATCGTTGAATCGTCGTTGATCTCTCTCAGCCGTGGGAATGATCTCACGAACGACTTCAAAGGTTCCGCTTGCCTCGTCTAAAAAGCAAACACCCTGATAATATGCCGCGATATAGCTACCAGGCTTGTTTTGACGGAATGCTGCAACGCTGACACTGTCGGAAAGAGGCAGAATCCGAGCTTCCTCGCCCGTAGGAGAGCCAGTTTCTGGGTCGGTCGGAAGAATGTAAAGCTCGCACGGAGAGGACAGACAGTCAAACCAGTGCAGTGTGGAGTCGCTGGCTCGGTAGATCGGCCCCTCACCAAGCACCATCCGACCCTTTGGAGGTCGGTAGATGGGCGGGCCTGTAGAAAACGATTCAATCGCGCTGTCCATCGCGCTAGTGATCTATTGCAGTGTACTTGACAGGTGAGGATGATTTGACCGCGCCCTGAGATTTCTTGGGGCAGGCATTGGCTCCACTGTGGCTGCTTGACACGCCGTGGGGTGTCATCTTTGCTCCAAAGTGGGGGTTGCCCAGGTGCGCGGGGAAGGAAAACATGGTGGTGTTGGGATATATTCGATAAACGGATGCATTACAATACAGAAATAGTCCCCTGGGATCATTTTTGCAATGAACTTGCGCAGGTAGGCACTCGTATTCCAAGGTTGCCAGACTATATTTTATTTAATACAAAATAATGTTCGCGGGTTGCATACGAAGGTCGAAATTGGTGTTCCGAGGTACCAACTTCCAAGGTTAAAGGCTGGACTAGGCCTATCGAAACAAACCAAACGGAATGGCGTGAAGGACTCGTCTATACTGCATATTAAAGGCGAGGCGGACTTGTGAAGTCGAAAAGAAATCGGCCACATTACTCCACTAGAAGTACTTTTGGGGAGGTCTCGGTCTACCGTTGCTTCAAGTTGCAATAGAATTCAAGTATTTTCCTGAAATCTTCAGTTTCAGGCACTTTCGCTGGCCCGGAATACAAGCAAAAGTATATGTTGATGATGTATTTTGAACATGCCTTGAACTAGTAGTCAATAGGAGTAAGTGAGGCAGCCGGCGGGATTGATAGTTCGAAAGAATCTGAAAATATTCGTACCTTGACAAGACCTACAATGAGAAGTTGATACTGTACTCAGTCATTACAGGATACTGGTGAACTTTTTCCACAATAGAAGTCAAATTTTGAGCTGTCAAATATGACGCTGATTTCTGTACAAGTTCGAACCTTGTAACTATGCTCCGACGCGCTCGCACCAAAATTGCCTAGAATGACTCAGTAGAGTAGCCAGCAGCCCAGACGGCAGTAAATCCTTTTATCCATTGCCAAGCGAGAATATTCTTTCATCTTTTTCCCCACAGGTCAAAGGAGCACAGCATTGGAATCTGAGGGATTTCTATTACCACTCGAAAGTACTGCCTTGAGCGGGTCTCACTTTTCTGGCTTCGGATCCGGAGGGCATCGCCTTCATTTTAGAATTAACAAGCAATTTTTAAAATTGCGCGCTCAAATATACTGATAATTTTCTTTCCAGCCCCATTGACTTGGCAGGTGTGGTGGTCGAAAAATGATGGAAGAGGCTTTAAAGTGGAACTGTTTTAGTCTCTTGAAAAGACACTATTGACCGGTGCACCATGGCTAGCGAGACATTTCGGTGCCAACCTAAGCTATCGCGTCCCACTACTCACCTTGGTCGTTGGTATTACTTTAGTGCTTTTTGGCCAGCCACCAAAAAAGGAAAAGAGTGCGAGTAGTGGCATTAATATGGAGCAGGTCTGAAGTCTGTTTTTTGTGTATCAAGCCATATCGGCAGATTGACGTGGGGGCGGAGATCAGAGCGAAGAACCTATCAAACCTTCTCAGGGATATCGATTCCATCGCCTTTAGATCTAAAATACGCAATTCGAATATCAGTGGAAGATTTTGTTAAGCGGAATAGTAGGATCGGTAGGTAGTATTCTACTGAGGTGCGCTAACGCAGCAGGGTATACTAGTATCACAAGTCCGGCAAAACGCCCTGGTCCGACATGCAGCGATGGTAGCATTCAACCCCTCACTCAGATTTGGCTGGTAAGATGAGGGCACCCTTGTTAGTTAGACTCTAACCGAGATGGCGAACGAACGTGTTGATCCGGTTGGCTTCCGACATCCATGATTGCCCACCTTGATTGGCGCTAATCAAGTGATCCATCTCCACCAACCCTCGCTAAAGCAACACTAGCGCATCTGAGAAGCAGGAACGAAATGAGCGCTGCTTAGTCCAGTAACCCAAGCCGAGCTAATCATGAAGCTCAGTATCACCAAAATTACCTCGATTGTCCTGGCATTCTCAATTTAGTTGATAATCTCATTGCTGGAATGTAACGGGTAATTTGTTTGTTGTTTTCGCGATGGTCCGATGCAAACGTTGGCTTGCATATCTTAACAACCCAATAGCGGAGTCCACCGGACCTTGGGACCCTTTTTGACTAGGGGAGCCCATCCGTTTCCAATTTGCTCCATACTGCGCCCGGGCCCTTGAGTCTAGCCTTGTTTGTAGTGTTTAAGCCTCTTTTATGCGGCTCTTAACCAGACGCCAAAGCCAAGGAGGCAATCACGACCCCTTCATATCGGGCTCCCAAAAGGGCCGGAAGTAATTTCCTCACCGTATTGTGGCATATCTGTATCATTACCAGAACCGGCGACATTCCTTTTCTATGCTTTTTTGTTTGTCTCTTATATCGCCCATCAATGTAGATGAGAGTGCTCTTCAAATTGTACCGCATTGTCTTCCTCGGATCTTAACCGCCCAGGCCAAATTTTGCCTTCGACTTTTATTTGCTAGGGATGTGGAGTGGCTTGTTCATGGGTCATCGGAGACTAATCCTTAGGCTGCAAAGAAACCGGTATCTTTCAGGGCCAGGGTAGAGCCTTTCGATTTCCTTAGCAGGATTCGACCCCTTGTACTAGTGCGCCGTTGTTCAAGTCCGTTAGCGGCTTTCTCTAGTACTGCACGAATTATGTACAATCATCGTGGCCTTTTAATGCAAGCCCCCGTCTTTCTCTCTTAAACTTTCCCTACATTTTGTTGGATAGAATTTCGCTCTTTTTTCTGCGTCTACGAACTGCTTAAGCGGACTCTTGTTCGCGTCCCTTCATTCATTTGACCTTGGGAAGATTTCCCCTACGCTCATTCTATACAACGGGTCGACTCGTTAGACTCTTTTTGCCATTCGTTATTACTTTCGGAAATGGGTTTTTTGAAGACTTTTGCCGCCACGGCGGTGCTGGCTGCCCTTATTCCCAATTCTGCTGCTCTGAACGTGGATTCCAAATCTAACGTAGCTGTTTATTATGTGAGTTTACTAATTTCAAACGGAAATCCTATGTCTACCTCAGCTTACAGTGAATTCTAGGGTCAAGGTGCCTACCAGCCTCGGTTGAGTCATTTCTGCCAGGAAACTTCTCTAGATATCATCAATATTGGTTTCATCAACGTCTTTCCCAAAGCTGTGGGAGATTGGCCAGGCTCCAATTTTGGCAATCAGTGTGATGGTACCGTTTACGAAGGCACTGAGCTTCTCAAGGGCTGCCACCAGATATGGGATGATATTCCCATCTGTAAGGAACTTGGGAAAACGGTGATGCTGTCGCTTGGTGGTGAGACTGCCTATGAAGATATTCCCTCTGACGAGGTTGCGGAATGGTTTGCCGATTTCCTGTGGTATTCCTTCGGTCCCCCTGGCCAAAATGATACCTTCCCCCGTCCCTTCCTTGACAACCAAGTTGACGGCTTTGATTTCGATATTGAGCATGATGGTGGCTATGGTAACGCGCTCCCTCTTAGAATTACTATACAAAAATGAACTTCTACTAACGAGGAAATAGGCTATGCTACTATGATTCAACGCCTTCGGAGCCACTTCGCCGACTTCCCAGACGAGACCTTCTACATCTCTGGTGCACCACAATGCCAGCTTCCCGATGCCCAGCTCAGCGATGCCATCTCCAACTCGCATTTTGACTTTATTTGGGTTCAGTGGTACAATACAGCCGCTTGTTCGGCCACGAACTTCCTGGAGGAAAATGGTCTCTTCAACTTCGCTGCATGGGCTGAGATTATTCAAGCCAGCGCCAACCCGGCCGCAAAACTTTTCGTCGGACTGCCAGCATCTGAACAGGCTGCTGTGGATGGGTTTTACCTTAGCCCAGCGGAGGTTTACCCTCTTGTGGATATCTACATGAACTTGTACCCCGATACGTTTGGCGGTATTATGCTTTGGGAGGCCACGGCGTCGGATAACAATGCGATCGATGGTTACAACTATGCCCAGCATATGAAGCACATCCTCCATGAATGTGATCCATCCCCGCCGCCGACTTCGACTTCCACCATCTTCGTGACGCCGACTTCAAAGCCCGTTTCGTCAACACCCTCTAGCCCGGCGGTGCAGACAAGCTCTCAGACACCCTCGTCTGCCCCTGTGTCATCAAGTCAACCAACCTCCTCGAGCACTTATGTCGCATCTTCCACCGCCTCGCCTTCGTCGCCACCGGCTAGCTCTGTTACACCAACGATTATTTCATCTAGTGCAGCACACTCAAGCACCTCGATCGCATCTTCCACCGCCTCGCCTTCGTCGCCACCGGCTAGCTCTGTTACACCAACGATTATTTCATCTAGTGCGGCACACTCAAGCACCTCGATCGCATCTTCGAGCCCGGTGACTGGCTCTTCCAGCAGCCCGGCCACCTCTCATTCGGTCTCATCAAGCACAACTAGCGAGAGCTCCATTCCAGCCCCAGCGTCAAGCCACAGCCACCCGGCTTCATCCAACACTTCTGGTTCTGAGAAGCCCTCCACTAAGCCAACTGCTACCCCGAGCGAAACTCCATGCTCAAGCGAACCCGTCATTCCCACCCACTCCGTCACATCCTCAGGCCCTGCTAGCCACTCAAGCTCTCCCTTGCCTGGAAAGTCAACTCATACTGGAAACCCCTCTGCTTCAGAATCACTCGGTAGTACTACCACTGGTTCTAGCTCGTCGTCAGCTTCTCGGACTCCATCACGCACTATCACCCGGACTCCAGTCTCCAGCCCCCCAAGCTCCACTGGCACTCATCTGAGCCCCTCAGGCGATTCTTCGGCCTCCGCCTCCCTGTCAACGACATCCGGATCCGCCATTTCTTCCACCGAGGTCACTGGAACCTCCCCTGACAGCACCCTTACTACGGGAGGCCCAATTGCTACAGGAGTCGAGTCTTCCACTGGCCCCCAGTCCACTGGAAAGGGCGGCGAGTCTACAACTGGCCCCCAGTCAACCGGAAATGGTGGAGAGTCTTCCACTACCCCCCCAGTCCACTGGAAAGGGCGGCGAGTCTACAACTGGTCCCCAGTCCACCGGTAATGGTAGCGAGTCTCAAACTGGTTCAAGTGTTACGGCTTCACCATCAGTGACAACTGCTGCATCTGTTACAACACCCCCAACTGTGACCACCATCATTGTCACGTCGTACACTGATATTTGCCCTACTGGTTTCACCACCATCACTACAACTATCACCACTACCATCTGTCCAGAAGCCACTGCAGGTGTGACCAACCCTCCTTCTGGACTTGCATCGACTACGCCCTCTATTCCCGAAGGCTGGACCACTACCGTCAAGGTCTGTGATAACTGCGCGCCGACACCTACTACCGTCACTTTGACCCTACCAAACCCCATTCAAACGACCGAGGTTGCCGTGGAAACTTCCCCCGTTCTCGTGACTACTGAAACATGGACCACAACTGTTACTTTCTGCAAACATTGCGGCGTCACTGGCTCATCGGTCACATTGACCGTCCCTTATACCACTGTTATCTCCACTGCGGTGACTGTGGTGACTCCAGGTGCTTCACCTGAACAAGGTGAAGTGACCATTCCCGGTGGCTTGCCTCAAACTACCATTGGCAACTCTCAAGGAGCGATGCCTAGTCATGGACCATCGTCATCCTGGAGCTACATCAGCGGAGGGGTGCACGCACCTAGCCAAACACCTACGTTCAAGCTCCATGCTTCAACAACACTGACGGTTCAAAACCCTGCCCCAACTGGCAGTGGTGAAGGTGTGTCACCGGTATTCAACGCGGCTGGGTCTCAGTCTGGCCTGATGAGCCTTTTCGGCGTTTCCCTCGCAGCTGTGCTTTCTATCTGCCTTCTCATTTGAGCTTTTTGAAATTTTCACTAGCGCCAGCATCCAAATCGGGGTTCGATCCCGGTTAATGGGCTGGCTGCTGCTTTTGTATGCTTACGATGTTTTATAATTCGCTTCTATATCTCTGATCTCCCCCTTTCCAAGTATTATAATTTGGAAGAGCGGAGTGATTTACATTCTAATTTGCAAGACTAGCAATAACCTTTACGAATTGAGTTTAGGTCTTCATGATCTACGAGCGAGTCCATAGCGATAGAATTTCATTGGTGGTTCTGTCTAGAGAAGGAACAAATATCCCCTGGCACGCGGGAACCTATTCATCAATTGCGCTTAGTGTAGCTCTTGTACTAGTATTACATATGCAGTTCAAGTTCTTTGCCCAGCATTTCAGTTCAACAGAAACCACTGAGCTTCATCTATATTTTCATCTCTATAGTATAGGGACGATCAAGGACAGCAATTCTTTCATAATTAATGCATACTAGTACGTAGTGCACTTCCCCGCACTGGCGCACCCACGGGGGACCGGAGCCGAGGCCGAGGTCCGCAGAATCGGTTGATCGACCCCATTAAACCCCATTAAACCCTCTCTAAATCTATCATCTCCTAGTATCAACCATGTCTGCTCCTCCTCTTGAAGGCATTCGAGTAGTCGAACTGGCCGGTCTGGCCCCAGGTTTGTTCGCAACTTAATATCTCTTCGGTTATCATGTATTGATCTCATCGTAGGCCCTTTTGCCGGACTTCTTTTGGCCGACTATGGCGCATCAGTTCTACGCGTCGACCGCCCTTCCGCTGTCAGCGGCGATCAATTAACTCGTCGCAAGACCTCTATCACCTTAGACCTGCGTGAGGAAAAGTCGCGTGATGTTCTTCTTCGTCTTCTTGGAGGAGCCGATGTCCTGATCGACCCTTTTCGTCCGGGGGTCCTTGAACGACTCGGACTTTCGCCCACCGATGTCCTTCTCAAGCACAACCCGCGACTTGTCGTGGCACGTATGACTGGGTTTCGCCGCGATGGCAAATACAAAGACATGGCCGGTCACGACATCAACTACATCGCCGTATCGGGCGTTTTGTCAATGCTTGGGCGCAAGGGCGAGAAACCTTTAGCTCCGGGTAATATTCTCGGTGATTTTGCTGGTGGCGGTGCGATGTGCTTTATGGGAATTCTTCTCGCCTTGATGTCGCGCTCACATACCGGTCGTGGACAAGTTGTCGAAGCCAACATGGTCGATGGGTCGGCATATCTCGCCACGTTCCCGCGTCTAGCTCGTCAAACGCCTGCATGGGGCGAAGCGCGGGGGGAGAATCTGCTTGACAGTGGATGTCCCTACTATGACACATATGAGACCAAGGATGAGGGGAAATACTTCGCTGTTGGTGCCCTGGAACCTCAATTCTACGCGGCACTTCTTCGCGGATTGGAATTTGACCCGAAGGCCATTCCCGACCGCACAGATCGTGATAACTGGGCAGCGCTTCGGGAATTGTTCACACGTCGGTTCAAGGAGAAGACTCGGGCCGAATGGGAAGCTGTCTTTGACGGTACTGATGCCTGCGCCACTCCCGTTTTCGAACAAGACGAGTTAGAGAACGCGGGATACGATCAAAGACCCGCTGTAACACTTCGGCAAACACCCGCTCACCCTATCAAGTCAGATGAGGGCGGGTGGACTGGAGGGGGTCTCATGCCTGGAGACGGGGGTGTGGAGACGCTGCGAGGGTGGATGGGATGGGAGCCCAACAAAGACTACCTCGTTCGGAAGGATGGCGCGCTTCTATCAGTGGATGGCCGGGCGAAGCTGTGAAACTTGTTTGAGAAAACCACTCGGTCCTTTCATCTTCTTTTCATATGAACAGGTTTCGATCGATGTGAGAGATTTTGAATTGTGGGCATTGAGTTTCGCATTGCAGGTCCGATGGAGACATAGCACCTACAATTTACACACTACAAACATCGGATGTACACGTAAATACATACATACTCGTATCCAATGAGTTCTAAGTACTCTGTATCTCGTATTCTTTGAGCTGAGTTGTGTCCTCACTCGGTAGGGATCTTCAATCCTCAGCCTCACTTAGGCGGGATAGAAAGTATACGTGAAGTATACGGGTACCTGATTCCGATTTTGGCCAGTCAATTCGTCATCAGGCACAGTTACTGGCATAGTCAATTTGTTGTCCTCCGTAATTGGCAAACTGCTGTCCGGTTCCAACGAAAAAAGCTGGATATGCTAAGACATATATTACGTCACCACTGTCGGATACTACATCACCACGTGCCGAGTGTGGCGCAGCGTGGCGCAGGTTGAAAATTTACCGATCCACTCGTTTCAACTCATTGTAAATTACACAGCCCTACAAATGCACCGCCACAAATGCAACCATAACGGTTGATTAGACAGGGGTTCAGATGATCTCTAAATCAATGTCTCAGCCATATTAACTGAGGCGCTAATTGTCTGTTCCAATCAACTACTTCAACTCTAATGTGATGTTGACGGTAATCCCTCGTTTGCAATTTCCGGAGTGGTCCCGTCCCCAGGGATATGCAGGGTGGGCGCATACGAGGTCATCCTCCGTTTTTGGGCCACTATAACATGTCATCGGGTCATAAAAGACCGAGTAGATACACACGGAGCAGCTGTGGCTTTATTTTCTCTGGGTCATCGCTTGCTAATGTTGTTGGCAGCTGTAGTTCAGGCTATTTCTTTAAATAGGAATATAGGAGCACAGGCCTGCTTCATGATCACGATGTAGCCCTACCATCGGCCCCCATCAGCGCGCTGATTAAAGACAGCTGATCAAATTCCTAAACCACGTCTGCCAAGATCGTAGCGCGAATTCCTGCACGTACGGAGACCCTGAACAGCCATCAAAGCGGGCCGCCGTTTTGTACGACATTATTAGCGCATGACTTGCGAACAAAAAGAAAATACAATAAGTCACAGGTCTAAGCATGGCCATGTGGAAATATAAAAGAGACTTTCTTATTTTGAGATTCTGATCTCGTATCCTCAAGCCAGTAGTTCAGATTTCGGAGTATATCACCATTGCAGCTGAAGAAAGAATACGATATTTATACTCACGATTTTGTACTAATTGATGACTATGGGAAACACAAGTAATTCGAATTTGTGAATTTGCCAATACCCGGAAGAACACGCTTCTCACCAGGGAGAAACAATGCGTTGAGAATGGTCTTCTCCAGATGATCCAGCTCAAAGAATGTGGGGGTGTCATTTTTGCCACGAACTGAAATGCACGCGTTCTGCGATGTAAACTATGGAGCCCCTTTCCATGACGAAAATACATATTTGATAGCAAGTTTTTTTTTCTAGAACAAAGTCTGAGGCCGGTACTAGTAAAGACATGTATTATGTCACGATAAGTAGGCCCTGAAACCTACTGTTCTTATGCGAGAACTACTAGTGGATAGCGGAAGATTTCAAGTTAAGAGATACATAGTAGGAGTAAAAAATGAACTGTGCTCGTATTAACTTTTGAGACTTCATTTCTACTACTAGTAGAGATAATACCCCACGTCTATAACTTTGGGCTATACTTTTACGTATGCATGTGGTTGTATTGGTACTAGGGGGGTTTCACGGCTCCTTCACCGAGAGCCCCTACCACGCGAAACTAGATCATACGGTCGGGTTTGGGTATTCTTGCACCAGCATGAGATCAATACTGTGGTTTCGCGTTGGCGAAATGGTATACCACAAGGTACCCAAAGCCCGAACATATGTGCCTTGCGAATAACCTTAGAACCCCTGCACAAAAACGGTGATCCAATATATTGACTTCGAGGGTGGGGGTAGCGGCATTCAGAATTAGCATCTGAAGCGCTGAACCTGAATGGGATGTAGGATAGCCTCTTGTAGTAATTCTCAATGCTTTTCATTTTCAGGGATGAAGATTCCGGTTGCCAGCACCAGTTGATCTTCAGCAACAGGGCTATACCCCGCATTAGTTAACTGTTACGACGCCTGTGTACATCAACCCGCGGCCATCGGTCCTCGGCAAGATTGACTTGAACATTTGCATGTCTACTGTACTTACCTCGAGTATATAGAGAACAGAGAGAGCACGTTTTTCTGATTTCTCTCGTTTTTAAGTTCGCCTAGACGCTGACCGACCCTACTACGGAGTACTCCCTTCCCACATAAGCAAGTATTCGTACTTTTTACGTGGTACTCCGTACTCCGTATCTTTTCAATATGACCCGCCCAGCAGCCCCCACTCAAATGATCATCCTGCCCATTCAGGGGACATTGTTAATTGACCAGCCCTCGACGCAGGAAGGCCAGGTGTGGTCGCAGATATTGGGCATACTGGAGAAGTTTACAGGCTTCCAGCGTCTGGACTGGGGGCGACACGTGGAAGAGCCTGGACAGGTTCACCTGCATATCGGTGAGAGGCGCCCGAGGGTCTAGAAGGCTCTTGACTGCGTATTTTAGTGAAAGTCAAAGAAGAAAAAAGCAATAACCAGTGGCGTCGCTGTAGTTCGTGAAAGTCTGCATCAGCATTACGTCTTCCTCGCCTCTCCGGAGTGGCAGCGGGTCGGCGAGAAGTTACGTGCGTTAGGGGTGGTGGATTTTGCATCGCTTGTTGTGCGCCATGTGATGATGGAGGAGTTTAGTTCGGGCGAGGGTAAAAGACCACCGGTGATGGGCACGGCCATCTATCTGACCCCTGACCAAGCGGGGTGGATGAAGACATGGGAGCTGTGGACGACGATTGTGGCAGTGGTGCCTGGATGTATTGGGGTTAGAGGCGGATGGATGGTGGAGCCCGTGGAGAAGCGGCCGGCTTATGTGGTGTTTGTCGGATGGGCAAGTGTCGAGGTACATGACGCGTATCACCATAGTAGGCACTTTCGCCAGCGAGCAACGATCTTGCGGGAGCATAACCAGGGGTTTCGAGAGTATGGGCACGTTGCATTCAGGGAGTCTCTGAGGGTTAGCGATAAGGGGAAGCTATGATAGTATCATATCATAGGATATCCTAGATCCTAGGATGAGATGGGATACTGATACTACCTGCTACTGCTAGTGAGAAGTGACATCGTCAGAAAATTACCAGATGCAAATGGATGTAATGGTTGTAATTTTCAACACGCAGAACGGAACGGGGGGCTCGGGTCCGCCGGCTCCGCTGTAAGAAAATCGTAAACTGGGTATCGCCCAATCAAGTTACGCGGCCACCAGGTTCCTCCGCGATGGGCCATGTCCATCTCTCCCCTCTTCTTTCTCCTACAAGTCCACCCTCTCTCTCTACTTCACTCCCCTGTCCCCCCGTGTGCCCTTGACAACACCTTGGCGACCAAATCCTCACTGCAGGCACGCTTCTCTCTCAACCTTCAATTGACCCCTTTTCGTTAAACCACCCACCGGTCCCTGCCTGTCAGCGCCCAAACTCGGCGCTTCGGCCTGGTCAACCACATTGTTCCTGGCCATTGTCTCCCTTCCATTGGTTGACATCCCAGCTCATTCAAGATCTTGAATCGCCAGCCTCTCCGCTTCTACTGTCCCTAATCGATCCTGGTGACTGTACCCTGCGGTGGTCGCTGAAACTGCAGATCTCCTGCGTCAGCCGCGCGCATCGGATTCGCAGACGAAACCCCTCTACTTGTTTTTTGAAAGTGGACAACGCTCCTGTCCTATACTACTGTCGGTTATTTATCTGGCAGATTTGCCCCTGCGTCGGCACAAGTAGTTTTGGCATCTTGCTATCCACGTGCAAGTGAAGGAGTTTATGGCTGGTGTCCAGCCTCCATCTACCATGACCGAATTTCGTATCCCTCACCACGGCCCTCCGCCTCGGAAACCCCTACCGAATCCCCAACATGGCTACCAATATCAAGCCTACGACGACCCGAGAAACCTTGCGCCTTACTCGGTCAACCCTCAAACCACACACAGTCGAACACGCACCACTTCCTCTCAAGTCCTACCCTACGGAAGCTCCCAGTCTCAACAGCACCAAAACACCCCTCCGCCTCCGAGTGCCCACTCGTCGATGGCGACCCCTCCATCCTTCGCGCAGTCACGCCGCCTATCTAGCACTACCACATCCACCAACTCGACCGGCAACCCGATGGCCCAGGGAGACGTGGATATTCGCCGGAGTGCGTCAAACCGATCGGCCAATTCTCAACTCGGATATGTAGCCCTCATGCGACGACAGAAGGCGACCGTATGGTGTGATCGGGCGCAACCCGAAGATGCTCGCATGCGAGAGCAGGCTCGACGGGATAAAAAGAGAGCCTACCTCGAGGTTCATGGTGCAGGCCGTGCCGGCCACGCCGGCGGCAAGATCAGACATGGCGGCAAAGCCGGCCTGGACTTTTCGCCATCTAACTTGGTGGGCGCAAGTGTGCCTCTCCGTCTAAGCGCCAATGAGGTGGGAGATGGCGATGACGACTCCCACAGCGCCGAAGGTGTCATGATGCACCGCCGAACCGGTAGCGGCCGGAGCTCGATTACAAGCAACCGGTACCCCAGTGGCTATCACCGGCAACAGGGAACTATGGGTAGCAACAGTACTCCTCCGAACGAGAAGAGTGATCTCCCAGAAGTTTCTGAGAATAGGCCTGCCGAAATTCATGAGGAGGAGAAGAGCAGAGTATCTTCTTTGGTGAAGGATGATGCTGCTACAACACACACGGCGAACAGCAGCGAGCAAGAAGACATTGTGGGCGATATGGAGGCCCCGAGTGCGGCTGTTCACGCCGCCCAGAAAGCCAATAAAGCAGATGAACTGCGGCGGCGAGGCAGTGTAGACGAACGGACCACCTCTATGACCAACGTGCGGTTATTTGTTGCTAATCCCGACGACAGCGACTGAGAATACTATACTTCGAAGCTCGAGGCTACCACACTACCCCCTTTTATTCTTCACGCAGCGCCTGTTCTTTTTATAGCTTATTTCTACCGTCATTTCCCGTGTCATATTCTGCTCTATGATCTCCGAGAGTTTTTGATTACTTTCCTCAACGCTGCACATAATACCTCCGCTGCTTGAACCCCTATTGTTTCATTTTCACACTGCAGACCTTGAAATTTTACCTCTACTGCCATCGTGTTCATACCCCTGGTTTCTTGTCTTGGTTCTCGGTGGCCCTTATCAATTCTACAACCGGCGGCCTTATAGCTCTGGCCCTCATCTTTGATTTCTACATGCGGGTTCATCCCGGCTTCCTTAGGCACTCTTAGCTGCAGTTTCAACAAAGACTTTAATTTTATGAGATTTGCTATTAACTTGAATGTTTCTTCCTCTATAAGATTTTGATGTAGTGTGAAGTATACCTTAAGGTACCCTCGGGTAACCATCTCGATTGGGCCCAAAATTGGATTACATAACCTCTCTTCCACGCGCGACTTCCCCGACGCGTTCTCACGCGTCCCCCGCTGTACCGTCACCGAACCTCCTGGCAACTTGAACCTTGAAACCCTCTCGGATCGACTCCAGTCCGACAATCCATTCTTTTCAACTTATTGTGTTATTCATTCTCACTCTTACTTTCACTCTCACCTTCTCTTTCGAATCCTGACCGGATATATCCGTGACTGTCGATTGCCTCGTTAACCCTGTTTGCCCGAACCGATGATTTGAACACCGACCGCACCTTCCTCTTCCTCTTCCTCAATCCTCACAGAGACAATCATGAGTCTCTCGCCACTTCCGCCGTCTAACTCGATCCCTCCATCCCCATCTGCCAGTGCCCGAAAACGTTCTATTCATGAGGTCGACGATCTTGCTGTACCTGAACTTGGCCCAAAGCGGCCCTTAACCGACAAAGAAAACCAGGAAAACCACGATCCCTGCATTGTCGAATCACCCGTGAAGGGATCGACGTCCCCCAAACAACCCTCCGGCTCACAGTATCCGACACCTGTTGTTGAGATCCCCACCAGGAGGTCCCCGTCGAAGAGCACGGGCTCTGCGAATCCTACTACTTGTTTGACTGTTGAATGTACAACTGCACAATCGAATTCCACACAATCGTCAACCACCGCTATGCCCACTCCCACATCTAAAAAGCGGAAGCTTTCACCGGCTAGCCAACAAGCTAAACAAGAAGAGAAGGATACCAAGGAGCGCCAGCGCCTCGAGGAAAGGCAACGAAAAGAGGACGAGAAGCGCGCCAAGGCGGAGGAGAAAAAGAAGCGCGATGCCGAACGTGATGAGGAAAAGCGTTTGAAGGAGGAAGAGAAGAAGGAAGAAAAGAAGAAACGCGACGCCAAGCACGAAGAAGAGAAGAAGCAGCGAGAGGAGAAGAAAAGGGCCAAGGACGAGGAGAAAGCTGCCAAGGATGCTGCCAAAGACGAGGAGAAGCGGAAGAAGGAAGAAGAGAAATCGAAAAAGGAGAGAGTTAGTACCAGTCACCTTTTCTTTCCCCCGCCAAAAGGTGCATACTAACACCGTCCAGTCTCAAATGAGATTAAACAACTTCTTTGTAAAGCCACAGTTGCCCCCTTCAGCATCCTCTACAGTTCCACCATCTCCAAGCAAAACGGCCCCTAATGGTGATGCCGCCGCCGAGAACCCTCAAACGTCCGAATCCGACTATAAGAAAGCCTTCCCCGACTTCTTTCTCCAATCCCACACGATAGTCGCACCTCCCCATCGATTCGATCGTGATTCTGACGCTTTGAAACATGTCCGTGATACAATTGATGCTGGTTTGAACTCTGTGAATGGCACAAACCAGCAGTTCCCGTTCCTGCCATCTGAGATTTTCCACATGATACCATACCGTCGACGCTGTGGGCGCCAAACTAGCTCCGTCAGAGATATTTTGCAACAGATACAGACTTCAGAGAGTGGATCTCTACCACTTTCTGAGAACCAACAACAGAAACACCAGGCTCAGCTACGCAGGATCACGATGAAATCGCTCAAATTTGGCGAGGATATCCGTCCCTCTTACCAAGGAACCTATACTCGTACCGTGCCGCAAACAACAACATTAAAACTGTCACGCAACCCATACTACCGCGGTCTCCCAGACACTAATTACGACTATGATTCCGAAGCGGAGTGGGAAGAACCCGAAGAAGGCGAAGACCTTGATTCTGAAGAAGAAGACGAGGGCAGTGACGAGGGTGAGGATGATATGGATGGCTTTTTGGATGATGAAGATGATGCTCTCGTCGGAGGCAAACGGCGTCTCATTGTTGGCGATCTGGAACCAGTTAACAGCGGCATCCGGTGGGCAACAGACGGCGGTGTGGATGACCTCAAACAATACCAGATCGAAACGATCTCAGATGCCGTCAAATTTCCCATTGACCCGTTCTCCACGGCGTATTGGCAGAAGCCCCGTGCTGCCGAGCAGGTCTCGGCAAAGAATAAGGCCACAAATAAACAAGCTAAGAGCGCGAATACCCAACTTATCTTCAAAGTTCCCAACTCGGACAAGGCGTGTGCTGCTGGTGCACTGCCACCGCCGCCAGCAACCAAAGCGAAGCGGCCGTTCCCTCCTGAGCACTTGGAAGAGTTCAAGCAGGTCATCGAAGGCAGTGATCTTAGTAAGATTGGTGTGGTCGAGATCCTCAAGAAGCGGTATGTATTCAAGGATATACAGCATTTCAACTCAGTACTGACAGTTTTACCAGATTCCCCAAGGTCTCCAAAGACACATTGAAAGTAACTTTGGACCAAGTTGCAGTCCGCGTTGGCCAGAAGGAGGCGGATAAGAAGTGGGTTTGTCGGTGAATTATTCAATTTTCTTATGATCATATGATATCTTGGTGTTAGTCTAGTCAGTGGGGGTTTGTTTGGTTGTCAATTTATGGAGTTGGTTGCATATTACTAGTTATTTGGCGGGCGTTCTGTGTTCTTATCACCTAGCATACATGATGTCCATTATGAATATATTATTCTGCCTGCCTTGGGTATGAGTTTTACTAACTTCAACCAACCCCTTGCATTAGTTGTCACTCAAAGGTCTAGGTAGACCTTTTCGGTTTCGGCAGATCAGGTAGGTGGATCTGATTGCCCTGTTCTTCCAGGCCCAGGTTGTAATTGGGTATAATGCCGCAACCAAATTCCTGAATCGACATACATCCATGGATACGAGGACACAAATGCATTCAAGTTGTTATAATATACAGTAAGTCTAGTGGATCCAATGCTGATCTTCTCAGGAAGCGTGGAAGCATCGCAAACCTGCCCGCGCTTATGAGATGAACATCGAGAAGAGCAGTACCACAGCAGCTAGCCGCACATTCTGAGGCACCTGTCCGGGGGCATTATTCTCGTACTGAACAAATTCCGTGCTACCCGACTTCGACGTCGTCGATGTAGTCGACGGACCATCGCCAGCATCCGAGCCTGTCGAAGAAGTTGAATTTCCAGTCCCCATATTTAATCCAGTATGACCCATATCGGGCAACACCGTGCTATTATTCGTCACAAGCACGGAGCTTTCCAGACCTTTCTTGTCAAGATAAGCGTACGACCGATGCCCATCTCCCGACCCGGCAGGGGGTTCATAGCATTGCATAGTGATATTGGCGAAGGAGGCGGAGTAATGGCCGTGGTCTCGAATATCGGCGGCATTCCAGTCGATCTGGCCGCCAGCCCAGTCAATAGTACCCTGTGCGTTACTCGCTCGGCCCGCTGGCCAGAGTGAAAGCTGCATGCGAGCCGGGGTTTGGGGGTACTCGTATCGGTTGGCAGTGGCATTCCAGGTGGATTTCTTGGTGAGGGTTCGCTTCACGGTTCCATCTACGGACCATTTTATTGCCTGGGGCGTCCAATCGATCTCGTAGTGATGCCAGCTGGAGTAGGTATCGTCGCCACTAGTCGAAAGTGTGTCCCCATTTGTATCTGGAAATTTCAAGTGTTTTGTCAGAATCTTATCTATGCGGTCTATACATTCGACAATAATGAAGCACAGGCTTCAACTTACAGTTCGTAATTCCCTGAAAATAGAAATTGGACTGCACATTCTCCAGATCAGAACCCACCCATTCGAAATCGATCTCATCCTTGACATCAGACATCAGGATAAAGCCAGTGACAACACCCTTCCCACGGCTACTTTTGACATCAGCCGCGATCTTCCCGTACCAGATATAGTGCGTGCTAGAAACAAGCGTCCCGACACTATTCTTAGGCATAGTCAAGATGATATTTCCATCCTTCAGCTTTGGGGATCCGGAATATTCCCAGTCCGACTTCGACGCATTGCCCAGATACTTCGTGTTCAGAGCGGCATTGTCAAGATTTGGCCAGGTGAAGGTTCGATTCTGGCCCACAGCCTTGGGAGTACAGGCATCCAGGGAGTATGACATTCGGGGGTCGCATCCGCCGAGGCAGTAGGTCCCGGTGCCACAGGTTCCTTCCGAGCAGCAGGGATATTCCTTGGGGCAGGACTTCGAAGTGCTGCATGAAGGGGGGTCGGAAGCTGCGAGTGCAGCCCCGGCCATGAGGCCGAGCAAAATGTATAAAATGGCATGCATCGCGGCACGCAAGTCGACGAACGGTCGTTTGTGTAAAAAACGAGTGGCAGAGAGTTGGAGTAGGGAAAGTGGAACTTGAATGAAAGTTGAAGGAATGACGACAAACACGACGGTTCATGAATAATCGAGAAAGTCGACCCCTGATGTGGACTCTATGCATATTAAACAGTTGACTTCGGGTCAGCCCGTTCTGAGCCTAATACGTTCGTACAGTCCAGTGGCACTGGGCGTTGCCTACGGTTAGGGCCGAAGTCCTCCAGAGCTATCAAGAATTACCCACTACCGACTAAAAATAGGCGGCCGAGCCAGTGCCCAGATGCTTGGGTGTAATTTTCATCCTTTGTAGTAGAGCGTTACTGATCGAATGAATGCATCTTTTTCGCGTGGTGAGGGATGCAATTCAAAATAAGTCATGTTTCGATACTAGTAGACTTTTATTCAGTAAACGTTCCTCTTCCGTACAGACTCCTAAGGGTTATGGCTAGTAGGTACTGTGAAGTTATAGAAACATAGAGTTCTAACTGAAAGCGGCATGGCTACTGAAAAAGAATTTATGTGTCAAGATTGTTAGGATTGAGCAGATTCTATGTTTTTTTCGTTGGTAATGAAAGTAATTTACTACTCTGAAAAAGTGTTCAATAATGAGAATAATACAGAATAATATAAACCGCAGCAATCCAAAACGCCAATCAAATTCACTCCAACAACTATGCAAAATTTCCCCCTCCATGGTGAAAACCAAATTCACCCTTCTTGATACACGAAGTCTCTCAATTTGCCGCAATGTTGATTGGAAACTGGACTTCTAATATGCGTGTCTGTGTCTAGATAGAAATAAAATCCGTTAGAATTATCATCGGTCATTTTTGAATTTGCGTAACATTGAATTTACCTTTTTGGGTCCACCTTTGAAGCCTAATCGCACCTCGAGCTTATATGTGCGATTGATGTTACATGTTTCGAAAGTGGGAGTGATGTCAGTCGGTAGAGAAAGCGGCCCCCATGAATCATCTGATAGAGTCATCGCATTATTGACGGGCATTTCGGCGAGGCATATCCCCAAATTCAGGTTACTCAATGTCCGCAAAGTTCGGAATAGCTGTTGAACTTGAGATTGAGCCCCGACTCGAGTCACTGTCTTTTCGATGAGCATGACTTGGTAGTCATTGAGGATGAGTACGTCCTGGCTGGTAGGGTCGGCCTGGGTAACATGCACCTTTATTGGCACACGTTGACCTAGGGCGAGATGCCCTCCCCGACCAAGCTCTATGGCAACCCCGTAAGCTGGTGTCGACTTTTTGTCTTTCTCCATTTGGCGAAAGGTGATTTCTCGCTGATGGATGATGGATTGTGAAGGTTGATGTGCGCTGGTGGTAGGGTAGAAGAATATTTGGCGAGATTTCTTCATGACATGTTTGAAGATCCCGCCTATTGTGACGCTTGCATCGAGCGAGTACACAATTTCAGCGTTGCTGGATGGATCACCTGTAGAAGGCGGGAGTCTACCGCGGAGTGACTGGCTCTCATGGATTTTAAAATCAGACCATTCTGTCAAAGATTTCTTCCCGGAGTGTTGGTCAACGTGGATCTGATAGGATTCAGAATCCTGGGACAGCTAGCAAGACTTGATTAGCCACCAAGCTGTCATCCCGAATAGTCGAAATGAGACTTACTGGTAAAGAAAATAGAAAGGCATATTGCTTAGGCCCCATGGTCCTCGACTTAGAGCTTCGAACATCGAGCTCCGCGGATTGGGGAAAGACTTGATGTGTTGTTTGGAAGAACTGCGAGGCAATTAGTTTATTTCCTATATTCAAAAAAGCAAAGGCTTACTTGATGAGATTGGCTGTGTCGTGTGCCGTCTAGCCTGGAGATTGAGCGTCCGGAAAGAGTGACTGATATCTGCGAGATATCCACTGGGGCCTTGAGCTCAAGAATAACATGCCCGACAAGATGATCATTGGGCGCAGATTTTGGCTTGTCTTTACCCTGGTGAAGTTGGAGTGATATGGTAGGCACTGAAAAGAAAGGATTGAATATACAAGACATGGTATAAAAAGTATCGGACGCCAGCGTCTGTTGATAATAAGGATGTGCCTTTATTGGGGCCTTGGTTCACCCTTTGCGATTTTATATCGGCAGACAACAAGTTCGGATGGATTGGAACTGATTTCAAAAGGGAGAAAGACTCAATTTGGATAATTGAAGCTAGTATGTCGATCTTGACAGCCACCATAAATGCATTGTGGGCGATGGGCCCTAAAAGTGAATAGAAAAGAATCATATTTTCTTGGTGTACAGACTTGGTAACTACGACTATTTTTACCCGGCCCCGGTAGGGTCATAATGGAAAGAAAATACAATAAACAGGCTAGGAGTGGTAGTGTTTCAATTGGAAAAGGTTAACATGAAAGCGAGCCTGGAATACTGTATTTGCAGGGCTAAGCAGACCCACCGCAATCGGCTTCTCCGAGATCCTCGTTTCCGAATTGATAACGCTTGTGCGGATACCTTACGTTAATTTTTCAGGGCTGAGTGTACCTCGATCTTTTAATGTTCACTAAGGTGGAAAACAATTGTGAATCTTGGCTCACCACCTCGTATCCAAGACATAACTAGCCCACGCTAAGTTTTTTGATGTTCGGCATAAGACTGGGGCGGGGGCGGGCAATGCCGATTGGTTCGGCATATGAGCGGGGACACCACTGTCCAATCAAGACTCTCCCAGTCATTGATCTATAGTTACGAGTCTGCGAAGTTGATGAAAATAGAGTCTCTGTGCCCTGTGGTCCCGTTTCAGCGCACAGGCTTTGTCTGAGCCTCAATTCGGACATGGACTGGATTTCCTCTCATTCCATGTGCTCCTTTCCAAAGGTTTGCTTTTTTCCTCTCTACACTGGTCCTGACTTTGCCTACACCTGTCGATTTCAAGTTCGAACCTTGGAATATACTATCTGGGAACACCTCGCCAGAACGGTGCTTCTGGGCCAAAGATCATGGATCTACATTCAGAGCAAAGCTATCCACTCTCTCTGTACCCAGGGCCAAGAGATAATGCTTCGGTCAGTAACTATTCCGGGGAAGAGAATGTCCGGTTTTTGGTAAGTGACATGGCATTCAAGTTTCACTAGAAACTTGGAAGTCGGCACCCGGCCGAGAAAACATCATAACCCGTCAGGATAAAATCATCTCACTATGTCACAGGGAGAAAATGAGCAGGACGGTTCTTCGCACCCTAGAAGACCGCCGTCTTACCAGTCCGCGCCCAGTTCTCCGTCGACAGAGGTCTCCCGAGGATATAGCCTGGTTGAGAGATATGCACACGAAAACAGTGGAAACCCCTTCGAAGATGATACAGACGAGACTGCCGGTGATCGAGGACCTCATGGAGGCCCAACTGCGATGCCTAGCTATACACAAGAGCCCACATCATCAGGGTGGCAGCATCGTCAAGAGCGTGGTGCTAGTCGGCTGCGACGGTATCCCACACGCAAAATCAACTTGATCCAAGGAACAGTCCTGAGCGTGGACTACCCGGTTCCTAGCGCGATTCGAAACGCAATTGAGCCGAAATATTTGAATGACTCGGGCAGTCCGTCTGAGGAGTTCACCCACTTGCGATGTAAGTCTTGGTTGAGAACAAACATACACCTTCAAGCATATACTAAATTAGGCTTATATTATAGACACGGCGGCTACTTGTGATCCTGACGAATTTAATCTTCGCAATGGCTATAATCTCCGTGCAGCGATGTACAATCGCTATACGGAACTACTGATAGCCATTACTTACTACAACGAGGATAAGGTCCTCACTGCCCGCACACTCCACGGAGTAATGCAAAACGCCCGCGATATAGTCCAGCTGAAGAAAACCGAATTTTGGAATAAAGGAGGACCGGCATGGCAAAAGATCGTGGTATGCTTAGTGTTTGACGGCATTGGGCCATGTGATAAAGAGACACTGGATGTGCTGGCTACTGTTGGCATCTACCAGGATGGGATCATGAAACGGGATGTTGATGGCCGCGAGACGGTTGCTCATATTGTTCGTCTGAATTGTCATATTTCTGGCTTTCTACTACCAAGGTTTTTGAATGGCTGACATCGTTATAGTTTGAATATACAACCCAGCTTTCTGTCACTCCAGCACAGGAGCTTATTCGCCCGAGGACCGGAGATGAATCAGCAAAGAATCTACCGCCAGTCCAGATGATCTTTTGTCTAAAACAGCAGAATAGCAAAAAGATCAACTCCCATCGTTGGCTATTTAATGCGTTTGGCCGAATATTGAATCCAGAGGTTTGTATTCTTATTGACGCAGGAACCAAGCCGGGCTCCAAATCTTTGCTTTATTTGTGGGAGGCATTCTACAATGATAGGAACCTCGGGGGTGCTTGTGGAGAGATACATGCCCTCTTAGGACGACGCTGGGAGAAGCTCCTAAACCCTATCGTGGCCGCACAAAACTTCGAATACAAAATCTCCAATATCTTGGATAAGCCACTGGAGAGTGTCTTTGGCTACGTGAGCGTCCTTCCGGGAGCGTTCTCAGCGTACCGATATCGTGCCATTATGGGTCGGCCCCTGGAGCAATACTTTCATGGCGACCATACTTTATCTGCAAGGCTTGGACCAAAGGGTATTGAGGGTATGAATATCTTCAAGAAGAACATGTTTCTTGCGGAGGACCGGATTCTTTGCTTCGAACTCGTAGCAAAGGCCGGGTTCAAATGGCATTTGACATATGTGAAGGCCTCAAAGGGCGAGACGGATGTCCCTGAAGGTAAGGATTCCTGTGCAGATTGCACCATTTATGAAAGTTGTGAATACTGATGAAATGATTTTAGCACCCGCTGAGTTTCTTGGACAACGACGACGATGGCTCAACGGGTCATTTGCGGCTGGTCTTTACTCCATCGTGCATTTCACTCGAATCTACAAAAGTGGCCACAACCTCATTCGGTTGGCCTGGCTGCATGTGCAGCTCATTTACAATCTTCTCCAGCTAGTCATGACTTGGTTCTCCCTTGGTAAGCTACTCTTAAGGCACCCAGCTCGTGAAGCTAGCACTGACGATTCTGAAAGCATCTTACTGGTTAACGACCTCGGTGATTATGGACATTGTGGGCGTTCCTGGTTCATCAAACAAAAATCATGGCTGGCCATTCGGGAATGAGGTGACCCCAATTGTCAACAACGTTATCAAGACAACATATGTGATTGTCCTCATCCAGCAATATGTACTGGCTTTGGGTAACCGACCAAAAGGGTGAGTGGGCCAGCCACCATACTCTGAGACACTACCAACAGTCGCATACCCTGTGGTTTTGGATGATAGCTAACCTTAATCCAAGATCAAAATTTGCATATTTGCTGGCCTTGATCTATTTTGCTATCATTCAGATGTATATTCTTGTTCTTTCATTCTATTTGGTGGCACAAGCATTCTCGGGTGGTAGCTTGGGTCTCGGTACCGATAATGGGCTTGGTGGCTTTTTATCTTCTCTATTCACTTCGACAAGTGGCTTGGTTTTGATTGCCTTGGTTTCAACATATGGTATCTATGTTATTGCCAGCATTCTCTATGCTGACCCATGGCATATGATCACCTCCTCCTGGGCCTACTTCCTCGGAATGCCCTCTTCGATCAACGTGTTGATGGTGTATGCTTTCTGCAACTGGCACGATGTATCATGGGGGACCAAGGGCTCTGACCAAACATCTGCCCTACCCTCAGCACATACTCATGCTGCGTCTGATGCATCATCTACGAATTTTGTCGAGGAAGCTGATCAACCGCAGGCAGATATCGATACCGAATTTGAACTCACTGTCAAGCGAGCCTTGACACCATTCAAGCCGGCAGTAGAGGAAGAAAAGGGAGACATGAGTGATTCTTACAAGACTTTCCGCACTAACTTGGTGCTTTTCTGGAGTCTGTCTAATGGCTTATTGGTGCTCTTGATCAACAATGCTTCGGTGACCAACCTATGTCTGACGGTGATTAACCCTTTTCTTTAAATCGAAAGAGCCGAGGCGCTCTTTTGCTCTAATGGTATAGAGTTATGTGCTGATATTGTTTCTAGAGTACATCTACTACCCGAACAGCATGGTACTTCAAAGTTATTCTCTTAGTGACTTCAGGCCTATCAATATTTCGCTTCCTTGGGGCACTATGGTTTCTGGGAAAAACAGGTGTTTCGTGTTGCTTTTCTCGCAAGTAAATCAATCAACGAGAAACAACTTGAATTTAATGATTCTTGGGAGTTGAGTCAGGCTGGTATGCTACCGATAATATTTGTATAATCAGAAAATGAAAGTGTTTATTCGGCAGTACTGGGTACCATTCACACACCCTAGCTTAGTACATTTTCTCACTGGGAATATTGGAAATCCTCCAAGCAACAAAAAATAAATACAAGGGTGCTTTTCTATAGAACCTAGACCTAAATCTTGATCGTTGCGTATATTAGTAAAGTCTCAACTATTCAATTAGCGTAGAGCGCCTCAGCGGGTCTTCAGGCATCTATTTCTCCTCTTCCATAAGGCTACTACCAATAGTACCATGTCAAGCCCTGAAGGATATTTTATTGTAGAATACCATATTACCTGGATCGATAGGTCTCCGAATACTATGTATCTACCAACTACTATTAATAGTATCCTACCCGCGGTTTTCAGGCCAGTAACGGCGTCGAGTATTTTAACGCATCAGTATTTGCTAGGGTAGTCACTATAACTAAAGGACCATCTGTCAAGTACCTAAAACGGGCCACCGTAAACTCTTCGTTTCTGCTCAAGCCAAAAAGGACCCGTTGGTCTTCGCCAGAATTTCATCGTAGTAAGGCTGGAAAGCCAACCACCCCTTATCTGGACCGCCCACATTCTTCCGCGAGTACTCGGCCTCATCCTCATCGATTAGAATCTTCTTATATCCACCTGCCGCAGCAGCATCGGCAAGAAGCTGCACCTGGCAGGTCTTGTCGAGGCTGATGAACTATTTTCGCTGTCAGGGCCTGTTTGTATGGCTGGAGAGACAGTTAGAGCTTACCCAGAAAGCAGCCTCATCAACAGATCGACCAACGGTAAGAAGTCCATGGTTCTGCAAGATAAGGGCTTTGCAGTTTCCGAGGGCTCCGGCAATCCGATCGCCCTCCTCTGGATCTAGGACGACGCCGTTGAAACTGTCGTATACTGCATGGTCCTTGTAAAATCGCAGGGAGTCCTGGGTAAGCATCTCCAAGGAACGCCCAAAGGCAGCGAAAGCTTTGCCATGAATGCTGTGGGCGTGACAAGCGGCATGAACATCAGGGCGATTTTTGTGGATAGCGGCATGGATCGTGAATGCAGCAGAATTGATCGGCTCGTCACCCTCGACTACCAAACCCTCTTCATCGACGAGAATGAGGTCGGAAACTTTGATCAGGGAGAAGTGCATAGAAAGGGGGTTCAGCCCTTCAACGAAATTATCTTTAGCCTACTTCTGACAACAGGCTTTCTGCTGTGCTCAAAGGGACCTACAAAAGTGATCGGTTAGGATAGGGTCCCGGACCGAGATGTGACCGGCAACACCCTCATCGAAGCCTCGGTCGGCAAAGACACGGAAGGCAGCGGCGAGATGTTGCTTGCGATAGAGACGCTCCTCTTCAAGGCTAGCGAATTTGGGGTACTCGCGGATCTTCAGGAGCCTGCCATCCTTGGCCCTGCCGAGTGACTGAACCTCTTGAGCTTCGGGGCGGCCATCCGTCTTGTTGTTGGAAAGGAGGCTTTTGGACGGCAAGGTGCTTCTTTGCACAGCTTGTGTGAGGGAGGGGGTCATCTTCACAATTGTGAAAGGGTTCAACTGGTTTCCTGGGGGTTGGGTTGTTATTGGTATCGATGATAATTATCTTCAAGTTTGGGTGATCGTAGGCCAGTGAGGAATCTATTTGAAGGACGCTCATTAATATATATGATTTCTGCCATGCTCATCCTAAGGCAGTATCGATCTCCGACGATGCAACGTGATCTAGACGACGGAACAGAACGCCCCCGCGGCAGTCAACCCCCTCATCGAAATGGAACTCACAAATCGGATTTCCGTGCAGACGCCATAGGTAAGCCTGGCACCAGTTCCCGTCCAACGAATGGATGCAAGCCAATTACTATAGGCGAAGGAAGACAGAAAGGGATCCAATTGGTTGTTTCAAGACCCGAGGTATAATTCTGAGCTTTGGAAGCCGGAAATCTGTGCCCCGCATCGGAAAACTGTGTTACTTGAACCCCAGAAAGAAAAGCTCGGGGTGATCCCCGAGTGTCACAAGCCCCAGATTTCAAGGTTCCCAGGATTGCTTCCAGAGCTCCCCGGATTCCAAAGTTCCCAAATATTGAGTAGTCGCATATTACCTCCAAGAGACGTACGTATAAATAGGGAATTTGATCGAGACTGTAAGATTAATAATTATCTGTTCTTTATTGGGTCAGGTGTTAGCAGCTTCAGTACCCACATAGCTGTTGATCACTGATCCATCATGAACATGGAGAATGCTTCACCAATGATCGTCCAGTGGACTATGAAAAAGAATTTCGTTTCCACTTAGAAAATCCCGACCTGGAGGCGCTAGGTATATCTCGGGTAATGCTGAATTCCAAGGTTTCTGGCTGACGTTGGAAAAGAAGAAAAAAGAAAATTGTGCAGGAGGTGCGATAACACCTATATTGAGGGAATATCCGAATGGTGGAACAGCAGACCTCATAGCAATTTTGGTGCGAACTTGAAGACACAGAATTGAATCCGCATCTCAATATTTAACTTTGAGTTGGATGGAAGCCTTCAACATTTGGCCAAATGCAATGTCATTAAAATCCTGGCGGCAGGCAATCATCTAGCAACATCTTATCCCTACCGCTTAAACAACTTGAACGTTCGTATAAAATACGTAGCGAAGTGAGATAGTAAGTAATGGCTTTTGGCCTGAGAGATCGGGCTACAGGTTGGTTTGCCACATATAACTAGATATTATTAAATAACCTCTGGAACTCCACTAGCTTAATCACTGCGTCTGGACCTATACGTAAATATACTCATTGAGTCTAAGCCTCCTAGGCGCCCCCATCCCTAAAAAGCCGCGGCGGCTGAAACAGCAACTTGAAAGCTCCGCCTCCAGGCATCCCACATTCCGAGGTTATCATGTCTACTGTAGTACTACTATACTAGGGCGCACATAGTAAGCCCCACTTGTTCCAATGTTTCCAAGATTTGATTCATTGAATGGCGATTTAGTCCGCGGGGCCCGGGCTATGAACCATAGTAGTAGATATCGCATTCCACATGACACACCATGTGCCGAAGTGGACAATTGGATAAGACCCTTGGTGGAGGCCGCTTAATAATAAATCCTTATATACTCCGTACAGGAGACACCGAACCAATCCCATTGTATAAACCGTGTGGTGGGTCTCTTGGCGTTCGATTTTTCTCCGCCTCGTTGTCTCAAGGCTTGGCACCCAGGGGAGTTATTTATTAATAGCTTCCGCCCGGCTCTATCCTCGTGAGCTCTGCCATAGCCACCATAGCCACATCGGAGTATGCTCGCATTTATTGTGCAGAGAACCCTTAAGTACTTCCAATTCAATCCATTTATCACACATATCATCGTTTTCCGTTTTATGATGAGATAAATGATGCCCATCGCGATACAAAATCATGCAGCCGGTGGAAGATGATCATCACTCACCCTATCCCGTTCCGGCGGTATGCAATCCTCTCTCGGCCAAGATTAGCTTGGCTTTGTCGGTCATTCATCCTGCTAATTTTCCGTTGTTTCAATTCTAGTGTGATAATTGCCATACGCGAAAGGTAAGATGACATAGTTGATTGATGTGTTGTGTGCATATGCAGGGCTGACCATACGCCAACTTGAAGGTCCGTTGCGATCGAGGAATCCCATGTAGCAATTGCCAAGATCAAAATGTATCTTGCTTGAGACAACGGAGTAGACGGCGCCTCCCAAAAAGAATTCAAAACACGCCGGCAACGACGGATCATATGCAACCACATCCCCCAAGTTTGGTATTCTCGGCGGAGCCCCCCCAAATTATCTTCCCATTCACAATTCCCCGATGACCATTCAAGTGGGAATGACAATCCATGCGATTATGTACCGATAGATATCGCTACAGGAACACCAGGGGTGGGTATAACCCGCTCAGAGCCACCTGTGCCGGCGGCGAATGAAGTGACTACCTGGGTTTCACCCATGAGACCCATCGAAATCGAATTCAACCTTCCGGGAGGCAAGGACTTTTTTCAGCAGGGACTAATCCGCCAAGCCCAACAAGTTTTGGAGTCTGCCCTGGTCAATGCGACACAAACCGTGCCTACGTCCAAGACAGGGCTAGCTCTCGATAAGGAGAGGGTCGAGTCTTTGGAGTGGATATCGCCGGAGTTTCTTACATGGATGCTGCAAGGTAAGCGCGTCCATCCTGCTTATCATGAATTACAATGAAGAACGACGCCCTAACAGATGTTGTTTTTATGAACAGACATCGGAAGCGCGAAGGGCGGGTCGTTTGTTTGGGATTATTTTAAACACGTATCCAAGTCGAGCTTGAAGTATATGGGCTTGAGCTTGCTATCGAACCGGGTATCAACAGATGAAAGGGATATTTTCACGGTCTGTTTGAGTGCCGCCGCGCACAAGTTTCTGGTCACCATGCTTGCGAGCGGGGAGCATGACGATGAACTCACCGACCATCTGCAACAAAGATTGTTGAATTACAAACGAGCTGCTCTGGCAGCTTTGGATCGGATACGGCTCATGACCACTCCCTCCCTCTCGCTATTACAGGCGATCTTGTGCGGTGTAGGTCTCTGTCCTCAAGTTTGCTACGGGCCTTGCTCCTCAGCCTGACCTGATCAAATAGATATTCATCCACCAAGGATCCGGGAACGCGCGGTTTGCTTACGATTTGACTCGGACTGCCTGTCGGGTTGCTACTGACCTAGAGCTTCATCTAAATCACTCTCGACATGGAAGGGGCTCCAGGACAGAAGAGGAATCTTTCTGTTTGCTGTGGTGCTACATGCTGGATAAAAACTACGCATGGAAATTTGAACCTCGTCGATGGTACTTTGACCCCGAACCAGGACTTATTGACCAGCATGTCGACGTCACAACTTCGGAGCTGCTCAATATTTATCTCATTATGGCTCAAGTACAAGACGAAGCTCTATCGCTGTCAAAGACTATCCTTTTTATCGAATCGCGATCGGCCCAACACACATTGCGCAACTCCACTGAGTTTCTGTCAACGAAAATGGAAAAAGTGCGCCAACGAATTGAACAGGTCCGTTATGATATTTTCTCATAGTCGCTTCAACCTCTCTATCCTTCTTTTCTAAAAAAAAAAGTTCGAAACTCACCGCTTCGCTATAGATAGCATCATCATCCCCGACCTGCTGGAAGGGGCTTGAACCAGCCAACGAAATCGCTGCACTCCACTTTGCCCATAATTCGGTTCGCACCATGTCTCTTTATCTAGTATCCGAGCAATCAGAAGGGCAGAACCTCGGCTTTGGTGATTTAATTCTCCGATCTGCTCGTCAAGAATTGTCATCGTTGGTGGCCATCTGTCTCATCAGTGAAAAGAATCGCGCCGTCGGCTTCTTGCATTGGTCAGTCACTCTCTTTTTTAAATAGCTTCCGGTTGGCCTCCAAATAATGGCACTGGCTAACGTCTACGTCAAACAGGACCCTGATATACTATCCTTTAACCGCTTGGTTTGTTCTCTTTTGCAATACCGTCACGAGCTCCCACCGCGAGGACCTGAACCTACTTAAAACGTTGGCAACGGTTCTGATGCCAAATGTCTCCCTCAGTCACCCAATTACCGTCATAAAGCAGCTTTGTGAGGATTTTATAGCATTATCGCAATCCCATTTCGCCATCTCGGGTGACGATGCAGGTGTCGGAGTCGAGAACCCTTCGTCCTCCTTTAACACCCAATCGCTGTGGCGTAATGTTAGTTCTAATCCTGCCATCGCACCGATACCTGCCAATAATGCCGCTTCTTTAACGTCGGACATATATGAGATGTGTGCTACCAACGAAGGCGAGGACTCCGCTGCCTTTGACCTGTTATTTTCGAACCCTTTGGCTCTGGACTTCCCCGAAGATATTTTTCATTTTGATACCTCTTAAGCAGAAATAACTTTCTTTAAACGAAGAAACCTTCACAAATGCAATTTCAATATCGCTCTACGCTAGTGATAATAGATGGATAAAGGCTCATTTGATCGCTATCTAGTTCTTTTCTTCCAACTAGGCTTCACAAAAAGAAAACATGAAACTGATTCCCTTCTCGGTTATACAGACTCCGATCCCGCAGTGACATCTTCACTCTTCGGAGGCCATTTGACACGTTTCTCTGCACGGACATAGAGATTGTTCGGTCTGATCAATTGAAACATGGGATCATACTCAATTGGTCCATCGCCATCACGAGAAAACTTGTATCTGTATATGAGTTTAGGAAGGAAAACCTTGATCTCTTGAAGCGCAAAATTGAAGCCGATGCACATCCGCTGCCCGGTGGCGAATGGGATGTATGCAGCCTTGTGTCTCATTCTCACTTCTTCGGTATCCCATCTATCGGGATTGAATCTCTGGGGATTATCCCACAGTGCCGGGTTATTGTGGATATGATGCAGTGCCGGAATCACCACTGCGTCCTTTGGTAGTCTGTAACCCCCCTGGGAGAATCATATCGATTTTGGCGGTTCGGCCGGGCTGAAATGAAGGGTTATGTCGGCGCTGAGTTTCCTTTATGTATTTATCAAGGAAATCAAGACGATCGGTCACATCAGCAGTAATCTCGGTATTTTCATCGATACCGTTGTCAATAAGCTCCTGTAGGAGCCGTTCTTGCATCCCAGGATATGTCACAAGGCCATAGAGAAGCCAAGACAGAAGGGAGCTTGTGGTAGTGAATCCGGCACCAGTTGCCACGACAAGTGCCCACACTAAGCTAGACTTGGGCAATTTCTCTCCTTTGTTGTCGGTCGCACGAATAGCATAATCTACAACAATGTCAATTATTGAGAAGGAATCAGGTTGGAAAATCTAAACTTACCAACCATGTTTGAGGCCTTGAGTGCTGCATCTTGGAGAGGGAGGTCTTCGACACCACCCCGTGCCGCTTGTTCAATAGATTGCTCTACCATTTGTTCAACACGAGATTTCACCCGCCGCAGCCTCTGAGGATCTCCAAATGGTAACCGGCCATACCAATCACCTTTAGAGGTCACCTTCTTGTTCAATGTCAGGATCTCAGCGATTGAATGAACCATTTCATGTAATGGAGCTTCAATTGTGTTGAAATGCTCAAAGTCCAGGCCAAGGGTCAGTTTCCCCACTGCTTGTGATCCTAGCTTCAACATATAGTGGTAGACATTCCAAGATTCGGCTTTTTCATCGAAGGCATCGAACACTTTGAAAGCATCTTCGACGGTTTTCTGCATCGTTGGGGCATAATGACGAACTGCCTTTGGACCGAGAGCGGGAGGTAGAAACTTATGAGCAATCTTCCACTCGGGTGTATCTGTATCTCCAAGGAAAACTCCGGCGGCTGGCGTTTTCAGAGCAGACAGTGGATGCGCGTCATTGATTTTTTTCGTGAAAAAGTCAGACTCTGCGAAAACAATAGCAGAAATTTCTGGGTCGTTGGTTTGATAAGTCGTTCTTCCCATATTTGTCGTCTTTATCAACGGCCCGTATTGCTCGAAAAGACGCTGGTGATTACCAAGGTGATCCGGATAAACCTCGAAGTAGTTTCCAACGTATGGTAAACCAGTCGGCCCAGGTGGATCACGAATACCATGGCCATCAATTGTAATAGCCACGGGATCCAGCGATGAAGTTATATCCGAAACATCAGGCAGATATTTACTGTCCTGACTCTGGAATTCAATTCCTATGTAAACTTTAGCCAATGGTTCCTCTTGTTCACATTTGAAGCAAGTGACAATCTTGAGTGAATGCCTGCACTCACCTTTCGGCTCCACGATTGCAAAATGTGCGGCCACAAGATGTTTGAGCTCATTGAGCTGCGCACGAGAATCAACCTCAATAGGCCTCGCGGTTGAGACTTCATCACCTAAAAGGTGGAACTTTTGGAGGGTCATAGTGAGGGAGTTGCGGACTCGATGATGTACAATAATTTTTTTTTCTCTAAGGAAATATTTGATTTAAATACACAAACACGTCGAGCCCGGACAAATTTCTATGCTCCAATGCAATCACATCGGATAGTCAAATTAGTTGGTAATTCACCAGTAGGCGAATCGGCTTCCCGAGGTATCGCTATCTCGGAAAGGGGCGCTCCACGCCTAACCCGGATGAACCTCGGAAACGGCAAGCCAGAATTAACCAATAGGAACCTGCGTTATGTTTTATAGTATACTTGTCATTCCGAGGTCAGACTCAGGCTGCTATAGAAATAAAACATAAAGCATATCGCTTAGGTATTTCAAGTCTACTTAATTGATAATTTCTGTGGCATGTTCTTCAATGAGCCACCTCTCCTGATCTGACACAAGCCAAGGAATACGCCACCTGGGCATCCTTTTAAAGAAAGACAACCCACCACAAAACACCACATCCCAGCCCTCGAAAATGGTATCTCTCACGGAATACACTGCCAACGATGTTGCGCTGCACAAAGCAAAGAACGATATTTGGGTGATAATTCACGGCAAAGGTAAGGGATGACTCGAGTGACTAAACAAAAATCGAAGCTTGTACTTATTCTGTGGTCTTCTATTAGTGTATAATATTACGAACTACGTTCGTGATCATCCTGGTGGGGCCGACGTTCTGCGTGACGTTGCTGGAACAGACGCCACGGAAGCATACGAGGACGTTGGTCATTCCGAAGATGCCGACGAAATTCTGGCAAGCTACTTGATTGGTACTTTGAAGGGGGCTCGCGAGTTTACACGTCCCAAGGCGATTCGTGTGGTCCAGCAACCCCCAGAACAAATATCGGTCGCGAAGAATTCGACTTTCTCTACGGGAGCAATTGTGACCACCGTAGGCTCTGTGGGGGGAATGGCGTTTCTCGCTTTCCTCCATACGCGTGGACACCTTCCAATTTCTGATTTCAGAGCTCAACTTTTGCGCCTGGTACCCAACTTTGCACATGCCAGTCTCACTTCAAAGATAAACCTGGGTGAAAGCGGCTTTTCCCATGGCTTTATCTCGGCCGGTGGACTTTTTACGACAATCGGTGTCGTTATTGGTACAAAATTGTCAGGCCTCACGCAGATCCAGTCCGGCTTTACTCGCTATCCGTCACATCGCAAGAGCAAAAAAATGGCAAAGGCTGATCCACACCTAGTCAAGGGATTCCTCGATCCAAAGGAATACCAGGAACTTCCGCTGACCGCCAAGGAGAAGCTTTCGCCAAACGTCTATCGATTTGCTTTCACGCTTCCACGGCCTAAAGAGATTATTGGCCTTCCTATCGGCCAACATGTTGCTATAAAAGCTACCATCGATGGTCAATCTGTTTCTCGTTCATATACACCGACGTCGAACAACATGGATGCTGGTGTTCTCGAGCTAGTTATCAAATGCTATCCGGACGGTTTGCTCACCGGGAAGTATCTTGCAAATCTGGAAGTTGGCGACAAAGTTCTTTTTCGTGGTCCTAAGGGCGCTATGAAATACCAAAAAGGCCTTTGTAGTCGCATTGGTATGATTGCCGGTGGAACAGGCATTACTCCGATGTACCAGCTCATTCGTGCTATATGCGAAGATGACGCAGATACCACAGAAGTTAGCCTGGTGTATGCAAATCGGTCAGAAGAGGACATTTTGCTACGGGATGAGCTTGAGAAATTTGCTCGGAGATATCCGAAGAATCTGAAGTTATGGTACATGCTGGACCATCCTCCGCAAAACTGGAAATACGGCAAGGGATATGTGACACCCGCAATTATGTCTAACAGACTCCCTGCTCCGTCCTCGGAGACAAAAATCATGTTATGCGGACCTCCCGGCATGGTCAATGCTTCCAAGAAGGCCTTGTGCAGCCTAGGATTTGAAGCCCCTGGAGCTGTGCCTAAAATTACAGATCAGATCTTCTGTTTTTGAGCGGAAAGGTCTACTTTGTCAAATTGTTTGGGCTTTCACTGTATCATAAGCTATTTATTCGGACTATTTTTGGTTCTTGGTTCTTGTGTTTTCAGCCCTCTCTTTCGCAAATTTCCAGGCTTCATATACTATTTATTGGGACTTTCTTGATCCACTACCTACTATTAGACCCATCCTTAGAGATTTGTAGTTTTAGATAGAATCCAGTGGGTCTGTTGTTAGAAGTGGCTGTCTATATCATTAGAGAATTTCATCCTCGCTCAACTTCAACTTGAAACTAAGTAAATGCTTATGCACTCTGGGCTTCTTCACCGGAAAATAGTAATAGACATGGATTTTCAATTTTTTCATAGCTGGCTTCCCTTGTATGGCTTTCTTCAGTTGGTTGATTCTTCATGGTCGTTCAAGTTGTGCATGAAATTACGAAATAGACCCGGGGGTTTTCGAGCGCTATCGGGATTCTAGACAGTATATCTTAGTGAAGGACCTCGGGATTCTCTGCCCCTTCTTTACGGTTTAGCTGAAAAAGGTAAAATACCAGAGAAAGATCCGCGGACCAACATTACTAGCTGCGCCCATCTTGATTTTCGAATGGTGATTTAGTAAGTACTTGTGAGTCAAAAACTTGGAAGCTGACACGATTTCTTCCCGAGGTCGTTTTCCCGAGGTTTAAGTACTTCCTTCGGTCTTTCCGAGGGTTTTCCTGCTTACTCCTTGACGGCACCGCGGATAAGTCGGAATTCTTGTCTCTACATATTTTCGGTATACCGATGTATGACTGGACACCGGGCCTTCCGTAACAGTTCTCCGGGGCCGGGACGACAAATTGTGGTAAGCATTATAGCCAGTGGCTAGTATATTTACTGACACCATTCCCCTCCCGCAACTCATTTTTGCAATTATCTAAGAATATTCCAGCACAACAAGCACTGGCAGCTCTTCATTTTTATCAAGATATTATCTATTTCGCGATGCATCAAAGCTGGACTCCTCCTCAGAACTACAGGAATAGACCTGTCGTCATTCTTGGTGCCGGAGTATTGGGAAGACGGATAGGTCAGTGTACTCTATTGCTATACCTATGAAGCTGATAACTGATAATCGATATTTTTAGGATGTATCTGGGCTTCTGCAGGTTTTGATGTGCGCTTACGGGATCCAAGTATCCAGCAGCGCGAGGATGGTTTAGCATACATCCAAGAAAATGTCGCATTATATGCTAAGGAAACTGGAGATCGAATCGGAACAGCACAGGCCTTCGAAAAAATGGAAGAAGCTTTGGCTGACGCTTGGCTTGTGATCGAGGCTGTCCCTGAAAAGATTCAGCTCAAAATAGATACATTCGCGCAGCTCGACATGCAGGCTCCAAATGACTGTATTTTGGCCTCCAATTCTTCGTCCTACAGATCTTCGGAGATGCTGGAACAAGTATCGGAATCTGCCAAAAAGCGGATCTTGAATATGCACTATTACATGCCGCCTCAGTGCATGGTCGTGGAACTCATGACTGACGGCCATACCGAAGAAGAAATCTTCCCTTTCTTGGTCGAACGCTGCAAGGAAGGAAACACATTGCCTTTTATTGCCAGAAAGGAGTCCACTGGTTTCATATTCAATCGTCTTTGGGCAGCTGTCAAAAGGGAGACCCTCTCCATACTGGCAGAAGGAGTTTCGGTGCCAGAAGAAATTGACACCCTGTGGACCGAGATGTTTGTCAAGGGACGTTCGACTCCCTGTAAAATGATGGATCGTAAGTTCTCTTAAGTCTTCCGTCGTGAAATTCTGATTCGCTGACTCATGGGGTTAGAGGTTGGTCTGGATACGGTCGCGTTTATTGAATCCCATTATGTCCAAGAACGTGGCATTTCGTCAGAGAACACTGTCGACTATCTGAATGAAAACTACATCAAACACGGCAAATTGGGCACCAAGAGCTCCCAGGGCGGATTATATGCTCCAGTCAAATCCCAGACCACTGATGGTCCTGAAAAGCCCCCTATTATCGTTTTGGACCTTGGCTTGTCTGCGGCTTCACCAACAATGACATCTGGCTCTGTTCTTGAACTCTCTAGGGACGGGAAACAGATGAAAACACTGGTGGAGAACCAGTCACTGCCTGATGGTGTAGCCGTTGACCCGCACACCAGTAAAATATTCTGGACAAACATGGGAATTCCCGGGAAAAATGACGGAAGCGTGATTTCCTTTGATCGTCAGGAAAACATCACGAAAGAGCTATTGCCCAAAGGTTCGATCAACACACCAAAGCAACTAGCACTTGACACAGTCGCGAACAAGATCTATTTCTGTGACCGAGAAGGGCTTTCCGTTTATCGCTGCAATTTCGACGGCAGTCAGCTGGAAAAGATTGTGCAAGCCGGAAACCCAAACAACCCCAAGGAGGCTGCGGATAATAGGAATTGGTGTGTTGGTATCACAGTTGCACCGAAACTGGGAAAGTTCTACTGGACGCAGAAAGGCCCGTCTAAAAGCGGCCAAGGTCGCATTTTCTGTGCGAATATTTTGCTGCCGGCAGACCAGTCTCTTGGTTCAAGAACTGATGTTGAATGCATCGTTGATGGTCTTCCGGAACCTATTGATCTCGAGGTCGATGAGGAGTCCTGTTTGTTATATTGGACTGATCGTGGCGAGATTCCTTATGGCAACTCGCTAAATCGACTACAGCTCAATAAACCCGGCAGTGGGCTTGGAGCCTCCACCGGCGATACCCACAAGGTTCTGACCCGCCATTTCAACGAAGCGATTGGGCTGAAGCTTGATACCAAGAACAACACGATCTACGTGACGGATCTTGGTGGTAATATCTATCATTGTGACTTGAACGGAGACAACAAATCGGTCCTCTATTCCGATGAGCTCCGAGCATTTACTGGAATTGCGCTTTTTTAGAAACCTTGGACGAATTGGGAGTTAAGGGCATTGAATATTACGTGGGTGCGAATGTTGTACTATAGAACGCGATATTTCTACACTATATAGAACGGATCCATATCATCAAAAGATTTTCGCTCTTCTCTTTTTTCGTCACGTTTTTCTATCTACTATGAAAGAGGTATTTAGTAAATATTCTCACCCCTGCGACTGGTGCGTTGATGTTCGAGAAACTAAGCATTTTAGAAGCATGCGAGCGAATTGAGGACCCTTTTTGGACGCTTAGATCTAATAATAAAGCTTCACTTTAGCTATTCGCATGGATAGTAGGCTCTAGGTAAATAGACTTTATTTTTGTATCCAAGAATTGAACATAGAATTCCTACTACGCCTTCGACTTTTAGATATTTTCAGGAATGTTGGGATCCGACTCGTTCTGGCTTCGGGATGCCGGCACACAAAGAAGCGGATGACGTCAGCGTTACCGAGGTATCATCCCGAGGTATCCTAAACCAACCTCCTGCCAGCAAATGCAGCGCAAAACCGAGCTTCGAAGACCGTTTACATAGCTGGTTTCTCGCTATATGCCAATTCGCTCCGAAGCCGCGCTTCGACATCAGTTAAGACATCCTCGGTATCTAACTCGCAGACTATCATGCCGCCCACAAATCAAAATTCGCGTTCGCGGCGTCATAGGTCAGCTGTCGCATGTCAAGCGTGTCGCCAACGAAAGGTGCGGTGCAGTTTGACAGTCACTGGTGTTCCTTGTTCCGGATGTACCCAGGATGGCTCGGACTGCGTTGTGGACATGGACCGAGCAAAATTGTGAGAACATATACTGAATTTGCCCAGGTGGGTTTACATGCGAATCGTGCTAAACAGGAGGGATCCACCATAGAGTTCAGCATCTTGGCCAGTTGGCACCTTCTAGCTCTCGTCGGAGGTCTGGTCAGCCAGTTCATTCAAGTTTTTTGCCTATCGGTAGCCATGAACCTCTACTCGCACACGCGACTAGGTCGGCCGATCTGGCTCCCAGGCGCACCCAATCGGAGCATGCTACGCCCAGGCCAGCCGATCATCGGCTTGGCAATATCGAAGAAGAAGTACGTAGTGGGCTTGAGATAGCATCGGCTGCGCTTGGTCAGCCACAAAGAACTGGAGAAGTCCCTTTTTATACAGGTGAAAATTAATCATCCCGCAATGGAAGGAATACTTTACTCAACTTCCAACAGGAGAACGAACAGGACCCACGTCGGCCCTCGCTATCTGCTCGCCAGGACAATCATTACCGAAGCACATCCTGATTCCATCTCATCGGAAAGATCTAAGCGACGAAGATCGTGATTTTCTGAAGCGCAAAGGCGTTTTCACACTCCCCGGGAAAAAGGCATGTGATAGTATGGTCGAGGCCTATCTACTTCATGTGCACCCAATCCTACCAGTGGTCGAAGCCGATCTACTATTACAGCATCACCAATCGGAGCAGCTTCACAGTTATAACACCTTACTACTATGGAGTCTGTTTTTTGTTGCAGTAAATGTGAGAGTCGAAATGCGCAGCCACCCCTCACAAAGCTAATATCAAAAAATTACAGTTCATTCCAGTGGAAATATGCGAGCAAGAGGGATTTCCTTCAAGGAGAGAGATGAGATTCGATATGTATTCACGAGCCAAAGTAAGGAATGGCCCACCCACCAGCCCCGAGTCCCTTTACTTTCTTCCAGTACTGAACATTTCGGTCCACTAGTGCATGTATAACAACGGCAACGAACGGAGCAACGTCGTGCTATTGCAGTCTTCTCTGCTTTTAGGATTCTGGCATTCCGATATAGAAGAGCATATGCAGCCCTGGTACTGGACAGGGATCGCAACAAGCCTAGGCCATATTCTTGGCCTGCATCGTGACCCTGGAGTTTCAAGCTATAATTCATCCATCACCGACCGACAAAGATCATTCTGGCGTCGTCTTTGGTGGTGCTGCTTCTTTTGAGATCGATGGCTAGGGCTTACTTTGGGTAGGCCCTTACGCATCAACCTTGATGATTGTGATATTCCTATGCCGTCAGTCGACGATATGCTGTTTGATACTGGGGTCCCTCAAGAATACAGCTTTTCGTCCTGCTTTCCAGGGGATATGCAAAGGTCAGCTGAGTACTGGATTATTCTTATAGAGCTGAGCTGCCAGCTGGGTAAAATCATGACTGTGAATTATCAAGCAGCGAGGTCAAAGCCATCTCTTCATGAGCTTGAATTGATTGAGAGACAACTGCTACAGAGCAGATTGCCGGATCAGTATGAAGTTGGTCTCATGCCGAGCACCCGGTTTTATTCAAACCATGTTCATTTGCATTACCAGTAAGTTCTGGATGACTCTTGGCTCCTTTGATCGACTATTTAATATCATCGACACTACAGAGCGATGTTGGTCACGTTTTATCGACCTTGGGGAACAGATGCTCCGAACGAACTTCATGACAGCGCTAAGAAAGACTGGCAACATCGAATGAGACTCAGAGCCGATGCTGCTGCCTCCAGAACAAACGAGATTCTAGATGCGCTAGTTCAAGATGATCTTCTGGGGTTTGCAGGGCCTATGACGTGAGTTTATCCCGTGGCCGAAGAAGGGGAACCCTACACTAGGAAGGGGGTGGTGGGAGACATGTAGAGTGACAAAGCTAATTTAGCATGGGCTCCAAGGCCGCCACTTTTAGTCCCCGCGATGCAGGCGCATCTGCTTCATTGCAAGACCGGAGACCCCCTCTCGAAGAGAGTCAGGCTGAACAAGCTCGAAATGTGCATGTTGGTCATGGAAGAGCTTCAAAAAACGTACACTGCAGCCTCGATCTACGGGGCCGTCTTCACCAAGGCCCTCCAAATGATTTTCCCAGGGTACTCGGCCCCTGTGGCACCTTTTAGCTCCACAGCCAATGCTGCAGCTGCAGCTCCTACTCCTGCAAGCGTGAATGGTCCTGTCAATTCTCCTATGGGGGTGGATGTCCCTGACTATACCCAGGGCCAGATCAACGAGGGCGACTTTGTTGCGGGCGATGGGAATCTGATGGATGCATTAATGGATGAAGCGTCGATTTTCAATTTTTGGGAGACCTGGAATCAGATGTAAATCGTGTACTAACTAAGTAGCAAGCCATGAGTTTATAAATACAAGTCATAATGTACGAGTATGAGTATGTAGTAGGTAGATGGAGATGGAAGGTGCCAAGCCCTGGATTCTTTCGACTGCAGGTATTCCTTCTTGTACTTGTACATTCACCCACCTCACTGCACACACTCTGCACACACTCTGCACACTTTTGTTTGCTGTGCCCCGCGACAAGTCACCGTTGCTGCATGCAAGCCAATGGCGTTGTTACGATCATGAGATCTTGCCATCTCGCACACGCGGGATCCGAGCATCTGCACCACGACTCACCCTGTTGGTTACGCTGGCCAACCAGGCCATCCATGTCAATCCCGGGGTTGGCCGACCGAAGCTTTGGATTTTTCCAACTTGATTGATTTGTTGCGTCTCCAAATCCAGTGCTTGTCTCGACTACGACTCCCCCCACCCAGTATGTACTAGATTACAGGTACTGCATCTGTAGTTGGTGCCAGCGGGTTTTCCCCACAATCGCGCCCAGAGAACAACTTGACCAACCTTTGGACCTTGAACATCATGGCACGCAGAATTCCGATTTCCTCGCTTCGGCCAGGGAATTTCTCATGCGCGCAAGACTTGACGATTGGCCATTGGCCACCATGCGCGATCCACGGCCAGCAGAAGCTGACTCCGCAGAGACCAAGGGGGGGCGACGAGCGAATCAGCATCACCGGCCAGGCTGTCCACCTCACGCATGCATGCAGTGCCAACGCATCGTGGCCGTGTACTCGGTACTCGCGACCAATGTACTCTGCAGCCAGCCTCTCCCTTGCCGCAGAACTTGCTATGACCAGCTGGAACATGCTGGCTCAGTGCCCCGGTACTCCATGCCTCCGAGACAAAATCGCCATCTGCAACTGTCCACTTCGAGTTGGCTAGCCTTTTGAACAACTCGGTGATTTTATACTTCTCCTCTCCTACTCCGTACCCTTTACTATTTTCCCTTTGACCTTTGGACTCCCTTCCTCCTCCCTTCCTTTCCTTTCCCGTTCTCACCCTGGACTCGTTCGCCAGTTGCTCCATCCCCTCCGCCCGGGTAGGTCGTCGTCATTCCCATGACCCCCGGCCGGTTTCTTGCCCCGCGATAGAACCATGCGATAAGCATCCGCCCATCGCGGCCAGGGGCTTTTCGCGATCCTGTTCTCCGCCTGGCGCGACAAGAGACAAAATGGTGGTTTATCCACAAGAGGACCCTTGGTCCTCTACCAGTACGTCTCGATTTCTTATCTGGTTTCTGCTTCTGTCTTTTCTTCTTCCTCTCTTGCGCGCCTATCCCTCCATTTTTGGCTGTTTCAGCTTGTGCTTGCATTGTCACTTTCGTGGGGTGGAACCCACTCCCCTGGTTCCTTGTCGTCTCGCTGCCTGATTTGATCCCAATCTGATCTGCTCCAGCCGTGCGGATTCCTGCTCTCCAGACTGATCCACCATGTGATCCATCGCATCGGGCAGATCCCTCATCAGTGCCTCTTCCTCCTTCACCACCAGCGTCGCCATCAGCGACCATGCCCTCCGATGTTCCTCTGATAGAACCAGTGGAACAGAGCGTGGGGCCAGGTGAGTTGGGTGGCTCGGCCCGTTCCAGTCCCAAATTCATGGCCAAATCTCCTGGAGAAGACTCCCCGCATCCAAATATTCCCGCGATTCCCACGGCTACTAGAGATGAAGGGCCCCATGTCTCTTTCGAAGACTTCTCCATGCGATTCCGACAAAGCCAACGCAAACAAATCCAAAGGAAGCGACTGGAAAAGCGACTGCGCGCCACCAAGGTCTCCATCGGTGTTTCTGCGCGCATAATCCGGATCGGCAATACAGTCCAGCGCGGTCTGGTCGAAGCTCTCAAACATGATGATAAGGCCAGTTTTGCCGCTCTATATCATACACTCTATGATCTTCAGGAGTCGTGTACATCCAGTGCACGGCGTGATGACCGAGATGAATCGCTGGACGAACAGGAACAATCCTCGGAGCCTGAATTGGATCGCTCCTCGGACCTCTTTAACCAACTAAGCCCTCAATCCCGGGCGGACTTGCTGGAGATCTTACGGCTGGTTCGTTCTGATCCACAGTTCCTGGTCGACCGTCTCCGCAGCTTCACCTCATCACAACTGGCCTCTTTTACCAACGCAGCCACTGCTTTGGACGCCGGAGACCCTGCATTTCCGTCTTCTTCGTCTTCTTCCTCCCGTTCCTTCCGAGGTCAATATGCCTTTAATCGAAATCCAACCCAATCAGCCTCGTTCAAGGACCATGCGTATGCTTTTGAAAGGACCAATCCGCTTTCCATCTTGCTTTCTAACGTTTATGCCGCCCCTTTGGAGTCCGGGACACCGGATTTTACATTACGGCTGGACATGTGGTCTTCTGTCTGCGCTCAACTAATGTCCCAAGGTAGCAGTAAATTCTACCCTCTCATTGGGCAAATTTTGTCTGCATGGGCCACCGGCAGCAACTGGAAAGCCCGTCCCAAGTTCGAACTCTACCTTATGGATATCCTGCAGACCGGCGCTTTCCTTTTGGAGCATATAGATACCCCTGCCGGTTTGGACTTTGCTGCCGAGGCTCTGGATCCCCTTCGAACCGATGTCGCCGAGGAATTCTTTGCTTCTGCCGTGGATGACCTATTCCGTGTTCTCGATGATCCCGATGGTGGTTTTCCTTCTACAGTTCTCCAGTTTACTAAAGCTGTGCTTTGTAAATTGGACAATCTTGACAGCCGCAGTCGTTTCCTTGAGTATCTTTTTGTTCAGTGGTTCTTCCCAAAGTTCCTCTATAGCGCCTTAACGTATCCAGAGGTACGAGCCTCCCTCCCGCAAGTCGAATTCATTCTTACAAGTTTTGTCGGATAGGCACACGGTTTGTTGCTCGATTTTCATATTCGAAAAGATGCTCGTGAGAAGCTGCTTGGGCAGGTTGGGCTGAGGGCCTATTCTCAAGTCTTCGCTGTCTTACGTTCTATGTGGGTTTCAATCAATGCTCACCTCGCATTTCTTTATCCATATAAGATGTGCGGTGGCTAATTTTGATACAGGAACCATTTTTCCATTCTTCGGCCATCCATCAAACGGCGTGTTGATAGCATGATTTCACGCCTCCAACCCCCTTCGTCTACCGAACTCCCAGCGATGGATTTTCTGACACCATCCCTGGGGAATAACTCGTCGACGTTTCTTTTGCTTTCTGCCAGTGACATACTTACACTACTAGACGCTCTTTTCCCACGCTCGTCATCCACATTACACTCTCCCCAAGATTCAGCAGGTTTCTCCTCTTGGGCTTCAAGTCTATCACCCACCTATAACATTCGCCCAGACTCATATTATGAACCTGGTTTCTTCCGGTCGCCCCATGATGCAGACAAACGCCCCATCTCTCGAGGTAGCTCTGTATTTTCCATGGAGACTTCTTCTATGTCTGCCCCCGAGAGTAGAATCGGTCAGACTGCCGCACGGATACGCTTCGAGTTGTCTGATTCGGACGAATCAACCGAGCGCCCACGGTTGGAAGCTCCTTCGGATGAGCATTGGACGATTTTCTCGGTCGCTCAGGATGGTCGTGGTCTCACATGGAGCCTACTTCCGGACTGTGGATCACGAAGAACCTCTGTCATTGAAAGTGATGATGACGCCCAGTCTACAAGTCTTGGCCTAGAAGAAAATTATGAGGCACTCCAGACAGCCATAATTCGACTTGTTCAAGAAGATCAAGTCTATGATTCGGATGACATCAGCCGCGATTCAAGTTCTTTCCAGACTTTATCAAAATCGCTGAAGCAACGCTTCAACCAAGCCATGGCTTCTTCTCACCACTGTTCTAATTTTGTGGGTGCACACTATTGGTGGAATGCCTCACGCCAACTTCGACAAGGCAATACTGTTGACTCCTCGCCTATGGGAGATGATTCATGGATTCTCGGCCCAATGCACAGCTCATGTAGTCGTTCCCTGACCAGATCCCGCGCTGTCATCGATCGCTGTGAAGGTGATTTCGTGTCACTGGGCAAAAACCTCCGCTGTCTACAAACACATGTCAAGAGCTTGATGACCACTATCTCCAAACTTCGCAATAAAATGTGGTACATGACCGATGTCAAGAATTCCATGAGGTATGAAGAAGCTCGTCATGTGGCCATGGCTCTGAAGACCATGATCTACTCCTCTCGCCCCTACTTCGATATGCCTGAGGAACCGCGCTCTCGTACCGGGGCCCGTTCATTAGGGGGATCCCTATTCCAAAAGCCTGAAGTGCAAGTGATGAACATGATGAAAGCACCAAGTAGTCAGGGTGGCCCAAAGAAATTATCAGATGAGCAGGTGGAACTCACCCGCAAGTGGCTGGCCCACAACGCAATTGATAATTTCTGCAAAGGCGAAGAACGCATCCACAGATTCTGTTATGAGGTTCGAACAAGTATCAGTCGCCTCGTTGGCGAGACCATGGCAGAAACTCCTGTTCTGTGGGCCAGCGAGTTATTTCAAAGAGAGCGAGTAAGGTATGAGGGCTATGGCAATCATTCGTTCCCAGGGTTGTCCGTGCCGACAACGCCTCGGCCTTCGACTACCGCAAGTGAGGACCCGATGCATACCAGTCAATTATATGGAAGCAACATACATATGCCCGAGTTCACGCCACGGTTCTCCCATGAAACCCCGTTCATGGGGCGAAGACCGTCCGTCCAGAGCATTGGTTCGGATAAAACTCGCCCTGCTCGTGACCTTCCTTCCATCGATATATCATCCATCGCGGGCTCTCCTGGTCGTGCAGCATCAACATCGACTGGCGATACTTGCAGCACTTTTTGGTCCGCACCGCAGCGCCACCCTATGTATGCTAATAGCGTATCAAGTGTGTACTCACGACCACCTTCAATGTTCAGTGAAACTGCAACTCGACAAACTCGCCGCTCTGAACGCAAGACAGTGGGGAAATCGGCATTCATGGACGACTTGCGGCAAACCTTAACCAGTCTACTTCTCAGCGATCTAGGCTCTCCAGTTTGGAGCTGTGGCAGTGAAACAGATGCCTGGTTCACCAACAAACTCGATGAAACGCGTGTTAGAGTACAGATGCAGAGGCACGCCGCCGTTGAGAAATTTTGGGCGGATTACGAAGAACGCTCAAAAGGTGCCAAGCAACACCGCCAGACAAAGGGCGGACGACGGAGCATATCTCTCGAGCCTCCTGTTTCTCGCCGCAAGAGTTCGCCGAGCGATGAATCCCCTTCTAGTCGAGACCAAGAATCGAATCAAGATGACGAATCGGCTTTTTCATACAAGGCAGTCTTCCATCGTTTGATCGAAGTTTTCTCTCGCCATGGAAATCCTTTTGTCAAACTCAATGCTCTCCGAGACCTAAGGTCCCTAGTCGTCGCCTCTCTCATCTCGTCCCATGATGCCAATTTGGCAGGTACTTCTAGCAACATATACTCTAGCGGTGCCGATCGTTTACAGGGTCCCCGCCAACCGCGACCCCGAGCTACCCGTCACAGCTTCTCGGAGATGCGACCAGCAGGGCTGGCTTCCATGGATCCAGAAGCTCCTATCACCTCAGTCGATTCAGTCACCTGCGAGTCGCGTCCATCGGACTACTGTCCACCATCTGAGGATGAGATCGTGGCTACCTTACGTGACCTGATTCTAGAAGTCAAGCCGAAGACTCTCTTCCGGGACTTGCAGTTTATTTCTGCCTTTGTTCCCAGCGACCATTTGAGCAAAACCGACCGGGGCACAGCGTTCCTTCAATTTGGCCTCGCTGCTCTGAGTCTCAAGGACGAGGTCTGCAATGCCATGGTCGAAATTGCGGACCGTATTGTATCTCAAGAGCTCATGTGCCGACACCCGCTTCCTGGCTCCGACTTCTACCCTCGACCTAGCCACGCGATCGAAGACGCAGCGGCGATGTGGATCGTCACCGCTAAAGAGGGCAATCCAGTCGCTCAACGCGAGCTAGCTATCCTCTACTTGACTCATCCAGAACGACTTCCTCGGGTCACGCTACCACTGACCTGTCCGCGAGATACCTTCAAGGCTGAAATGATGTATATGCGCGGTAAAGATTCCAAGTCAGACCCACAAAGTATGTGTTTGGCACTGCACTGGATGCAGCTATCAGCAAGTGGAGGAGATCTCCTTGCTCGCAATCGTCTCCGTGAGCGAGAGGAGTTTGATTCTATTGCCTAAGCAATCTCGCTCCGCTCCGCTCCGGTCCACACCAATTCTCTCTTTACATTCTTTACATTCCTTCGATATTTTCTTACCTTTCTCTTCTTATTTTGCATTTACTTCCATTATTTTGAGCTACACGAGGCGGGCCTTGCTTGTTTGCATATACAGATACCCCTTCTTTGGGCGATTCATCTGGTGTTAGAGGTCAAATTATATATGGATTCTCAATTATACGTGAAGCTAGGAATTTATTCAGAAAGCCCGAGAGGTCATGTAACTACTGGTACTAGTCTACTAGTAACTACACTAGTTAGTACATGCTAACTAGTACTACTACGAGTATACACGCCTTCAGGCCGCAATCCGAAGACGTCAGGCGCCAAGGCCGACGTCATCAAAATGCCCCACGTGCCCGCCTTCTCCCACTCCAACTCCAGCTGCAACTCCAACTCCAACTCCAGCTCCATCGCAGCTGACTCCTTCCAGTGGCTTCGCTCTCATTCCCCGTATCTTCTTTACTACAAACCTTCTTAGCTGAAGACTGATCCTCAGGTCATCTTGGTCCCAGCTGAACACACATACCTCCCCATCTGACACAGCGGCTGACAGGCTAAGCCTCCTACTTCTACCCCTCCGGGATATTTCTTGCCTACGTCCACTTGAAAATCGGACGGTATCCTCGTCTTTCTTCACCAACTATCCATGATGACAACCGCACCGCATATGCCGGCTAAGGCACACAGCACCGAAGATGTGCACCCGCGCCCGAGAGGTAGGCTTCTTTTCCGTCCCAAATAGAGACAGCAGGGCTAACGGATAGCTTCTCGCTCTGTGTGAACTAGGAATCCTCAAGAACACCAAGTCCTACTCCTCCGCTTCCGCACCTCCCGCTGCTCCACTCGCCGGGCCCATCCCAGTACCTATCATCCCCGAAGTGTCCGACATCACCCTCCAGAATACCCTTCAGAACGCAGGCCGCCGTCGTTCTTCCTCCAACACTCGACCCGGCTCTTCATCCCGCAGACAATCCGTCCAAAGTGCCCAGGACGAAAACGAGCCCCGTCTGAAGTGGGACGAAGCCAACCTGTACCTGGCGGAGCAGGACCGCACCGCGAAAATGAAGATCGATGAGCCCAAGACTCCGTATGCCCCGCACTACGATCCCACCGAAGACGACGAGGAGATGCGTCTGGAAGGGGCGAAAGACAGCCTCCTCGATGCGCAGGATATTGTTGTTGACGAGCTCGACAACCCCGACAAGTCCAACCACCCCCACAAGAAAGGCGTCTCTGAAGACGACATTCCCAACCTCGAGCTCGGCGAGGCAGAAGATACATTCCAGGCTACCGCAGACGCGGCTTCGGACCCCCGGATCTACCGCGATCGCAGCATGAGCACGGATTCTCATAAGAGTGATAAGCACGTGGTCATGGGTGGTGAGGTGAATGGCGACGGGCTGATCACCTCGGACGACGCGAAGGAGAAACACCGCGAGTTCGAGGAGCATCGGAAGAAGCACTACGAAATGAGGAATATCAAGGAACTTCTTGCGTATGTTTCACTACATCTACGTCAGCTTTTTGACTGGATTTTGCTAACGCGTACCTCCAGGCACCCTGAAGAGCTTGATGAAATGGAAGAAGACGAGGATGAGACTGAACCCGGTCCCCCACCCGCTATGCCCCAAATTCCCGATCGTTTCCGCAACGAGCAATAGTTACGCATCTATATTCTACGACAGCTTCTCTTCTCCCGCTTTCTCACTCTCCCTCTGTCTTTCTTTCTATCCTTTTCATGGCCCGTCTCCCGCCACGGTGGTATAAACGTCCGTTTAGGTGGCCTCGTTTTGTTTCGTCCCATTCTAGTTTGTTCTGACTACTTTCTCTTTCTTTTCTTTTTTGGTCATCTGTATATTCCCCTTAACGCTTGAGCTCTCGTTCCGGGCTTTCTTTTCCTCTCTCATTCTTCGATTCGGCTTCTTCACCTTGCCCTTTTTGATGAATGAGCCAGGTATTCAGACTGGTTCTCTTTTTCTTTCCTTTTCTTTCCTGCCTGTGGGTTTAGATTTGTAGTAGAGAACCAATGACAACCATATCTGACTGTGACGCCTGTCAAATTAGTTTTACATGGCGTTTGTGATAGTCCCCTTTTCAGTGAGATTGCATCTCTTTTCGCTGATGTTTTGGCACTTGTACATTAGCGTCATTGCCACGAAGTTAAAATTATAAATAGAATAGTGTGATCCAAGCCTCCTATCTCATCTATCACAAGACAAGTCTTATAGTCCAAGTTGACCCGCTCGCATTTCCTCTAAACATCGTATGCCAGTAACTACTTTAGAGCGGAGCCTCAGGGCGAATGACCGGAATATCCCTGGAACCCGAAATTTTAATGTGGACCTCGGGATGTATAATAATAAATACTTTGGCTAGAGTCTTTTCGGAAATTGCCCAAGGATCATGTGTGACTCGTAACCTGCAATAGAATTGTCGCACTTCTCGCCCTAAACCTGGAGATACTAAGGGGTCGCACGACTGTTGCAACCTTGAAACAGTATTTCAATCGTTCCTTTGGCCGTGGAGTTCAAATTGGAGCTACTGGGTGCCCAGGTGGTACTATAAAAGATCTACTATAGGCTACTCCGTACTAGTAGCGGGCATCTAGAGGAAGTATACTAGCAGTATGGTAGGCAAAGCTGAATTTGACGCTTGATACCCATACTAGTACTTGATCTCGGGTTGATTATTGGTGTATATTAGTAGTACTCGTATATTCAAGTGCCGGAGCAAATGAGATGACCATCTAAACTGACTACTCTTGAGGCTTATTCATAGTATAATATTGAAGTAGGGTGCTTAGTTAGTGCAAGTTAATAGGTGCTAGTATCTAACTAGCCGCAATCAGGAACCCCCTGGTGGCTCGGATGCCGATTTCTATGTCAGAATCCAATGCATGCCAGTGGTCATTGCAAGTCTAGGTAAAATCGGCCCGGTCGCGGGTGTAATTAGTGTGATGGGAACTTGGATGGGATGACAGGTGGGGGAGACACAGTGGGCCTCGATTGATAGGCAGCTAGCCCCTGCCTTATTTTATTTCCCCCCTGATTTGTTTCTCTGTCTCGACTTCGTCTCCGTACTTCTCCTTTCATTCTTTTTCTCTCACAAAACACCAGCACCATGTCTGATCAGAAGCCTATCGAGCAGACTCCTGCCACTGAGAAGCCCGTCGTGGAGACGGCCGAGTCCTCGGAAACTCCCGCGGCCCCTATTGTTGAGAACAATGGCACTGATACCGCGACTAAGCCTGAGGAACCCGCCAAAGATGAGCCTGTGAAAACTCAGGAACATGTCAGGAATGAAGTCTTGCCTGCTACGGCCACCACTGTTACCGCCGCCGAGCCTGAGGTAGCTAAGCCCGAGGAGCAAAAGCCCCAGAAGCCAGAATACGTGACCAACGTTCCGTCCCTGGGCGAGTTCTTCGACCACCTCCCCGCCATTCTCACCAAGACTGGTCACGATGAGATGTGGGGTGTGCCTCTCAAAGATACCGCGGATATTCCCACCGTCAACGTGCTGATCAAGTTCCTCCGAGCCAACGAGGGCAACCTGGCAGCCGCCGAGGACCAGCTTCGCAAGGCTCTCGAATGGCGCAAGCAGACCAACCCATTGGCGCTAATCGAGACGGGTCGCTACAGTGCTACCAAATACGGGGGTTTGGGATACCTGACTACCTATGAGCAGGATGGTCGTCCTCTGGTCTTCACGTGGAACATCTATGGCGCAGTCAAAGATATGAGCGCGACCTTTTCAGACTCGGACGAGTAAGTCTAAGCCTCGCTCTAGCTCCAAAAAATGAAACTAAAAATTATATCAACAGATTTGTCAGATGGCGCGCAGCCCTCATGGAACTTGCCGTCCAAGACCTGAAGATGAAGGATGCCACGACCGTGATCGACTACGACGGCGAAAAGGACCCTTACCAGATGGTCCAAGTCCACGACTATCTGAATGTCAAGTTCTTCCGTATGGACCCCGCAGTTCGTACCGCGACGAAGAAGACCATCGATGTCTTCTCCACCGCGTACCCTGAGCTGCTGCGCGAGAAGTTCTTCGTCAATGTGCCCTCCATCATGGGCTGGATGTTCTCTGCTATGAAGCTCATTCTAAGCCGCAACACGACCCGCAAGTTCCACCCCATCACCAATGGCGCCAATCTCGCTCACGAATTCCCTGCTGCGATCGCGGATAAGCTCCCTAAGACCTATGGTGGAAAGGGTTCGGTCCTGAAGGACGACGGGGAGGCTCGCACAGTCCAGCTGATTGAAGTTAAGGAAGTGAATAAGGAGGAGCCTAAGGAAGAGGCGAAGCCTGCTGAAACTTCTGGCGAAAGTGCTGCTCCTGCTGATGCCATTGTGAACCCCGAGGCAGCGAAGGAAGCTTCTAAGGATGAGCCCACTGCCACTGAGCCTGCCAAGGAAGAAACTGTCAAGGAAGAGCTCAAGGAGACAACTCAGGAGCCTGCCAAGGAGGAAGTCAAGGAGGAAACTAAGTAAAAGCTCATTTTCCTGTTGAGCCGTCTGTTGTGATACCCGAAGGAGCTGTGCGTGACACTCTCCACTCTTGTTTTGGTGCGTTGTTTTAAGTGTTTTCATAGATAGATAGCCGTTGTGCAAAAATATTATTTTTTAACAGCTGAAATGAAGCTTGACATAATTGAATGAACTGGTGTCAGTAAACAAAGACAAGGGAGATACTCGTACTGCCCAGGTGTGTACATAGTTCTGGAATATCCACCACGGTCCCGCAAGCTTGTACGGGCGACCACAGCACCCAGATGCGCAACTCACCTTCTTATCGACAAGCTTCCTCGCGACCACCTTAGTCCATACCTTAAGATATTGATAGGCCATCGAACTCACGGGGTTCGTCACTTTTAGTTACAACCTCTCCTTGTTCCCTGAGCTGAGAGCTGTGATCCTCAGAATGCGATTCACTCTCTGCTAAATCTTTTCCGACCCTCCAATCATCTCTACCGACCTTCGGCTGCCTCGTCGGTCAACGATACCCTACCCCCGATTCATCCATTCGCGCACCCAGACCATATTTAAGCCAACATGTCGGTCTGGAATCCAGATAATATCCGCGATGTTGCCGAATCCGTCGGCATCACAAACCTCAACCACGATGTGACCGAGAATCTTGCCCGCGATGTTGAATACCGGGTCGCCCAGGTCCTTGAGGAAGCACTGAAATCGATGCGCCACGCGAAACGCACCGTCCTCACCACCCAGGACATATCTCTTGCTTTACGGAATCTGGATGTCGAGCCCCTATACGGATATGAGTCTCTTCGGCCCCTCCGCTTCGGCGAGGCATCACTCGGTCCCGGTCAACCGTTATTCTATGTTGAAGACGAGGAAGTGGATTTCGAGAAGCTTATCAATGCGCCTTTGCCTAAGGTGCCGCGAGAAGTCTCCTTCACTGGTAAGTTTAGACTGAAGGTTTGGGTTATATCTCACATGAACTGACGAGTCTTGCAGGTCACTGGCTGGCCGTGGAAGGCGTGCAGCCCTCCATCTCCCAAAATCCTACGGCATCCGACTCCCGCAACCTCGAGCTGGCATCGAAGGGACCTAACGCCAACTCTACACTGGCTGCGATGAGCGGCTCTGGTGACGTGTCTGTCAAGCCGCTGGTGAAACACGTGTTGTCCAAGGAATTGCAGCTCTACTTTGAGAAAGTCTGCAGCGCCGTCTTGGACGAGAATAGCGAGGAATTTCGCACGTCTGGGTATTCCAGTCTGCGTGAAGATCCCGGTCTTCACCAATTGGTGCCATACTTTATCCAGTTCATAGCCGAAAAGGTCACGCATAGTCTTAAGGATATCTTTGTGTTGACACAGGTCATGCACATGGCCGAAGCCTTGGTTCAGAACCAGTCACTCTACGTAGACCCTTATGTGAGTTCCCCTCTGCTTTTCATTCATTCACCACTCCGTCCGCCCGCTAACAGAATTACTAATTACTAGATCGCCTCCCTTGTCCCCTCCATCTTGACTTGTCTCATCGGTCGGCAGCTCGGTGGCGCAGCTGACCTGGCCGAGCAGTTTGCGCTACGTGACCTCGCAGCAACTTTGCTCGGTCTGATTGCCAAAAAGTACTCTCACTCCTCCCATATGCTCAAGCCTCGACTGGTACGATCTTGCCTCAAGGCTTTCCTCGATCCATCCAAACCATTTGGGGCGCACTACGGAGCTGTTATCGGAATGCAGTCGGTGGGTGGTTCGGAGGTGGTGCGTGTGCTCATCATCCCCAATCTCAGCGACTATTCGAAATTGCTCAGTGATGGAATCGATGATTCTGCTCGACGACCTGCCGCTGAACGAGTGTTGAATGCGTTGGTGGCCGTTCTGGCATCGCTCCGGGATAGTCAAGGGTTGTTGGCCAATGGCCACCCGGCGGCAGTGACGGAGGAATTGCGGTCAAAGTTAACCGACAAGGTGGGGGATCTGATCGCAACTCGCATTGCCGAGGCCAACGAGGTTCAGCTAGCCCATATAATCCTGGAAGCCTAGGGAACATTTTGTGCAATTGCATTTGGCCAAGGGGGGAAGGAGGAAACTTGGTTGCAGCACGGGACATGGCGTTATGACTCAGGCGTTTAGGGGGGGGAAGGTTGGGGTATTGCAGTATTGTATTCAGTATTCATTCAAGATATGACGTTTCCCAGACCATCTAGGCCTCTTTATTTTCCACAAGGGCATCCAATCCGGATATCCCCGCGTAGATGTATCATGTACTAAGTGTGTACTGGGAAAGATCGCCCGCTTCTCCGCTCAGGCACGCCGGGAAGTTAATTCTGCCCCGCTTCACCGCTCGTGTGCTTTCCCAATCGGGACTGTCGCCTGCGGCTTCTTTTTTTGGCTTCAACCTGCTGCTGCTTCTGCTTTGCTGCTTCTTGTTTCTTCTCAGAGAACATTCAACTCTCTTCTTGACACGATCCTCTCGTGATATCCTGCCATCCCGCTTGATACAGTGTAACCAATCCCAGTCCCGGTCGTCAATTCGACTGCAGCCCAACCCACCCGCTAACTCGCATTTCCCTGATGTCAGATTTTCATCGCGCCCCACGAGCCCGGGCCCACAGATAAAATCGCTCATTACCAACCAAACCACCAACAAGCGCAAACACATTTTGCAGCTGTCACCCCTCCTCAAGAGGTCTTCAAATCGACCACTCGTGGCATATTTGGTCCAACGAGACCCCTAAGTCTACGCCTTACCTTCGTGACCTGCTTCCGGAGTAATCAATTGCATCTCGGGCACCCATTGAGGCCCTCGGAGTCTAACCGACAACTCTCGTGCCCGTTCTTTTTTTTTTCCACATCCCCTCACTGATGTTGGCCCCGCGCGACCTGCAATTTTAACCCAGATTTCCTTGCCCATTTCTATGAGCCCAAAGGATCTTCTGCGATTTCTCTCTAAGCCTGCCAAGTACGTGTCTGTCTCAATTCTCGATTCCCTGGATCCTATCTTCCCCAATCGGTTGTCGTACAACCGTTCGGAACACGCAGATCGTGCTCCAATTTGCCCGCAATAGATCCGAACCGGATCACAAATATTTTTTTGGTCACAGACACAATTGATTCCCCTCCATCCCCTCCCCCTTCTATTTTTCTTTCTTTCTTTTTCTTTCTTTTTTTCGCATCCATACCATCGCCGTTGCTAACCTGGCTCGTCTTGGTCCCCTGCAGGCCTCGATAACGCGACTCCCGCAAATAACTTCCACCCACCACTTCCCCTCATCACCCAATATCAAAGCAGATACTCTCTTCTGCTAGACCCGATACTTTTACCGGTATCGGTATCTTCCAGGACGAGGGTACTTGACTGATCGTCACCATTCCTTGTACGATCTTCTTCCTCGCCTACGCATTTCTCCCTCCCTAGCGGCCCTTCTGGTCTGTTCGGGTTTACATCTCTCTGGTCTGTTAGCCAGTTCAATTTCGTCCTAAAGGCCTTCTCTTCTCAGACGGGCACCGCCCCCTTGTGCGTCTGAGCAAGTAGACAGTGCTTCTAAAGCCTTTTGTCTCCACATACACACGGTTCCCAGGGCGGTCCGACGTCTCCCACAACTTCATTCCGTTCAGTGCTTCAATTGTAACAGCTTAGGCTGCAACATTCAGCGGAAATGGTTCACGTCGGTATTCCGAAGAATTACACAACCTCGCCATCCTCCTTTGCGGGGACGCCTTCTCTGACCATCAACTACGAGGCCACTCAGGACCTTGACTCCAGCAATGCTTTTGAAGGTTAGTCCATGCCACCCACTTTTATATTTCTGCAAGCTCTGACTCAATCGCAATAGGTCCCGAGAAGTTGCTCGAAGTATGGTTTGCTCCGTCTGCCAGCGAGCTTGGCGCTGCCGGCCCAGAGGGCCTAAAGAAGGTTCCCAGCGACATCTGGAAGGATATGCTCGACTTGGTCAATTGCCAGGTCCTCTCCATTGTCTCATCCGAGGATGCGGATGCCTACCTGCTGTCTGAGTCCAGCATGTTTGTCTGGCCGCACAAGCTCATTCTGAAAACATGTGGTACCACGACTCTGCTGTCCGGTCTCCCGCGCATCTTGGAGATCGCCACTCTATTTGCAGGCTTCCCGCGCGCTACTGCACCTCCGTCTCGCGGAATCACTGTCGCTGCGGCCCCTTACCGGGTTTTCTATAGTCGCAAGAACTTCTTGTTCCCCGACCGTCAACGCGGCCCTCACCGCAGCTGGCGCGATGAGGTTCGCAACATGGACAAGCTGTTCCAGAACGGTAGCGCCTACATGATTGGCAAGATGAATGGAGAGCATTGGTACTTGTACCTGACTGAGCCTCACACCTTGCTCACTCCCCCGGCGAGCCCACAGGAGGAGGTTGAATTTACCGAGACTGAGACCAAGGTCCTCGACTTCCCTCCCTCTCCTGTCGCCACCGAGTGTGATGAGCATGATGAGACTCTAGAGGTCCTGATGACCGATCTCGACCAAGAGAACGCGAAGCAATTCTTTCTGGAAAATGCCGCCGCCACGGCAGAGAAACGCTTCCGCAGCCTCGAAAAGGATGACGACGTCGAACACTTGGATGTCTTCAGCAACAACTCCGATCCGGAGGATGATATTGATATGAAGGCTAGCAATAGCGGCATCTTGCCGGCGGAGTTGACAACAGAGGGCCATGCTCTTGGTACTGTGGTCTCTGATTCTTGCGGTCTCTCGGACGTCTATCCCAAGAACAAGTTCCCGGATGCTCGCATTGATGCATATCTCTTCACACCCTGCGGTTTCTCTGCCAACGGTGTTGTTCCTGCTCCGGATAGCAAGGGGCCGACCCACTACTTCACCGTTCACGTCACGCCAGAGCCGCATTGCTCATACGCGTCCTTCGAGACCAATGTGCCGCACTCCCAGAACGGCAAGACCACGTCCGACATCATCCAACAGGTTGTTGATATCTTCAAACCTGGTCGCTTCAGCATCACCTTGTTCGAGACCAAGCCTTCTGTCGAGGAGCTTGAGGCCGATCCAACCGGCTTCCACGAGGTCTCTCACGCGCAGCGCCAAGCTTTGCGCCGCAGTCCCAAGATGGAGCATGTGGAAGGCTACCGCCGTGTTGACCGTATCGTTCACGAGCTGAACGGGTACGATCTTGTGTTCCGTTACTATGAGCGCAACGACTGGAAAGGGGGGGCACCCCGGATTGGAGAGAAGTTCTAGAGCTTCACCCTGTAGTTGAAAGGTGAAGCCCTTGAGCTTCCACTGTCTTCACTCTCCTCTGGCCGGCCTTTTCCAGACGTCATGCTACGCAGTCGGTTGAATTCGAATTCGACTTTTTCTTTGCACAGTCTTCGTCCATCTTGTGATTGGTATTCATTTTGCCTTTTAATTTTGTGAACTTGTAACTTGAACTTCCTGTCTTTACATAGTACGCAGCATTGCATGTTCATGCACTCAGCGTCTTGTCTTGTTCTCCTGTCCATGCTTCAAGCTGGGCCTCATCAGCGATTTTTTCCTTCTTGTGAATTTGCTTTGAAGCCACTCTCTATTTATAATATAACCGGAGTTTTTTCACTGCCCATCCAATACTTCAACTGGATAAAATCAATACTCCTGTGTAGCGACCTATGTAATAGTGAATGATCTTCCGATGAGTACTATTACCTATTGCCTATCACGTACTCGTATACTCTGTAGTTGCGCGTCGATCTGGAAAGCGGTGAGGCCCGTCGCTATCTGGCAGTATCGTAGTTATCTCAAGTATCAGATTGACTTTCAGTCGCGCGACAACCAACGATTTCCGCTCAACCCAACAGTCGACCATCATCTGGAGGTCATCATCAGCTATATCTGATCCAGGCGACTCAGCTCCCCGAGGCATTCTCACCTGCTTCGCTTCTTATCGATGTCGCTCCCCGTCTCCTGAATTCGGCATTACAACACTTGAGTCCGCGGACCCTCGCCGAGTCTCTCTCCATCAATCTACCTACCACCAACAGTACATTAATTGATTGAACAAACCAACGAAAGCCCCATCGTATCTTACCTTAATCAAATCACCATAATACAACCTTGGGAACCCAAAATTACACTTATCGCACAACCATCCTCAACAACCAATTCAAAATGTCCTCACCACCACCCTACCACCAAGCCCCGGGCCCAAACCCCCTAAAAAGACCATCCATATCCTCAGTCGCCTCCCAACCAATCGGCAAAAAGGCGCGCATGCACCCCCTGCGCCAAACCTCCTTCCCAGTCAACCTCGACGCGGAGCGCAGCTTTGGCGCGACGAGCGATGCTGGCAGTGTGACGGGCAGTTTTACGGGAAGTCTCGGCGGAGCGAGTGCTGATGGGGTCTTTTCTGGCGCTGCGGCGCGTGGAAAGAAACGTGGACGGAAGAGTAAAGCCGAGAAGGCGCGGGAATTGGAGCGCGAGGATGCGCTTAGCTCGAGGGCGGGTGATACGCGGTTGGGCTCGATTGATGGTGATGGGGCATCGGTTAGAGGGGGGTGGTGGTGGCGGTGGTGCGGGAGGCGCTGGTGGACAGAATGCAGATGATGGGGATGAGGATGATGATTATGATGAAGGGGAACTTTTGGGGAGGGATGAGGGGACGACGGATACGGAGGCTGAAAAGAAGAATCTTGCGTATGTTTTTTTTTCTGCTGCAACTACGAAAATGGTTGAGAGGATTTTTTGATAGGCTAACCCATTTCCGCTGTACAGGATTCTTGTCGATGCTTTTAATTCCGCGCAGTCTGAGCGGTACGATATTTTCAAGCGAGCAAAGCTTAGGAAGGAGTCGCTCCGTCGTATCGTCAATCATGCGCTCTCACAGTCTGTCCCGGCTAGCGTCGTGACTACAGTGAATGGTTTTACGAAGGTCTTTGCCGGTGAAATTGTTGAGAAAGCCCGAACAGTTCAGGATGAATGGGCCGACGCCCACGATCTCGCCGCTCGTGAAGCCTTCGAGGCCCAGGAAGCCGCAGCTGATAAGGCAGCGCAGGCCCGAGCTGAACGAGCTGAAGCCGCTGCTGCTGCACAGTCACAGTCCAAGCCAGCAACGCCTACACCCTCAGGCACACCAGTTCCTGCTGCCGGATCTCACAGTAATGGCATCAAGAAAGAGCCGTCCGACACAAACCTCGCCTCATCATCTCCAGCTCCCGCAACCGGAACACATGTCTCCCCCTCCCCGTCAAGAAAACCTACCAAGTCCGCAATTTCAAGTCCTATCCCCCCCTCGACAACGTCGTGAATTCCGCCTCCCACCCAATCCACACCGTGGCCAGCTCTTGCCCTCGCACTTGCGTGAAGCGGTGCGGCGCATTAAGCGTGATGGTGAGGGCGGTGGTGTTGGATACTCCGGGCTGAGTATGGAAAACCTCGGAGTGAGTGGTGCTTTTACGTGGAATTCTGGCAGTGTTGGTGGCCGCCGATTATTCCGCTAATCATTCGTGGCCTTTGCTATTTTCTTTTGCTTTTACTTTTTCTCGTTCCATTGCATCGGCGTATTCGGTTGGTTGGGCGGGCATCTCTTTTGCTTCTGGGTTCATTCGATTTCGCTCCGCCGGGTGAATTTATGCTACGCGGCGGAATAGTATCTACATAGTAGCGGACAGGTCGTCTATTTCGAGATTATGACAGGACATAAAAATTCGATATCATTACTTTTTCCCCCTTCTCTTTGCTAACTTTACTACCGCACTATTCATGGCGTACTTCGTATATTGGACTTTGCTCAATATGGGCTTCATGGCTTAGATATGTGACACCTATGTACGGATAGTGTAAATTAAATATCCCCAATTTAGATCACACATTCCAATGCATCTGATTCATCCGTCGATCTCCAGGAGGCCAGTTCCTCCAGGGCTTGGCAGGCACCGGTCTGAAAGGGAGCTGCATCAACAACAACCATATCAATATGCGATTTCATTTTGGTCTGCCAGTACTGCTCCGCGCAAATTAGTCTCCAAATAACCAATTCACGCTACGATCCACATGTTCGTAGAGATAAGCTCATGATCTAAAGAAATAAACGCCATGGGACTTGTGTGAGCCAATGACGAGATCGGCAGGCCGTGCCCTAAAAAGGACCGCGCCGCTGCATCCATCGCTGCAAGGGCCCAGCGCCACCAACTGGCCTTTCCAAGTATCTACAAGGAGAAGCTTTTCTTTGACTTTCCTGGCATACCAATGCCATTGACGCGCGATATCCCTAGCCCATGGGTGCCGGTGGGGGAAATGTATCCTCGTGGTTCGCACTGGATTCAGGAGCGCGCCATTGGGGCTTTGACTGGGCTTATTGTTACATACTGTACTAGTACTATTTGCCCACGCTGCAGTGCACCCTTCACCCTTCAAACGGGGATGGGTTGGGAATTTGTTTATGCCAGTGCCGCGTCAGGGCCTGCTTCTTCAGGAGGCCCCTTCTTTCTTGGCGAGTCTTTTCTGGCAGCATGCTTGGCTTTTCTTTCCTGATATGTGTCTCCTTTTTTGGGGTTTCGTTTCCTGCTTTATTAATTATTCTCCTGTGGGAAGCATGCGTGGGGAGTATAACCTATTCCACCTGCTGCTCTTAGACTCCAACCTTTCAACTGCTTCGCTTCACATACCTCGATGAATCTCACTACACGCTTCCGAGGCTTTTGATATTCTGGCGGGCTGGCTGGCTACTTGACGCGTTTTTGATACTGTGCAGCGGCGCCTAATATTCAAGTTGGGCCTTCAAGTGAAATCTTGCTTCATCCTTCGCCATGCCATATCTTCAGACCTCTCATATCTATACTCGTCTGCGAGAAAATCTCCCCTCAACCCCCATCTCCACGCCAATATCCGCTGTCTTCTCTTGGAATCGAGGGGACTCTTCAACGACAAAAGGCGACCCTCGGAAAAGCGTCAAATGGATCGACGTGCGTAATTCAAACAGGCCTATATCCTCCAACATCCAATTTAATATCAGGAAGCTAACGTTAGATTATCTGCTCCAGGGCCTTCGTGGAATCGCCTCTTTTCTAGTTGTTCTCACCCACCTCGCCCGCGCCTGGGACTATGACCTCTTCTCTCCACGAGATAACGAGGATGTCTCTCCGAGAATTTTACAATGGCCTATTCTGCGCATCCCCTGGCAAGGCCGTATTGGGGTTACTATATTCGCATTTTTGACTGGCTACGTCTGTGGCCTGAAACCTCTCAAACAATCACGCGCCGGCGACATTATGGGGGCATTTACAACAATATCCAAAAGTGCATTCCGCAGACCACCACGCTTGATATTCCCTGCCACAATCGCTATGGTTATTTCTTGGGTTATTGCTCAGTTTGGAGGCTTTGTTGTGGCTAATCGATCAGATTGTTGGTGGTGTCGGTATGCGGCGCCGGAGCTGGAGGACTCGCTATGGGATGAAATTCTTCGTTTGGGGAAGAATTTCTTGTCAACGTGGACAACTGGGTATATGGCATATGACGATCATCAGTGGGCGCTACTGCCCCTCTTGAAGGCATCTATGCTGGTATACATTCTGCTATTTGCTACGATGTTCATGCGATTCCGGTACAGGATGATGGTTTACATCGGGATGATGCTATACTTCCACCAAGATGCTGCGAAGGATACTGGTAAGTGCATTGCATCTTAGACTGCAAATTACCAAGAAACCTATCTAACAAAAGCAATAGAGACATTCCAACTGCAAGCAGTCTACGGCATACTCCTCAGCGACCTCTCCTACTCAACAACAGTCAAAAACTGGATTGAAAACCACCCCTACGGCCGAAAAGCAATTTCCATGCCATTAACATTCTTCGGCCTCTGCATTGCTTCTTATCCAGGCGAGCATCCAGAATGGTCCCCGTGGTCAAACTGCCTCCTCAAAATGGCAGAATACATATTTCCCCCCGAGGTAAACATCGGCAAACGCTACACAGCCCTTGCAATCGACATGATCATTTTAGCAATCTACATATCACCATCGACGAAAGACTTCTTATCAAACAGACTCCTCCTGTGGCTGGGTAAGCAAAGCTTCGCCGTCTATCTAATCCACGGCACATTACTGCGCGTTGTGCTCGTTTGGATGCTCTACGGTATTAGCGGACAGCCGTGGGATGGAAGTGAAGCCGCTACCGACGATGAACGAGATTGGATACCCCTCCGTCCACCGGTGGTAGTTGCCTTTTGCATCCCAATTTGGATAGGAATCGTGTATGCTTGTGCTGCGGCGTGGACGGCGTATGTCGATACATTTTGTGCATCTTTGACGCAGAAGGTTGAGCGGGCTGCGTTTGTGGAGGATGAAAAGGCCCCTTTGCCTTTACCGCTTGTTTCCGTTCCTATGCAAACTGCTTGAGGATACCCAGGGCTTTGCATATGAATTTCGTGGTTTTCTGGGACTTGAAGTGATGGGATCAGGGCTGGCGCCCCTGCATTTACAGGTGTTTATAAGCGACATTATTTTATCTTAGGCATTTTTCTTGGGCATTTTTTTCAGTCAAAAACACGATGTCTGCTATCAGTTTCTCCCGCGAGGGAACATACCTTTTTGGATCACGGGGCTGGGAATTTGAGATATCGTGAGCTCCATAATCAGCTTCATACCGTGGCCATTTGCATTATTTCTTCTACTTTATTTAACTTTAATTTGGTCGAAAATGGCTCTCAATTGTAAAGCAAATTCATTAGCATATTGACTCAGAAGTCATTCGATATTCGGGAATGAACATAACACAGGTATGCCTACAATGAAGTATGCCCAAAGAACTCACCTTCTCATGACCTAGTCCACGCCCATACAACTTGAATTATCCTGCTGCTGCTTGGCCCAGTGAAAGATTGACTCGTATCGACGCCGATATCTCGTGGTACGATTAACATTGCCACACGTTCAAAAATGACTGGCTTCACCAGGATGAGAGGCGGGGGGCTAATTGCCTCGCCTCACGCCTTGGCAAGCCAGGGCTATCACTGGTTTATTTTTTAGCAGATTCACTCCCCAAAAAGGGCCTAGCTGCTTTCTCAGTGATTTGATAGAAGCCTTTCTGCCGGGCAACGACAATCGCGGGCTTGAGCCATCTGGCTGCCCAGAGTGCACAAGAAGAGGTCAGTCTTATATTGATACTATGCTCCGAGCCTCTACAGTCTTTGCCCTGGGCATTGCCTATCCCGGGAACTGTCTGGTTTCAGGCATGAATTAATTTGTTCGAACAGAGGCCCAAGAAAATGAACAAAGTGACAGGATGATACAGAGACGCACGGAACTCACTGAAGAATTAATCGAACTAGAAATGAGGCTAGGACTTTTTGAGCGGCCTGAAGTGTCAGATGCTGTTTCCAGGGGATCGTTGGATGGAGAGGATTTTGGAAATAGAAGTAGAGTTGCGATCTATGTAGCTAGGATCATGAGAAAGGATTTCACACGAACTGGCCGCTTTCATTCAAGTCCCTTAATTTGCGAGGCCTTTGAATAAACCAAAGTAAAATAAACCTTGGAGTGGCTTTCCTTGCCAAAGTGGCTTCAATATTATAACGTGCAGTATGCGAGTCTGAGTCCTTCTATTGATTTTTTAAAGCCTCCCGAGGTCATCAGTTTTCATCGAAAGAAAGCCTTTGTCCCAGCCTCAGCTCAGCTTTAACAATCTGTTTTAATTCCAACCTAATAGGCATTCCACCTTGATATCACCTCCAAGCCTCTAGCGTGTCAAGGAATTCGATTCTAAAATAATGGATTAGACTTCAATCATGGGGAATCTGCGGACATACATACTAGTATACTTACGGACCGCTCGCACTCAAGTCACCCCAAGGTGCGGCAGCCCAGATTGCAAAGGAAGAGGTCATTATTACTAGTATATTGATATTCCCCGATACTCGATAGCCTTTGCGTTGGGCATCTCCGAATACTGTCTGTTTCGTTTTTGACATCAATTGATTTGTTCGAACAGCTGGCGAAGAAAAAGCAATGTTGAGGCGTGAGTACCTGCGGCATCTCCGGCCTCAAATATCCAGGCCATCGCTCGTTAACATTGAAGGATTTACTCGAGGATTCTAAACCTAGGACAAGGGTATTGTTAAAGAAATACCATCTAAGAAACTTCGTCAAGGACGAGGTACCGACGACAGTGCCTTCTTTCGCATAGGCTTAGTCAGTCCACACCATTATATCTAGCTCCTGGGTAGAGTCGGCTATTCTTTCATCCTACAAATCCAGGAGACTTGAAAGAAGCGAAAGAGGCTGAACAAAGAAACTGGATGGAATGAGACGCATACATGAGGATGTGGTGCGCATGGATAACTCAGCACTGATGCCTCAGGCTCTCAACAACAGATATTCAATACTAGTATAAAAAGCCATATCCCCCTAACCTCTTCTATATCCCTAGCTTTATCTAAGATAGAGTTTCAGCAAGATGGTGAAGTAAACTGAGAATGTAAGTACTGCTTCGTTGGTCATTTACTTTAGTAGTAACTGATACCTTTTGGTAGTCAGCCTTTTTATGGTATAAGAGCCAGACCTCAAGCGATGGGGTTCTACTCCTTCGGATGGATGCAAAAGATCCAGTAGCTGTGACAAATCAGGGGGTAAGTTTTACTAGTAAAATATTTAATAGTAGTAAAATACTAGTTTTCCAAAATTGTCAACTAATATTCTACCATATAGCAATCGGGCATTTGGCGCCTCTAACTTGGTGAAACTTTTGTTGAGCACCTAGCTGCGCAAAGAATGTAAGTGAAGTGACCTTTTACTTCTTACTTACAAGTAGCTTAATGGTAAACAGAAGCCTGAGTCGAGCACCAACAACCTCCGAAAGCACTACACGAAGCAGCATCCAGAGATAACTCTTACCCGTGCTGGTGGACACCCTTCTTGGATGATCATCAACTCGCATGTAACTTTTACACGGATCTACGACAGAGATATGAGGATGGACTAAACAACAACAAGGTGGGGTTGCGAGATCATGATGCGGAGGTAGAAGCATGACGAAGAATTAGGGATTGGGTACAAGTGTATTACTTAAGGGTCGGCCGGGCTAGCGCTGACCCACAGGACCAGTATCGAGGCAAAAATACCAACATACGAATTAAATCTGTGTGCACATTTTTGAATCGAGTGGTATATTTTGCCTATTTTCTGTCGCGATACAGGGCTGGGTGGGAGAGCTTTTGTCGCACAAGTCGCGGGTGGAAACTGTTTCTAGCCTTCAAAAGCAGTTTTCGGTATCAAGTGCATAAGTCTCTATATTCAATTTTAAGTTGTTGATCAAGCTCAAATGCATATTCATTGCAACCGCCTCAATGACTTGGCAATCTACGCACATTGCCTCGGCTCGACCGCTTACTTTGCTTCGAAGGTTGGGACTCGGATTTATCCACCTGGGCAGTATAACACTTGTACCTTCCAAGGTTGAGAGCAACCAATTCTAGTTGCTTGGCTACTACTGTGCACCGAATATAAAGTAGTGTAGTCTCTTTGATTCTAAGCTGGAATACATGAAAAACAAATTGCCAGGTACAGCGCCATATAGTACAGTTTATACATGCTGATAAAGATTATTTCCGGCCCCGGGACTGCTGAGCAGCATTTTGGTGCCTCTGGAAGGAAGCCTTAGCCTTCTCACGCTCAGCGCGAAGAGCCTGCATCTGAGCGTTCCGGCGGGCGTGATTGCGCTCTTCACGACGGAAACTATCCACAGATTGTTGCTCCTGTTCATACTCCAGAGCCTTCTTGCGCTCGGCATCAGTCAGACGCGGAGGCGGGGCGGCAGAGCCGTCGGCGTTCTTCGCTTGGCCTTTTCCGGATGCCTCTGAGAGCTTGGTGGTGATATCCGTCTTCGCTTGACGGAAGTGCTCCGACATGCCATCGACCAATTTGTCGATCTTGCTCACGTTCTGGTTGTCAGGCTTCTTCTCCACCTCGGCCTTGGGTTTCAGTCGCGCATCCACCTGCTTCTGCAGTTTTTGAAGGTAGTCCTGCACGTCCGAGACGGATCTATCCGGAGCATATTTTCTGGTAATCGTCATACCCAGCATGTTGCGGAATTTGTCGGAGGTGACCATGTAGGACTGGCCCAAAGCGAAGGCACCGGTAGCCACGAAGTAAAGCTGGAGTGCACTAGGCATGAATGCCATGAAGAGGAAGGAGATCGCCGGTAAACCAATCGCCATTGATTTTCCAGCAGCGCTGTTCATAAAATCACCCATTCCAGACTCACCACCTCGCTGTATTAGTCAAAGTTAGCTGGATTATATCGCCGACTTGGGTGTGAAAAGGGGGAACCAACCTGCAAGGTCATGTACATAAATGCCGCGGTCACGGCAGGTAGAGCGTAGTAAGGGTCGGAAATTGTCAAATCGTTAATCCAGAGAACAGATTCGTCCAGCATTGCTGGGACGGGGAGCGAAGCCATGCCACGAACAACTCGGAAGGTACCGAAACCAATGGGAATTTGCAGCATTGGGATCAAGTTCTTCCAGGGGTTGATACCATTCTCCTTATTTAGTGCTGACAATTCAGCTCTCTTCCGTTGTGTTTCAATTTGGTTTGAGTCTTTCAGGGCCTGCATCATCTGCTGGCGAATGGGTTCAGTCTTAGGCTTCAGGTTTTGAATTTTGGCGCCTTGGTCTGAGGCAGTAAGCATCGGCTTCAGCAAAGCGAGACGGACGACGAGACCCGCGCCAACGATACTGGCCCACCATGGCAGACTGGCGGTAATGTGTAAATGCTCGATTAACCATTCAATCATGGCGGCAGGGCCCCAGCCGAAGTCCAGTCCAAGTTCTTTCAAGTATCCGATAGACTCAGGGATTTTCGAGATATCGAATCCCTCAAGGTCACTGGCCTCGGGAAGTCCATCTGACACACTCTTGGCCGGGGCCGGATCGGATGTCGGGGTGGACGAAGTCGAATTGAAACGAATCGCAGCCGGGCCAGCCACGACTGAAGCAGCCCGCCATGGGGCACTGGCAGAGAGACCGGAGTTCAATTGGCCCCGAAGGCCTGCAAGCCGTGAGTGTTGCGATCGGAAAGTCGATACCTATGCAGAGAATCAGTCAGTCTTGCTGCTCTTCCGGTCCTGGCATGACATGACAGGAACGAGACCAACCGATCGAGTAGATCGAGGAACCGCAGTAAGCCGTTGGCGCGCAAACGCGGCCGCTGTACTGGGCCCTTTCAGACCAGCAGCTCCCATCATTTTTATTTCGAGATATGACGAGTTGCCAGACAAGATTGGGGTAGCGGAGAATCGGCCACGAATCGCAGCGCGCCGGCGTTGAGACTTTTTTCTGCCGGGCGGCCAAGCGCCGGTAAACACCCGTCTGGACTCGGGTATCCCCAGAGGTACAGAGTACGGAGTACACTATAGTAACTACTCTTTGCTTTCTTCAGTTCTTCTCATATTCATATGTAGCAGGTAAATTCCAGTTCGCCAGGCGCCATCTGAAGAGTCTATATACACGCAAAAAAAATAAAAAGGTCACCAGGTAGAGAGGGGTGACCACGGTAGGTATCACGCATTCCAAAATGTACCGTTTTTTGTATTTCCCAATTCAATGCACACCCTGCTTCTTCCGAGAGATCTCTATGGTAAAGCAGAATGGATGGAGTTGGCAGTCTGTCGTTTACTCCAGAGAAGTAGTGTCGTTCAAGGTCCTGCGTTCGGAGGGGAGTTCGCGAATCTCAACCCCGGGACCCACGGCGTGTGCTCGGCGGTAATTTGGGAAGATCTGAGGAGATTATGATAATTAGTGATTGGGTTTGTGAAATACCGCATCTCCGTAAAGCTTACCTTAGTGTTTGACCATCCCAGTCGGAAAGCCGCCTCGTGGGCAAAGAGCTCGCCGAAACCCAGCATCAGGCCGTTCACAAAGGGGAGAAGGAGATTGATCGCGGCGCCTCTTAGAAGACCCCAAACGCTAGGCGGTTGGTAGAGGATCATGGGCGAGCCCGAGCTGGAGCTTGGGGATTCGGATTGCGTCAAGTCGTTGTTTGGCGAGTAGTTTTCCGAATCCGAGGGGAGCGTAACGGCGGAGTCGAAGAGCTCAGCTCGCGAGCCAGAAGCATTGGAGGCCATGGCCACGGAGAAACAGAGGGGATGCGAGGGCCGAGAGAGGGAGTTGAGCACGACGAGTGATATGGATTCAGTGGGTTGGCCCTGGGCCAGGTATCCGCCGTGGCGGTGGTCCGGGGTGAACTCGCTTAGTCATCAGGTTCGTGCCGTATAGTTAACTAGTTGAATCTTCAATAGATAGGACTCAACTCATTTTCACCTGAACATACTGTATAATCCAGGAACAGATGTCTTATGTCTCATGTATGTCTAATCGGCGCATGGATAAATCAGACCAAGTTATCGAACTCCGAGTCCAGATATACTACGAGTAGTACACGGGCATGAGAAAGTAAGATATATCCGAGTCGTTAAGTTCCTTGGTAGACTACAAAAAAACATTTGTAGAGCAACAGAGACACTTACGGCGAAACTGAAACTAAATAACATGTTTTATGACCTCAGCATCTACAAAATCTCAAAAAGATCGCGAGCAGAATATTTTGGAAGTATAGGGTTGACTCCGCCTCAGGCAACGACCGGAAGATCAGCCGCTCCGGCTGACCAATTGCAGTGACGTACCTGCCCGCGGTGTTTAGCTGGCTCGTCCAGCTCAAGCTTGCTGTCTTCTTTAAAACATCTCGTTGCGTATATCAAGCCCTCTTGACAGCCACCTATCCACATTGTCAAAAGGATTTTCTCAAAAACTGCAGTCGTTTTTGATACTGAATATTCGACCAAGCTCCAAACATGGATCACAACCCCGCAGAGCACGATGAAGTCGTGTCTCAGTTCTGTGCTTTGACGGGCACACAGCCTGAACAGGTAGGATTACTACTCTCAACAAGTCTCGAAACAAGCTCTTACCATCTATCTTTCTTTTTCTAGGCCCAAGAGTACCTTGCAACCAACCATGGCGACGTTGAAGCCGCAGTTACCGAGTTCTTTGCGGAACAAGACGAGGCTTTGCAGGACATGAACACAGGAGGTGGCCAACAAGTTGGTGCTGGAGAAGCTGCTGCTGCCACTGCGGCCGCTTCAGGAGGTCGAACACTGGGCGGTGGAGCTGTCCCCGCCTCTTCTGCTGCCCCGGAGGCCTCGTCATCTGCGCGCCGCTCAGCGCCTAAAAAGAAGTTTGCGACTCTAGGTGATTTCTCGGGAGGAGACACTCACGACTCTTCGGACGACGATGGGTCGGAAGACCAGGATTTTTTCGCCGGAGGAGAGAAGTCTGGACTGGCAGTTCAGAACCCAGATGACCTCAAGAGGAAGATTCTCGAGAAGGCTCGGAAGTAAGCTTTCTGATGTCTCCGCAGTGATGTCTGGAATTGGATACTGATACATGAGTGTATAGAGCTCAACCCCCGCCCTCAGACGACGCTCCCTCCCGCCAATCATTCTTCACTGGCGCTGCGCGCACTCTCGGCGGCGACGATGCTCCAAGCCGGGTGATTGCCGACCCATCCGCCCCTACTCCCCAGCGCGCTCAGCGCGTACAGCGCACTCTCCACTTCTGGGCCGACGGATTCTCAGTAGACGATGGCGAACTCTACCGATCTGATGACCCTCGCAATGCTGAGATTTTGGAGGGTATCCGACAGGGTCGTGCCCCACTCACGATTATGAATGTTCAAGCGGGACAGGAGGTGGATGTCGAATTGAAGCAGCATGAGGAGAAGTACACCAAGCCTAAGCCCCAATACAAGGCATTCTCTGGATCTGGACAGCGCCTGGGTAGTCCTACACCTGCTATTCAGAGCCAGCAACCTACACCTCCCGCCGCTTCTGCCCAGTCAAGTGGCCCACCTAAGCCCGAGGTGGATGAATCGCAGCCCACGGTCACTCTCCAGATCCGCCTTGGTGACGGAACCCGTTTGACGTCCCGATTCAACACCACTGCAACAATGGGTGACGTCTATGCTTTCGTCACGGCCGCATCTCCGGATAGCCAGAGCCGCCAATGGGTGTTGATGACCACTTTCCCTAGCAAGGAGCTCACGGACCGGGATGTCACTCTTGGTGATCTCCCCGAATTCAAACGTGGAGGAGTGCTTGTCCAGAAGTGGACCTAGAAGCCATTGTTACTTGGGAAGGATTTATTCCACCTCCTATATCCTACGGGAGTTGGCAGACCACTGGTCAAACACGGGCATTCAAGTTCTTTGTTCCTCGGTGTAGACTCCTACAGAGACGTTTAATGATACATGCAGTACTCACATGAAAAAAGTGAGCTACATTCGGGCTAAGTAGACCTTACTCATACATGAATTAAAAAGAGAATTCTACCTAACTGAACTGATGTCCCGACCTTGTAGAAGCATCCAGCGGATCCAACCGCAGCCCTCGTTTTAGTCAGAGGCCGATTGATAAGCATCCCGAACATCGGCTTCAATCCCCACCTAGAAACCTGCCCTTGTTACTCTTTCATTCTTCACCAACAACAATTGACTATACAGCTATGCCTCTAGACGGGGTGAAGAATATTGTACTGGTAAGTCTACGGCAAGAGAAATGCGCCCACCACCCGGAGCTTTCTAAATCCTACACCTCCGCCACCGCAGACTTTGCCCCTCACCAACAGCTTATCGATAACGATGAGCGCAAACGATGAGATCTTGAAAGCAACGGATGACATAGAGCAAAGCTTGACTCGATAAAATTGCATAATAAAGCTAACCAACCTTTGTCGCAGGTCCTCTCCGGCAAGGGAGGCGTGGGTAAATCCTCCGTAACTCTCCAACTTGCGCTGGCCCTCTCCCTCCAAGGCAAATCCGTCGGCATTCTCGACATCGACTTGACAGGACCCTCAATCCCACGACTAGTCGGTCTCGAAGGAGAAAAGATCACACAATCTCCAGCCGGGTGGCTTCCCGTCTCCGTTCACGATGCTACCACCCCACAACCTACAGCAGAAGGCGCATCATCTTCAACACCCTCACCCCGCGGTTCGCTCCGCTGCATGTCCCTCGGCTTTCTCCTCCGCGATCGGGGCGACGCTGTCATCTGGCGCGGACCCAAGAAGACAGCCATGATCCGCCAGTTTCTCTCTGATGTGGCATGGGGTTCAACGGACTACCTACTCATCGACACGCCGCCCGGTACAAGTGACGAGCACATCGCTCTAGCGGAACAACTCCTCACTCTCTCAACGGCGGATGCGAGCCTCGCGGCGCAGAATAATATCCCCCGATTAACGGGTGCGGTTCTCGTGACGACTCCACAGGCCGTTGCGACGTCGGATGTGCGCAAGGAAGCGAACTTCTGCGTTAAGACGAGTATACCTGTGTTGGGAGTGATTGAAAATATGTCCGGGTATGCCTGTCCTTGCTGTGGAGAGGTGAGCAATCTCTTCTCCAGCGGTGGTGGTGAGGTTATGGCGCAGCAATTGGGCATCCCGTTTCTGGGTAAAGTGCCTGTGGACGTTAAATTTGGCGAGCTTGTTGAAGGGAAGATGGAAACTGCTAGCGATGATGAGGTTGAAGGTGAAGACGAAGACGAAGACTCGGCGCAAGAAGTGCAGCCCCCTGCTGAGCCGGATCTTCGACCTCTTGTCGAGCAATATAAAGATGGGTGGTCTTATCCGCGGTTCGAAGAATTCGCGAAGACTATTGTTGGATGTGTGCAGGGGACGAATGGGGCGGTGGCTTAAGCTCAAAACTTGATATAGCTTGAAAAGAAGCTATTGGGGTTCTTCTTCATCGATACCCGAATTATATCATTACATAGCATTGTTTAGGGCGTTGCATAGCTCGGAAAAAGCTTTCATGGTTCAATTTCAAGGTTCACTATGATAGAAGACAACATCGCTCGAGAAATAGGTGAGTATTCTTGATTTGGAGGCGACTCCATATTGTAGATGATTTATAAGCATATAATATGGAGGTTCATTGAAGGGCATCACGCAGTCGTAAATCATTATAGTTCATGAGTCGTTATATGTGAATGACTTAGCTTGTCAAAGATAGGGCTGGTTCTTGGTTGCTCGTCAAATGGTAGTCTCATCAAGGGATCGTGCGAGCATGGCTCGCAGTCGACTCTCCGCGGACTGCAGGGCCGGGCGAGACTCCGGCTCAGCTAGATGTGCAGTCCACTTCAACCAACCAAGTACAGAGCGAACTGCTTCTGGCGCATACCATGTCTTTGGTGCTGTAATGTAGGGAGAGTTAGGGCGGTCAGGTAAGGGGGGCTGTGGTCCATTCGGAGTCTCCAGACTGGCTGCCTGTGCATCAACATGTGCTTCTGAGACTACAGCAGGGGTGGTGACGTCGGTTGAGTGGCCGCCATCACGTTTGGCAGTGGTGGTTTTTGCTAGCAGATCTCGGCCGGTTTGGGGTCTAGAAACAAACTCACGAGTGGCCGGCGGAATGTGAGCATCTATGACTTGAGCCGCCGCCGGCTGCATCGGAAGCTGTTGTATCTGTGTCCGCGCTGATAGATCTAAGCCCGAGGCACCACTGCGCTCTCGCGCAGACGCAGCCTGCCGAAGACTTTCCAAGTACCGGTAGAAAGAGAATGGATGAATCTCCTGGCCCGCATTCATCATGCTAGGATCATCGTCAAATATTACCACCCCCTCATCGGCACGCCGTTCATCATTCGAACTGGCTTCCTCGACCGGCCCTAAGCCACCCTGCGGAGCCCGAATCTCCCCCAAGGGCGCAATATGACTTTCATATTCATTGGCTAGGCTCAGTTTGCTGCGTCCACAGATCTCGGCGATCGAGTCCAGTGTACCGCGGATATCGGGCTCGATGGCCTGCAGTATACTCTCGATACTGAAATCCTGGACAGCCGGGAGCGGCGGCCCCGACGGACGGGAGGAAGCTGGAGTCTTCGAGCCCGTGAACGGGAAGAACCGGCGAGGAGACATGGTCGAAGACTGGCTCGTCGTGTCATCGGCATTGCCAGAATACGCTCTTACAAGGACGGGTTGAGTAGGTGCAGAGGGCAGGATACTGATACTCCGATCAGCTCGAGACGAGGAGTGGAGATGGGGATCTTGGTTCATTTGACGCAGAGTAGTGGCGCGAAGGCGATAGTCAGGGTCGTCAGCTGCAGAGTCGAAGTGCCGCCAGCTTGCGTAGTGGGAGGGGCCTGCACCTGCGTTGCCCGCGGGAGGCGCATAGGACGGAGACAGACGGGACCATCCTTGTCGGGGGAAAGACGAGGAGGACAGTCGACTACCATCCCAGCGTGTGGCCAGCGAGTCTAACGAGGTTGGGTCCATCGTACACCAATGCGGAGTAGTGGAAGGTGTACAGCGCAGAGTAGATTGAGTACCCCGCTCCGACTATCTTGTCGCGAGTCTGCAGGGTTGGGGTCGCCACACGTCTACTACAACCCTCACGAGGAGAGGTGCATCCAAGTGGCATAAGTGGTGCATGTGCTACTCCCGATGCGCTGGCAATGTGAATCAGTGGGAGGTCTCGGAGACAAAGACAAGGTCAAAGTCAAAGTCAAAAACCTGTTGGAAAGAGAAGAAGAGTAAGTCCAGGGCAAGTAGGATGGGAAGAGTAAGTGGACACCCAAAACAGACGCCAAGACTCGACTATGTCGGGGCTGGCCAACTCCACCACTCAGCTGCACTTGTCATCTTTGTACTTTAATTTGGTCCGCGAGTGACTCCGTACATGATGAACCGATTCAATGTAGGTCGTTCTGGTCATTCTGGTCATTCTCCACATTCTTCTCGACCTTTTCAAACTAACCCTAGCTCTTCCAGTTCGGCGGCGACTCTGACGGGTCAGGTTCCGACTTTGATGAGGACCACTCCGGCCTGCCTTTCCCTGAACCACTTTCTCGAACCTCGTTCCTCGCCCCTGATTTCGACCCGGCTACATTCCTCTCCTCCTTGACAAACCGACATCAAAGCCTCGAGGACTTGCGACAAGAATTGCGGAGCTTGGAACAATTGCTGAATAAGGAGTTGTTGGACTTGGTCAACGAGAACTATCAGGACTTCCTCTCCCTGGGCACAGCTCTCCGCGGCGGCGAGGAGAAAATTGAAGGCGTTAAAGTCGGCCTGTTGTCGTTTCAACGAGATGTGCAGTCAATTCGGGACAAAGTTGAAGCTCGCCGACGGGAGGTAGAGGGACTATTGAACCAGAAGCGACAGCTTCGCACGCATGCAGACATCGGCAAAGACCTCCTTGACTATGCGGACCGGGTCGAAGAGTTGGAATATAGATTGATGATCAAAAACGAATCTACTGCGCGAGAAACCACCGAGGATGATGGATCCGATTCCGAGTCCGATGTTTACGGAACCGATAGTGATGACAGTGACGAGGAGGAGCTTGGGGACGGGGCCGCACCTGTATCATTGAAACGGCTCGAGCGACATGTACAGAAGTATGTGTTCCTTACATCGATAGCCACCCGAGTTGGCGAAAGTCATCCGTTTCTGCTTGCTCAGCAACCACGTGTGGGCAAGATCAAGTCGACTGTGCTGCTGGACCTGAAGACTGCGCTGGAACAAGCTAGTCATGCTGGTGCCAAGCGCGATGCGAGAACCATGGCAGTCTTGCGTCTCTACGATTTCATGGGCGAGGATGTGAGTGCAATTCTTGCACTTAAGAATCTGAAAGTATAGATCGCCCCAGCGTCATTAACGGGCAGGAAATGCATAGCGTCGGCGTTCAGGTTTGTGGGAGTCTCTATTGAACAGATATGATACCATGATACACCATGTCCTTTCCTAATAAAACAAGATCTGTACACGCCAGTAGAATATGAGAAAAATAAGTAATTTACACGCCGGTCAAGGCAGAGGTTTCGGGGGAGTCATCAGTCTTAAACTCTCCGTTAAGACTGAAGCCGGTGCCGTGGGAGGAGCTCAGAACCTAATTGACGGATTAGCGGATTATTTAAAGAAAAGAACTTCTCAACTACTCACAATTTCGTAGATCTCCTTGCTAATCCGGTCGTTGAGACCAGATGCATCCTTCTTGATCTGATCAATCGTTGTCCGCAAGTTGTCGCGCAATTGCTCCGGAGAGAATCCTAGCTGGCCGATTGGAAGACGGATGACAGCATCACGCTCGCGGTAGACGGTACCACCACGAAGATCCTCAACACGGGAAGCAACATCCTCAACGACAGTACCGGCCTTGGCGCTGGGCATGAGGCCGCGAGGACCGAGAATTCGACCCAAGCCAGCCTTGTTGAGAGCCGGCACACTGTCCGGGTGAGCCAGGCATCGGTCGAACTCGATTCGACCGGCCTTCACAGCCTCAAAAACATCGGTTTCACCCACCAGGATGGCACCGGCGGCGAGCGCATCCTTCGCGTGCTTCGAATCGGGGGGACAGATGACGCAAATTCGGGACTCGGTTTGGACGGCGTGAGGAAATCGGATCATATTTCGGATGACGGGGCCATCTTTCCTTGTGCGCAGGCGAATGTGTGCCTCGTATTTGATGACAGTTGGGTTGCGGCCAACCTCCATGGCTCGGAGATAGCTGTTATAGGGAATAAATGTCAGAAAACCAGAAACGGTAAGATGTCACGAATCTCCTGCGACGATCAATTGCAAACTTACCGCATAGCATCACACAGAGTATACTGCTCCATATCCTTCAAGCTCTTTTGTCTAAATTCGAGAGGTCCTCGGCGAGAAGTCTTGGGCGCCGCGGCGTTCTTACCCTTACCCTTCCCCTTGCTCTTGCTCTTCTGCGGGTTGCTTCCCATACCTCGGACTTGTTGGAGGATCGAGAAAGCAGGGGTCATTGAAGTTTCCCGAAGTGATGGACGGCATGATGAGAGAATGCCGCGTGCCGCAGTGGGCATTGCGACGCCGAGGGACGACATGGCTTGGTGTTTGATGTGTAGATCCCAGCGGAGCGGAATTGTCGAGGTTTCTGACGGAGCTCTCGGCGCCCGGAGAAAGTGTAGGGCCGACCATACCGATATGACTCGCCGATATGACTCCGCTGCCCCTCCAAATTTCTAGTTCAGATCGTTGATCACCTTTCTGTTGTGCGCAAAGTGAACGAAATCACTGCACAATGACCCAATTCGATCTGACTGTGGCCACCCGTGGCAACCATGCCGCAATTCTACCCGTGGTGCTGATTGCGACCTCTCTGAACGAGGCTCGTCCTGCCCCGGCCATCCAAATCAAGTATGAGGATACCGCAGTTCTCAGCGAGGGCGACAAGGCCATTGTCCAGCTCACTACCGGCGGAAAGTCTATGTTCGGAACCTTGAATGCAGTGAACGAGCTTTGCACTGCCTTCCCCTTCCTTGCGGGCAAAGACACCAAGCTCGTGAGTTCCATTACCCCGCCATACATCTACTTCGGTTGATCTAATATCCAAGTTCTATAGGAGGCCGAATGGATCTCTCAGCTCGATTCCTTCTCTACCCTGGACTTCAAGGCCCTTGACCCCGTCCTCCAGCGCCTTGACACCCACCTTCTCCTCCGCTCATTCGTCGTCGGATACTCTCTTTCCACCCCGGATATCGCTCTTTGGGGTGCGCTCCGCGGTAACCGTGTTGCCGTCGCTGCTCTGAAGAAGGGTACGCTTGTCAACCTTACCCGCTGGTACCGATTCCTGGAGGAGCTCTGCCCCTGGACTCTTACCGCTATTGACTCCCTGACCGCTGCCGCGAAGGAGAAGAAGTCCGCGAAGTCTAAGGAGGGTGCCAGCTACGACATCGCTCTGAAGAACACCGACGGCGGTGTTGTCACTCGCTTCCCTCCTGAGCCCTCTGGATATCTGCACATTGGACACGCCAAGGCTGCTCTCCTCAACGATTACTTCGCTCACGAGAAGTACAACGGCACGCTTCTGCTGCGTTTCGATGACACCAACCCTTCCAACGAGAAGGAGGAGTTCCAAGATGCCATCATGGAGGATCTTGCTCTGATGGTAGGTTATCCATATTGATTTAACGTTGATTTGGCGCCCACAAAATATTTCCTAGCGTAAATCATTTGCTGACAAAAATAGGGTATCAAACCCAACAAAACTTCCTACACCAGTGACTACTTTGATGAGCTTTATGCCTATGGTATCGAGATCATCAAGCTGGGCAAGGCCTATGCCGATGATACCGACAAGGAGACCATGCAGAAACAGCGTTGGGATGGTATTCCTAGCGCGCGTCGTGAGCTTACTCCCGAGGAGAGTTTGGCCCGCTTCGAGGAGATGAAGAAGGGTACTCCCGAGGGTCTCCGCTGGTGCATTCGTGCCAAGATCTCTGCCGATGACAAGAACAAGGTACTTCGCCTTCTATGAAGAATGTTTGACGACACACTAACACTCCAAAGGCCCTTCGTGACCCCGTCATCTACCGCTGCAACCCAGCTCCCCACCACCGCACCGGTACCAAGTGGAAGATCTACCCCACCTACGACTTTGCCTGCCCTGTCGTCGATTCGATGGAGGGAGTCACTCACGCCCTGCGTACCATGTGAGTATACCCTATTACCCTATACTTCGCGGTATATTATTGCAAAGCTAATTTTCCTGTTAGCGAGTACCGTGACCGCAACCCCCAGTACCAGTGGATGCTCGATACCCTTAGCCTGCGCGGCGTCCAGGTCTGGGACTTTGCTCGCATGAACTTCATCCGCACCCTCCTCTCTAAGCGTAAGTTGACCAAGCTGGTTGAGAGCGGAGTTGTCTGGGGTTGGGACGACCCTCGCTTCCCCACTATTCGCGGTATCAGACGTCGCGGTATGACCATTCCTGCCCTCCGGGAGTTCATCCTGAAGCAGGGTCCCTCCAAGGCCGTCACTCTCTTCGACTGGGCTCTTAGTAAGTCAATTCCATATTTCTCATCTCTCGAAGTATACATATACTAACAAGTCACAGTCTGGGCTACCAACAAGAAGTACATTGACCCCGTTGCCCCCCGTCACACTGCTATTTCGAGCAAGGACGTCGTCAAGGCCACCCTGACCAACGGACCTGCTGCTCCTTACACCGAGGAGAAGGCCAAGCACGCCAAGAACGCCGCCGTCGGAATGAAGACCGTCGCTTTCAGCGCCAACGTCCTTCTTGAGCAGGAGGACGTCAAGCTCTTCAAGCAGGACGAGGAGATCACCCTCATGAACTGGGGCAACGCTTTCGTCCGTAAGATTACCGCTGGCGCCGATGGCGTTGTCACCGGCCTCGACCTCGAGTTGAACCCCGGCGGTGATGTCAAGAAGACCGAGAAGAAGGTTACTTGGCTCGCCACCGAGGGCCAGGAGCTGATCCCCGTTGAGCTGGTCGATTTCGACTACCTGCTGAACAAGGACTCTCTGACCGAGGAGGACAAGCTTGAGGATGTTCTCAACTACAACACTGAATTCCGGGACAGCGCTGTCGCTGATGGCAATGTGTCCCAGCTCAAGGTTGGTGATATTATCCAGTTTGACCGCAAGGGCTACTACCGCGTTGATCGGGCTGCTGCCCCTGGTGTTCCGGCTGTGTTCTTCAACATCCCCACTGGTAAGCAAAAATAAGTGGTGGGCGATGGCTTATATGTGATGTGAACGAGAAAATTGAATGTAGTTATGTGAATTAAATGAAGGCCTGTACACTTGCGATCAGACTTCTACTAATGTAAGCGTGTCGGTGTACTCTCAGAGCCTTCCATCTACCGATACATTCTGAGAATGCGTCGCTTCAGTAAAATGACTGGGGAATTGATAGCTGAACTGGCAACTAAATTGGAATGAAGATGACTTCTGTATTCGATATTGGCCCACCATAATTTTCGTTGCGTCGACTGTCACGCTAGTGGGTCATGGATGTATTTTTGAGACATCTCCAGAGCCAGCTCGCTCTTGTCTTGCATCATTAATTGATAGCTTGGCAAGATCGACATTTCACCACGATCAGATCGTCATGGAAATCAATGATCCCGTTAAGCCAATTGCGGCATTTGATGCAATATCCTCCCTGCTCGAGTCTCACCTTCGCAGAATTCCATAAACTAAGGCAAGCAACCAACTTCTGGTTGATATTGAGCATCCTCGCGGTGATCATTGAGCCCAGTCTTCCAAACTCATCAAGGAATGGAAAGAACTCTTCGTTCTTCTTGAAAAAGGACATATTTTCGGTTATCAGTTGGGTAAGATGATCTGCAATTGTTGGATCATACGGAGGAGTCGAACTCATGACTTTTTGCGCTGCATCGAGAAAGCCTTCGGATGTGATATTTTCACTCAGCCATGCGCAGATCCGTGATGCTGCCAGAGCATACAATGTGTCGATTCCGAATTTATCAGCCGCAATGTAAACGTCGGTATTGTTGAATATGACCCCATCCTCAAGTGAGATCTTCTCAAGCGGGTTGCCTTCGAGCTTGGCACTTGTAGATGGATAGTTCGCAGGCAGATTCACAGGTAGGCTCGAGCTGCTTTCATCCGCCACAGTGCCCGGGGTATCCGTCAGACCATCTGTATCAGACAAGGCTGAGTTCCGCTTGCGTGGCGCATCAGGCGGCGAAGTTGACTTCCGTTTAGACGAACCTCCTGTGTCCGAAGCTGCTTCAGCATTGAGAGCCATGGTGTGGCCGGCTTCACTGTAGTCTTGGATGTAAAGAAAAGCGAGAACGCGCTCAATGCACTCTGGGTCATCGTCAGGCAAGTCAACAACAAAACTCGAGGATTCCTTCTCAAGCATCGTAGATCACTTATTAGTCTTTCAATCAGATGAATAACTAGACAGCTCATACCTTGTATCCACTGTTCATTGCGCCCTCAAAAAAGTGAGACTAGGAACACAAAACGATGCGATGAACATCGAACGTGACCCCGCCACATTTGACCTTCATGTCGGAATATTTGCCAGAAATAAACATGCATAGCATGCGGCTGCTCTCAGCTGTTGATGCCATCTTTTTTAAAGAGACCTCAATCGAGAAGAGAAGGAGGGAAGAATATCGGGTAGGAACTTGAAGGAGAATGAAGTGAGGTGAAGAGAAGGGGGAGAAGAAGATCACCCGTGTAGAAAGGTGAAGAGAAGTGAGGTGAAGAGAAGGAGGGAAGAATATCACCTAAGTAGATAGAAGACAAAAAGTGAGATGAAGAGCTTCTGGTTGCAGGGCTGAGCAGGTAGATATGCCCATCTTCCCGAAAGGGAGGCCACAATTACTGGACCAATTTATCTGCTATTTTCTGTTAGGACAACTTTACTTGAGTAAAATTTGATTGGTAAATTGATATGAGTATATAAAAAAGAGTTCTACCGGTGTATATCAGTCTAGATTTAGTTTGGAGATTTGGCCAGAGATACTAGTCCCTTGTAGTGAAACAGAGGAACATAAGAAGGATTCCAGCTAGTGCGCGTCTGGCACGGCCGCTGGAGATGGTGGGTAATAGATAGAGGAGAACACTTAAAGGTTGTTATTTGAAGGGGAAAGGTGTCCAAATCATTTCTCCATGATGGTCAGCCTTAATACTAATTACTTGGGAACTATGGCGAAAATCACTTATAGGTCGGTGACATTGTTGCCAACTGACCGCAGGGGCCACATGTTTTTGCTTGAGTTACTTTCTAAAGCGCTTTAACTGTATTTAATTAAGTACGTCCTTATATACTATTTGTAGTGTCTTCTAACTGTTAGGCCTTTTGATAGTATCGTCAATAAGACCGGTACCTCACTAGTATTATGTATCTATAAATATTTGTAAAATAAAGCAATGTGTAGTTCAACAGAAGTAAAGATCTAGGGATCAGCAAAACAAAGAGGAAGGCTTTTGTAGCACAAAGAGAATCAGGATATTTACGAAGCAACTTGAATGCAATATGTGCTGCAAGGGAAAATCAAGACACTTTGAATGCTTGCAATATAGCCCGCTTAAGCAGTATAGTAGGATAATAGCAGCATTGAGTTGGCAGGTCTACCCCGAGCAAGAGTTGAAGCGGCACGAAACAAGCGCGACCAGAACCAACCACCGGAGTGGATTGTCTACTACTAATTGATCTCAAGAAGACCATGGTACTATTCCTACTTGAACAAGATACTAGTAAATGTTTGAATATTGGTTCCTATGCTAATCATTGGAATGACTGGAAAATTTGAATTCTACTATTGTCAATCGAGCTCGGTCTCAGTCTCGGTCTCAATTTTATTCCATATCTCCATTTATTGCTCCGTATTGCATTTGCAGCAGCGAACTTTGACAATACCCACCTCGTCAATGAACTTCTCACTCGCTGAGCAACTTGGACTCTTGCACTTCGTGGTTGCCCGGAGTTTTCCTGCTGCCCGCGAAAAAGCTGCTAAGCGAGTCTCCATGTCTCTGATACGAACTTGGGATTTCGCTTCATTCTTTTTCGATTCAGTGTCTTTCTTCTTCCATTCAGTGGTGTTCTGCTTGTTAAAGGCCTGCAATCTCTCCACAAGTGCTGCGCCGAGGACCCCAGATTTCCGAATCAAAGGAAAAAAATCATTACCAAGTGCCTGATTCACAAGGGAATTGGAAAAACTCTCCGAAATTGCTTCGACAAGATAATCTTCGAGGGTAGGGTCGATGGCATAGTCAGGACCACAGTCCAGGATTTTGTTCGCTGCAGTCATAAAGGCGCTGGATTCTATGTTGACATTGCATCTCATCCAGCTCTTGACTCTTGCCCCTGAGAACTTCTTCAAGCTGGAAATCCCAAACTTGTCAGCCGCGATGTAGACGTCGATATTGTTGAGGGCTCCTTGAGGGACAGATGCCGATGGGTGCTGAGAGGTATCTGTTGCAGTCGAGTTGAGCTGGGACTTGAGGTCCATAGTATGACCGGTCTCGTTGTAGTCCTTGACATAGAGAAAAGAAAGTATGCGCTCGACGCACTCGATATCGTCGTCAGGTAGGTCAATGACGCCGTTGATTGACTCCTTTTTCGAGTCAGCCCCTGTCCGTGAATATGGAAATGGAAGTGCTCTTACTTTGAACCCACCGCGCAGGGCACCTTCCAAAAAGGATGATTGAGAGCAGACTACAAGGCGATGGACATTGAAGGTGAAATCCCCACAGGTGATCTTCATGTCAGAGTACGTTCCTTGAAGAAATGCATCTAGCAGGTAGCTGTTTTCGGGTGTTGGAGCCATCCTGACCGTAGTCATAATGAGACAAATCCAAGGTGGATGATGTTTTCGAGTCGAATGCGGGAGGTGGATCGTAAGATTGGGATGAAGAGAAGAGGATTGAAATGGGAGTGGTAGGTAAGGTAGTGAATTTGTGGTAGGCAACAACCCTACACTTCCAAAACGGAAAGACACGCAGGTCAGTTGGGGTCGGATGGTAGTAATCGAGAAGCTTGAACGAGATTGCAAACCAAGTTGGATAGTAGTACTGAGCGGTTATTTTAGTCATGCCTGTATCTAACAGCTCTACCTCGAGCATAAAGCCACGTGAAACAATCACGACCAAAATTGTCCACTGGTTTGTATAGGATGAAGTTACTACTTGAACAAGATGGATATTTGAGTTGGGCACGGTATTGATTCCCAGGCTGGCCACTCGAGTGTCCAAGAGATTATAATTGTATTGAGCATCGAATTGGCCATCAGATTGTCATTGTCAAGTAGGGATGCGTTTGCGCAACGTCCCTCCGATCCGCATCCGCACCCGCACTCGGTCATTCATTGGATTTCACGGCATTCATGGCAACGAAGATTGATTGGAACCCTGTTGGAGTATTCAACGTACCAGCCGTACTTTCTCTTGCATCTTTTGCAAGCCGATGTTGGGCAAAGTTATCTTAATTTCCTCTAAAGGTTGCGGATCTCTTCGTTCCCTGAGCGTAGCTCTTCTTGTATATCCCAAATTCGCTGGTCATTTCCCCCAAGTGTGACAATAGCCAAGACTTTTTGATCCGTTGGATACACGCTCCAGGACTAACCTCTAAAAAACCTGGAAGTTTCCACTCATGGGATAATCGTGGTGACCGGCATTCAGCGGAGTCCTATCTACACATGACGTCGGGTGGACATTGAGGTGGGTCAGTCAACAATACCCTATCCGCGATGGTACGCTAGCCTAGCGAGCCAGAGATAGTACCGCGAGACTCTGGATGTGTGTGGGCGAGCTGTCGGAAAGTTAGAAAAAGCGGGCCAATGACGGGGTGCAGAGGGTGACGCTAAATGGCGATCTCCCCGCGACTCCACTCGGAGGTATAGATACAACGAAGTTGCTACAGCATCTGAACTTGTTGTTTTGCAACTCTCTCCCTCTCTCTCTCTCTCTCTTTCTCTCCCCTTCCCTCTAAACTATTCCACTGCAGCTTGTTGATGGAATGAATGGAAACCTCGCGTGTATCCATGGATGAAACCCCATCTCGGCAATTGTACTGGCTGGACCCTTTCCATGACCATGGTTTTGAGCAACGGCCTGTTCTTGAGAAGGTTCATCTGAGTAGACAAGTCGTCTCATAGGTCAATATCGGTCAATGGTAGCTAAATTGAGTTGGTACCTTAAAGCCGATTGGAAGTATGGTATCATAGTATCGTGTAGTGCCGAATGCTTCCTAGTATCGACGTCAGCATGAGTGACTGAGGGGGGGAGCGGGAGAACTTGAACTGTGAAATATTCTGAATTTTCCTCACGGTAGTGTGTAAAGAAGACCAATTGGTGTTCTTTTTTGTTGCAGTTCCAGTTGTACTTTGCTCGGTGGTGCACATCCGGCAAGGACGTCATCTCCTTCGCTGTGTACAAACACGCCCTCTTCTTGTTTCTCTTCTTCCTCTTCTTCCTTTTCTTCCTCCCGCACTCTCTCTTTTTCCTCGTCTCTCTTTTGGAGACCCTCCTCCTTTCTCTCCACTCATACATCAAACATCTCCCCTCATCGCCATTTTTGAGCTTCTCGTGAAAAGGTAAACCCTCTTGCCAGGATGGCGAGCCAGGGTGACGCCGAACGTACTGACGGGCGCCGTGGCTCTCGTATCTCGCGCGCTTCCTTGAAAGAAGACTGGGCTACACTGGACGAGTATGGAAAGCTTGTTAAGTATGTGTCGACCTACAAAGATGCCAGTGCCCTCGCCGCAGAAGATGCCGATGTTGAGGAAAAACGCCTCTGGTACGCTCCATGGAAAAAGCGAAAGGTGCACGTTCAAAAAGTGGACATCAAAGGTCTAGCTTTTCCCGATGATTGGCTCATCACCGATATCCACAAGGGTCTATCGAGCGAGGAAGTCAACACTCGTCGTCGCCGTTCGGGCTGGAACGAACTCGTCTCTGAGAAAGAGAACCCCATTGCCAAGATCCTCTCGTACTTCCAAGGTCCCATCCTTTACGGTGAGTCGACCCCAACTCTTGTCCCACATGGTATCAACAGTATTAACCCCGTTGTGAATAGTCATGGAGCTGGCTGTCTTGCTAGCTGCCGGTCTAGAGGACTGGGTTGATTTCGGTGTAATCATCGGCATCCTTTGTCTGAACGCAGCTGTCGGTTGGTACCAGGAGAAGCAAGCTGCCGATGTAGTCGCCAGCCTCAAAGGTGATATTGCCATGCGTGCTATTGTCATCCGAGACAATACCCAACAAGAGGTTCTGGCTCGTGAACTGGTCCCTGGGGACGTGGTAAGTAAATCCAATAATATTGAACAACCATTTACGACTGTGTCAACGGCTAACGAAACATCTAGATCATTGTCGGCGAAGGCCAAGTGGTTCCGGCCGACTCCAAAGTCATCTGTGATTTCAAAGATCCCAACGGCTGGGAAGAGTTCAATCAACTCCAAGAGCAAGGCATGCTCGGTGGTGGATCCGAGACTGAGGATGAGGATGAGCAGAATAAGGAAGTGCAAACTTCCCAGCCTGTAGACAATGCCGACGCTACCGACGCCACCAAAGAGGGCGAAGATGGTGAGGGATCTCCACAGCCAAAGACTCGAAAGCGCGGATATCCCATTCTTGCTTGCGATCACTCTGCGATCACTGGAGAGTCTTTGGCCGTCGACCGCTACATGGGCGATGTGATCTACTACACGACCGGGTGTAAGCGAGGCAAATCATATGCTGTTGTTCAGGCCCCTGCGAAGACATCATTCGTTGGTCGCACCGCTAGCATGGTCCAATCTGCAAAGGGTGCTGGTCACTTTGAGCTTGTCATGGACAATATTGGAACATCGCTCTTGGTTCTTGTCATGGCGTGGATCCTCGCCGCCTGGATTGGTGGTTTCTTCCGCCATATCCCCATTGCCTCTCCTGGACAGCAGACTCTACTTCACTACACCTTATCATTGCTGATTATCGGCGTTCCTGTCGGTCTTCCTGTCGTTACCACTACAACTATGGCTGTCGGTGCCGCGTATCTTGCGAAGAAGAAGGCAATCGTCCAAAAGCTAACCGCCATCGAATCGCTTGCAGTGAGTGCTGCCCCAAACAAATGTCCACCGGGTTCAGATCATGCGATCTGTACTAACCACTACTAGGGTGTTGATATTCTCTGTTCTGACAAGACCGGTACTCTGACTGCCAATAAACTGAGTATTCGAGATCCCTATGTGGCTGAGGGTGTTGACATCGACTGGATGTTTGCCGTCGCGGCTCTAGCATCTTCCCACAACATTGAATCGTTAGATCCAATTGACAAAGTGACGGTATTGACACTGCGACAATATCCTCGGGCTCGTGAAATTCTGCGTCGCGGATGGACGACTGAAAAGTTCACGCCATTTGATCCAGTGTCAAAGCGAATCGTTACAGTCGCCAGCTGTGATGGAACTCGCTACACTTGCACAAAGGGCGCTCCTAAAGCAGTTCTTCAGCTCACAAACTGCTCGAAGGAGGTCGCAGATCTGTACAAGGCCAAGGCACAAGAGTTCGCCCACCGAGGCTTCCGCTCGCTCGGTGTTGCTGTTCAGAAAGATGGTGAGGACTGGACTTTGCTCGGAATGTTGCCTATGTTCGATCCACCTCGTGAAGATACGGCCCAGACGATCAGTGAAGCCCAGAACCTCGGAATCAGTGTGAAAATGTTGACCGGTGATGCTATTGCTATTGCAAAGGAAACTTGCAAAATGCTGGCACTCGGCACCAAAGTTTACAATTCTGACAAGCTCATCCATGGTGGCCTCAGTGGCGCAATGGCAAGCGATCTGGTCGAAAAAGCCGACGGATTTGCAGAAGTTTTCCCTGAGCACAAGTACCAAGTGGTCCAAATGCTTCAGGAACGTGGACATCTAACAGCCATGACAGGTGATGGTGTGAACGATGCACCGTCGCTGAAAAAAGCCGATTGTGGCATAGCCGTGGAAGGTGCATCTGAAGCCGCACAATCTGCATCTGACATTGTGTTTCTTGAGCCTGGCTTGTCGACTATTATCGACTCGATCAAGGTTGCGCGTCAGATCTTCCACCGCATGAAAGCATACATCCAGTATCGTATTGCTCTTTGCTTGCACCTTGAGATTTACCTTGTGACTTCGATGATTATTCTCAACGAAAGCATTCGTGTCGAATTGATCGTTTTCTTGGCTCTTTTTGCCGACTTGGCAACTGTGGCCGTGGCCTACGATAATGCATCGTTCGAGCTACGCCCTGTGGAATGGCAACTCCCGAAAATTTGGTTCATATCCGTGCTTCTGGGTATTCTCCTTGCCCTGGGTACGTGGGTGGTGCGTGGTAGTATGTTTCTACCTAGCGGAGGCATCATCCAAAACTGGGGTTCGATTCAAGAAGTGCTTTTCCTGGAGGTCGCGCTCACAGAGAACTGGCTCATTTTCGTCACACGCGGCAGTGACACATGGCCGTCGTTTCAGCTGGTAACCGCCATTCTCGGAGTCGACGCTCTCGCTACGATTTTCTGCTTATTCGGCTGGTTTACGAACCAGGATATGAAGACGAATCCCCCGGATAAATTTGTCGAGACAACTAACGGTTGGACCGATATCGTGACTGTTGTTCGAGTCTGGGGTTACAGCCTCGGCGTGGAAATAGTTATCGCACTCGTCTACTTCGTTCTCAACAAGATCAAGTGGCTTGATGATCTTGGTCGCGTTAAGCGTAGCAAGGGTGAAATCAAGATTGAGAATCTGCTCGGTCACCTGGCCCGCTTGACTGTCGAGTATGAAGAGCCTGGTAAGCCGAAGGGCCGCTACTTCCTGGCGGCTAGCAAGGAGGA